GGATCTTTCCTTTTCGATCCGTCGAATTAGCGGACATTCTAGTGTGTATGTGTGTGTGCGCGTGTGCATGTGGAGGGGGGGGAGACACGTATATCGGAAAGCGAGGATTGCTCATCCGTCGTTTGTAAGCTGAACGTAACGAAACGAAACGAAACGAAACGAAACGAAACGAAACGATGCGAAAAAGAAAGAAGGATATCCGAACGTAGAGAGCAGTTGAAGAGAAAAAGTCAAGGGAAATGTCGAGTGTAAGACCAAGAAGGAGCGTATGGATGGCGTGAGTTACACCGCTCGTGTCCGGTTTAGGGGAATCAGAGACTCGATACGACATAAACCAGACAGAAACAATGTAATTTAAATGGTAAGCGAACAGTCTATGGTATCATCGTATAGGTAGGAGGTATACATACGTACATAGGATACACCCTATGTAACGCATATTTTACCAAGGTACAGACGGTCTGCGTGTTAACGGAATTTCGTGAATTAAAATACGACGGATAAATCGAATCTGCTGCGCTCCCGTGTTCCTTGACGCGACTTTCGACAAACACAAACGCAAAGCGATGATTATACGATGCGAAGATTAGGTAATTATTAACAAACTGTAAAGAAAAAAAGAAGGGAAGAAAGAAAGAAAGAAAGAAAGAAAAGCAACAACTGCAAAGTACAACTCTATTAATAGTAGATGAGAGAGTGAAAAATGAAGAGTAAAAAAACGAAACGAAACGAAACGAAACGAAAGATGCGTTAACGTGTGCCCTATACATATAATATGGATACATGTAAGATGTACGTATCGTACCCGTATCGCACGCGTAGATAGATAAGTGTTGAACTGCTCGACTAGAAGGCAACTTTGACCATCCACAGCAATGGTTGCCTATCGAATAGTAGTCGCACGGGGGAACGAACGCCGCACGCTCGCGTCTATTTATATCGAATCCGTGGGCATACCGGACCAGACTGGCGCGTCGCAGCGACTCTGGTGCGCCGACAATTCCTGCGACAACATAGCCACTCTTAACCGCCTAAAGCACAGGATAAACTTATCGCGTTACCTACTAAAAATCCTTAATAAATTTATCATCGTTGTGAAATTTATATGCGTCTTGGTATTTTATCCTAGTATGCTGATCGTTGACTCACTTTCCAATGCGACTCTTTCTACGTGTATGTGTCTACTTTAATAGGTAGATGGATGTAAGTAGAATGTAGCGTGCATCTACGAGAAGATGGCCAGGGAGTATGTATACGTATACTCGCTTCTCTCCGACTGACCCCACGATTTTTACGCTCTGGCAGTTCTTGCCTATGGGTTCTCATTAGCACGTGTCACGCGACCGAATGCTGCGCCAAGCCGCGCCAAGCCGCGCCAAGCAGCGCCAAGCCGCGCCAAGCAGCGCCAAGCCGAATCACGCCGAATCACGCCGTTTCGGCCAATAGCAGAAACATCGCGTCATACAAGAGCTGAAATTATTAGACTTTGCTCTAGAGTAGAGACTTTGACACCAATCGCCTGCATTCCTTTCTCTAGATCATCTAGTCTGTCCCAAAGTCACGGTGTATTCGATTGGAGGAATAACATTAGAGAAATGTTAGATTATAGCAATTCGGAGTCATACCACCGATCCGAACGCTGTAGACGCGGCTTGAAACAGATTCAATGTTCCCGCATGTACATCGTGTATCGCGAGTAACAGTTTATTCCGATTCCCATAGATAAATGTAACAAACCGAACGAAGAAAATAAACGATAAGAGAATCAAGAGGAATATAAGATGGACGCAGATTGCTCGCATCATCGATCGGTCTAATCCGCGAGCTAAATGGATCGGCTGGATATAAATAATAGCCGATTAAAATACAAATGGCCACAACCTGGTAAACATTTTTGCTCTTGTCAACGAGAATGTGCGTTTAGTAGATAATATGGTTGGAATAAAAGAGAATGATCTTTGTACACAGGCTAAATCGAAATTGGAGAGCCACGCGATAAATGTACCAACTACTCGTAGCTACTTTTACGGCTACCTTTGTATGGATTCGCGATCGACCACCCGTATACGGATATACCTACTCTCCGTATAGTTACACATCTATATATATATATATATATATGTATATATATATGTATATATGCATATATGCGTATATGTGTGTATATGTATATGGGTACACAGACAGCGGTCAGTTCAGTTAAAACCCGCGGCAAGGCATCGAGCGGCCGAGCGTGCAACATGTAAGCAGGCTAACGTACACCCATACGGAGATATTATATCCCTGTGGGCATTTGCATTCAATGCTCTTACCTACCGAGCGAGTATCCCATCTACGTAGCCACTGCCACTGCTGCGCCACTGCTGCGCCACTGCTTCTCGCCCTTTCTAACCGGTCCTTGTACCATTGTGTTTATTTATGCACTTTAATTATATCGAATATGGTACTCTGAGAACACTAACGCCAGAAATTTATCCCTCTCTCTCTCTCTCTCTTACTCCCTCTCTGTGCGCGTGTGCGTGTGTTTCTTACACATCGTCGACGCGCAAACGCCTACACGCATACGATTTCTTCTTATCAATACTACATCGAATCGATTCCACTGGAACTGTAAACGCAACTAGGTGCATGTAAGTACTCGTACATTATAGGAGAAACAATCGAATTCTTACGTTTAATCGAAGAACCTTCCAAACATTTCTTTCTCTTCGTCGTGTCGAATGTTTATTATTTTCGGACCATGATACCGAAACGCGTATTTGATTTTACATCTTACGTATTCCTTTATTTTTACTCTCGCGTTGCTCTTTGGTTAGTAAGTACATATTTATCGAGAACGATACAAATACTCTTGCGCGAGTTAGTGAACGTGTGTTGCACGATTCGCATTGCGATAACATTCCACGGTTTAACCACATTTTCTTCAACGTTCGACAAACTGCAATAGTATATGCAACGATACGATGTTGAAACAACTATTATCGCTGGAGCTGAAACACGTTATTATATGTTTACTCGAGCACACCTACTTTTCGATAAGTTCGTATTATCTAGAAACAGAGTTTGCAACGAGTCGTTGGGCGATAGGAATATTATTAATAATATTCTTTCGAGTGTTGATAAAGTTAAAGAATATTATTGTTGCGTTGGATCTGTATCCGTGTTGCGACAAGAGGTATCCCGTTTTTCAAGGACTCGTCTCGCGCAGATGGTGCTACTCCCGCACGGTCTAACAGCCATAGCCGTTTGTCTGTTCCATGGACGCGTAGCGCGCGAAGGGTGCACGCGTGCAATCTGCTGTGCCGTGGCGTGGCGTGGCGTGGCGTGGCGTGGCGTGGCGTGGCGTGGCGTAGCGTGGCATAGCATGCCATGGCGCGCGGCTGCTGCTCTCATTAGTTGGTTCCTGCGGCTCGCGAAAACCCCCGGGGGGGGGTCTACGCCCGACAAGGGTGAGAATGGTAAAAAAGACGAAAGGGGCGAGACGGGAGATCCAAGAACCCTTCAATTCTTTCGCTCCAGATCTAGCGTCCGTTAATTGGAGGTTGTTTGACTACGCACCAGCTTCACCCCTATTCTTCCTTTTCAAGCCCCCACTTTTTTCGCCCCATCTCTCTCCCCCTTTGATCCAAGATTTTCAAGTACCTACTAGCCGTTGTCGTCGTCGTCGTCGTCGTCGTCGTCGTCGTCGTCGTCGTCGTCGTCGTCTCGTTAAAAAAAGAAAGAGGAAAATCGACCTCAGATTAGGCCGCTTATCGTATTTCGTTGCTGGTAAAAAGCGTAGCAACGATCAAGCAAGCAGACATCGAACAAAGTGAAATATTACGGAGAGAGGACAACTAACACGAGCTGATAATAAACCCATGTATTCAACACCTATCGTATACTCTGTAAGTAATACATAGGCGGTGTGCACACGCATACCTACAACGCACGATCGATCGGTTAGTTTCGATCAGGGGTCTTTTGTTCGAGGATAAAACACTGTATGGATGCGAGTCGAAGAGTTAAACGAGGTATTCGCATTCCAGGATTTGGAATTTCTTTTGAAAATGTAATGATGAAAAGCCGTTCGTTCGAGACCCTACCACACACACGAGCTACAACTGTGTTTGCACGACGCTAACGATGAGCAAACAGAGCGGAACGGCTTCGCCGATAGACTGCCTAGTCGTGTGACTCATCATTCGACCGGAGACCGAAGAGATCAAAGAAAAAGGACTACATAGGACGAATTTGCTCTTGCTGTTTCAAGATTTACCCTCGTTCTAATAACGAAACCCACTCTGATGACAAACGTTCCGGTATTAACACGCCTCGCACATTGCATCACCAACTACCACTTGTACACGCATACACTATACCGTACATGAAAAATTAGTAATTTCTAAATTAGTAAATTTTCGAACAAACACTCTTAATAACTTGATACCCTGAGAAATGTTTAACCGTACAAGTTTTATATGAAAATCCCAATGTTATTATCAACGAAACTGAAAACGACCAGAAGAACGCTCCTATTATTTTTATTGTAGAAAAAGTACCGGTAGCGAAACGGATGGCCAATTTCCCGTTTCCCGTTTCCCGTTCCCCGTTCCCCGTCTCTTCCCTTTCTCATCGATTTCTCATCGATTTCTCAAGGAATATGTAGTTGATTCCGTATTTCCATTCGCATCTTTTAGAAACATTCTTGTAACTTTAAACGCGCACTAATTTTCTTTCCAACCGTGGTGGTGGTGGTGGTGGTGGTGGTGGTGGTGGTGGTGGTGGTGGTGGTGGTGGTTGTTGGTTACCGCATATTCCCCGACACGAATGATCTTTATCGCTTAGGAAAAGGATATAGGATACTTGGTAAGCTTTTTCTCGTTGAAAAAGTCTATCTCGCAGTTACTAAAAATAAAAACGTTCCTCGTGGTTTGGTGAGCGGTGATACGTGATACGTTTGGAAAAATGTTAATCGATCGGTTGCTAGTAATATTTCATCAAACGTGTCTCTGTTGCAGTGCTAAGGGACGAATTTCGAGCAGAACCGCAAAATACTAGAGTCGCGGCTGGAGAGACCGCTTTGTTAGAGTGCGGACCACCCCGGGGTCATCCTGAACCGACGCTGCATTGGAAAAAGAACGATCACATGATAGATTTGGATGCTACGAAACGGTAGGAATAGAAACACGTTCCGATAAGATTTTCAAAAATTTCGATATCGAAATGGCGGCAAAATGTCTGATAATGAAATCTGTTGTAGAATCAGTTTGGTAGACGGTGGTAATTTGATGATCTCGGATGTCAGACAAACGGACCAGGGAAAGTATCAGTGCGTTGCCGAGAACATGGTGGGCGTAAAAGAATCCGCAGTAGCAACTTTGACAGTTCACGGTAAGAGAGTTGTACGTATACGTATGTGCAGGCGTTGTGAGAGCGTGGACGAGGAGGAGGAGGAGGAGGAGGAGGAGGAGGAGGAGGAGGAGGAGGAGGAAATATTAAAAATATTTTTCATTGGTTCGTTAGTGAAACCGTTCTTCTTATCGACGCCCGGCAATCAAACGATTCTAACGGATCAGACGGCTGAATTTGCTTGCCGCGTAGGCGGCGATCCTCCACCCGAGATACTTTGGCGACGAAACTACGGGAAAATGCCGATCGGCCGAGCGCATATTTTGGACGACAAGAGCTTGCGTATAGAGAAAGCGACGTCGCAAGATCAGGGCACGTATATTTGCGACGCTAAGAACGGCGTGGGTGCGATATCGGCTAGCGCAACTTTGACGGTACATTGTGAGTAAGAATCGGTAAAATTTGCGAGCGTTTCTCGTGCCATCGAACCACCAGACATCTTTTCACACTGATTGTTTTTGATCGTTAGCGAGACCAGTGTTCACGAATTTTCCAAAGGACGAGGTGGCTGGTATCGGATCGAACGTATCGTTTTCCTGCGCGGCCCGCGGTACGCCTAAACCTTCCGTCTTTTGGACGCGCGAAGGCTCTCAGGAACTAATGTTCCCTGGAAACGAGTATCAGGGACGTTATAAAGTTACGGAAGAGGGAAACCTGCACGTGAGAGGAGTCGTCGGGAAAGACGAGGGGCACTACGTGTGCAGCGCGATAAGCCAAGCCGGTGCCAGTACGGCGACCGTTTTCCTTCAGGTGTCGTCCGTCGAAGAGGCCCCGCCACCCATTATCGAGATAGGCGCGACCAATCAGACATTGGCTCCGAAAAGTGAAACTTGGTTACCGTGTCGCGCGTTTGGAAGACCGGTACCAAAGATCCGCTGGTACAAAGACGACCAATTGGTGCGAGTCGATGCCGGGGATCGATTGACAGTCGCGAGCAACGGGACGCTTTCGATAAAGAATCTTCAATCGAGCGACAACGGAGTGTACAGTTGCGTCGCTTGGTCCGAGTCCGGGAACGCGTCGTGGACCGCGAGCTTGACGGTTAGCCCGGAAGCGAGTCATCAGGCCGGTATCGCGGTGCCAGATGTATCGAGTTTACCCGAAAACCCGAGCAAACCGAGAATAGTGAACGCTACCAGTAACACGGTTACGCTTACGTGGAGTCCGGGTCACGAGGGTGCTAGCAAGATAATCGACTACACCGTCGAATATTATGCGACCAATCCAAAAACCGGCTGGATCGTTGCCGCGACCGGAATTACCGACGACATCTACACCGTAAGCATACCTCTCTCTTATTTAACAAATCACCATCGCCTCTACCAACCAACTATCTACATACATCGTGTTCGGATACCTTTTTCTTTGCAAGGTAACCAATCTGAAGCCTGACACGAGTTACGCGTTCCTGGTTCGTGCTAGAAACGGTCATGGTATTTCGTTTCCCGGTCCTCTTTCGGACGTTGCGCGTACGACTAGCCTCGACCAACAAACGATTCCACAGACCGAACTGATTCGAGCTAGAGATCGACTCAACAGCGAGATTCTCTACTTGAAGGAGGTTCAACCTTTGAGCAGTACCAGCGTCAAGATCATATGGGACGTAAGTAGAAATTAATCTTTCGAAACGTTTACGATAGACGCGAGGCGAGTCTTGTTACTTCATCTCCTCTTACTTTAGATTCTTGGAGCTGCCGATTTAGTCGAGGGTCTCTATATAAGGTACCGACAAATGTCCGAGAAACCAGAATATCGAATGGTTACGGTACCGAATGCCGGCGCAACCAGCTACGTTTTAACCAACCTAAACAAGTATACGCGGTACGAGTTCTTTCTAGTTCCGTTTTTCAAAACCATCGAAGGGAGACCGAGTAACGTAAAGTTGGCCACCACGTTGGAGGACGTACCCTCCGGTGCGCCCGAAAACGTTCACGTTGGAATGATAAACGTCACCTCGGCGTTCGTTCGTTGGTCTCCGCCGCCGAAAAGCACGCAAAACGGCCAGCTGATTGGATACAAGGTAAAACGATCCTCCGACCGACCGACCGACCGACCGACCGACCGACCGATCGATCGATCGATCGATCGATCGATCGCATATGCGCGCTACTATACTATTATCCCTATTCCGTTTCAGATTCAAATCAAGAGCAACAGCAGTAACAAGATTTTGGGTCAAATGTCGTTGAACGCATCGACGACGTCGGTGATCATCAACACCTTCACGACCGGTGGTCTGTACACGGCACGCGTCGCCGGATTAACGCGCGAAGGTCTCGGCCCGTTTTCCGCACCGACCGTTTTAAACATGGATCCGGGACAACTCGCACAGTTGCCACCGCGAACAGATCCGAGTCAAGGGAGTGCTTCGGTCGTCGGTGAAACTTGGTTTTTAATTTTGATGATAGCGGTTGCGTTGACCGTTATCGCCACCTTGCTGGGTGCTTTTTACGTACGACGGAGACAAACGATGAGCAAACAACTCGGACATTTGAACGTTCCCGTTGGTACAGCCAACGACATTTGTCAATTGAACAAAGACACTCTGTGGCTGGAACGCGGATGGAGACCGAGCAATACTCTTCAGGCTTCCGCCACCGACAAAGACTGCGAGACGAAGCTTCTTAGCAATCAGAATCAAATCGGACTGCCACCCGGAATCGTCGGAATGACGGGCTCGGAATACGCCGAAGTAAATTTAACGACCTTTTATAACACGAGAAAACAACTGCAGGCTCCGCCGGAGCCCTATGCCACGACCACGCTTTGTATGCCGACCCGTAGTCCGGACTCGATAGAAACTAGCGGCCGAAAGTCCAATTCGAGCGATTCCTGTCTCAAGCCTGACTACTCGAGTTTGGATTCCAATTTGGACCGAAACAAATCGACCGTTTCCCCGTGCAGCGACAACGCCAGCAGTGTTTACAATGCGGACGATACCGCGGAACCGCACAGAAGAACTCATCAGTACAGAATGCCGTTACCCAGTGAAAATCAACCACCGAATTGGTGCGATATGATACCGCCCCCGCCAGAGCATCCATCCTCGTTCGAAGGATCGCTTGGTTCGGTCAGAACGCATTCGCATTCCCATCAGCATCAACACCAACACCAACCTCAACATCAATACCAGTACCACCACCACCATCACCATCATCATCATCAACAACAACAACAGCAACAACAACAACAGCAGCAGCAGCAGCAGCTTCAATATCAGTACCAACATCAACACCATTACCAGCAACAGCAACAGCAACAGCAACCACAACAATCGCAACAATCGCAACAATCGCAACAATCGCAACAATCGCAACAATATCAAACTGCATTTAGCCCGCATCTAGGGAAAAGAAGCATCAACAGACAAAACGATTTAGACCTGATGACCGGTTCTGGATTAGCTTTGGGACTAGGTTTGGGTTTAAGTTCCAATTCGGGTTCCGGATCTGGTTCTGGTTCTGGGTCTGGGTCTGGGTCTGGGTCTGGGTCTGGGTCTGGGTCCGGTTCCGGATCAGGTTGCGGCTCTGGTCCCGGATCGGGTAATTCTCAAAGTCCACCGAGTCCACCTGTTAGAACAGCAAACAATTTAGGAGGCTCGGGAACAGTTTGGAACGGTTCGAGTCAGCAACAGCAACAACCGTTCGACGGTTCCGTTCAACAAACCGGTAACGTTCATCCACAAAGCAGATATACCAGTTTACCGCCGCAAACGAATCCGCCGCCGACGTTGCCAGCCCTTCCGCAAGGATTCGATCGTTACGAGTACAAGACTAATCAAGAAAATGAATACGAGAGCGGTTCCCTTTTGTACGCCCAACGGAACGGCTCGCCGTTGGAAGACTACGATTCCACGTATTGTCGCGTGAACCGAACCGATTCTCGTTCCGAACAATCGATCGCGAACGAGGATATCTATCGACGAACCGATCAAGACGCCTATCCACCGGAGAACCTTTATCAGCCCGAGAACGAGGATTGGGATAGAAAGTCCTGCGATTCGAACGCGCACTCGGACATTTGTTGCTCCTGTTCCGAGTCTAGTTGCCTTTACGAAAACGCGCTCGAGTACAACGATCAATTTACTTCGACGTCGGCAAATTGTTTACACGACAAAGCCGGCTCTCGAAGCAGAAGCGGTAGAAGTCCACGCAGAAGAAATGCTAGAACCTCGTCGCCCACTTACAGCAGCGGCGATAGCAATTACTCTTGTATTCCCACCAGACAATCCGGAAGTATCAGCTCGCAAGAAAGGTTGAGGCATAACCGCGGTAAAGGTCAGCATACCAATATCCTTTTCTACTTTCTTCGATACAACCTTCTCTCTTTTAAATATACCTTATTTTCACTCTATCTCTCTCTCTCTTTCTTTTTCCGTCAGACAAAGTGCCTAGCTTCTCGAGAATCGCCGGCTATCCTCAACATAATTCCACGGGATCGAATACCGTCAGCAGTGCCGGCAGTCAAAGGTACAACAAGCTAAACAATGTCTTCGTAGGTGGTGGCAACTCGAGTACTCCAGCAGAGTGTAGTCGGCCGGCCGACCTTCGCGATGGCTGATATCACGTGTTCTCAAAGCGGAGAATCGCTGCTGAACAACCTCTAACGTCGAAATAATTTACTTCGATCGCAACGAATAGAGTCGTTTTGTTGCGATACTCGAATATCGCGGACGCGTGTACTACAAAGTACCTATCGATCGCGTCCTCGACATCTTCAACGTTGAACCGTTGACCTCGGTACCACCATCCGATTCCATTTCGATTCCCATTTCTTTCGTCTCTCCTTTCCGACACACTTTCAAACCTTCTATTCACAATTTTATCTTTTTCGCTAACCCCCTTGCCCCCTTGCCCCCTTGCCCCCTTCCCCCCTTCCTATTGTGCTTTTGTTTCTTTTTTTTCCTTCGGTTAAGACTTTAATCGGTCGATTCGCACCACCCCCTATCACGATCATACGATAAAAGATTCTTTTCTTTTACTCGGCACACTCACTGCCCTCCCCCCTCGAATAAAAAGGATACAAGGATAGAGATAAAAGAGAAGAGTGCGCGAAAGTCGGGAAGCGAGAATGTTTTAAACGATGGACCGTACGAACAAAATGTGTGGGTTTAAAAACATTGGAAACATCCAAGTGTAGATAGTTTTTTGCCAACGAGTTTTCAATTATAGGTGATCTGCGTGGACGTGCGCTAGTTAGAGCTTCGATCCAACGTGACATTTATTTTTCAATAGATTATGCGTTCTCGCCACCAAGTTCCGTACATATATTGCTTTTTAACGATATAACGTTCCTAAACTTTAAGGAAAAGTCTCAATGTGTTTATCGCGAAACAGAGAGAGAGAGAGAGAGAGAGAGAGAGAGAGAGAGAGAGAGAGAGAGAGAGAGAGAGAGAGAGAGAGAGAGAAACAATTGACGCGCGAATCTCCTAAAACGCGCCTCTTTATAACGATACGTGCGATCGACTATACACGTAAGTAGTATTAACATCGTATCGAACAATGTTTTACAAGCTGTACGCGCAGTGTTCTTTCTGTCGAGTTTAAGTAGCCGTAACCGCTGATTTACGTCTTTTGGCGCGAACCTCGCAAATATGTACTACCAGACCCGCCCGCCCTCCCTTTCCTCGACTTCGATTCGATTCGATTCGTTTCATCGTAACGAAACGTCGAATGACGGGCAAATGTTCATTTTTTTACGATAGCCAACGCCAACGGAATTACGGCAGCTTAACGAGATACGCACACGGATAAAGGTTCGAGTAATTTCGAAATCGTATGAAAATTGAACCTGATCGAACGTAGAATCTTTAAATCACTAAGTGTGTTCTCGATGTAGCGAGACGACGAGTTCTCGAGCCAAGAATCAATCCCACCAGCGAACGATACGCGAACGAAGTAAACGGGATGACAACAACAAGTTAAGCAACAAGCAAGTCGAGTCAACGACACTCGCCGCTATAATCGCTATAATCGCTCAAATTTCTTGTAATTAGTGGAAAACGTTTTAAAGAAGAAAAGGAAAGCGACAGGGATAATTGCCTGGTTAGATGTCGTTACTACATATTTAGCGAAACAGTAGTTGGTTATCGATGTGGTTAGGCGTGAAACGACGCGACTGACGGACGTCGAAAACACTGCCGGGAGGGAATTATCGATTCCGAAATATTTCGTCAAAGAATATAAAGATAAATGAAACTGTAAATCAGCCACGAGTGTAAAAGTTCGAAGAAGATAAATTAAACAAAATGAAGAAATTTTCATGAATCCGTAGCGTGTATAGATACAAGTGTAATCCATCCAGACGGGCGAGAAGTGAAAAATTTAATTAATTGATAAGGGAGTTCGGTTTTGTAGCGTGTTTAGACTAGAACTCGATTCGGTCAACTATAGCCACGTAGAACATACATATATATATATATATATATATATATATATATATATATATATATATATATATTTTAAGTAACATTCACCGTAACAATATCCCAACTATCTCTCCATATATTATACATACATAGGTCTATATTTCGACTGTACGCTGAATTTGCCAAACTTCGTTCAACATTAATGACGTAAGTGGCCGTTAGAGAAATACCTATACATATATGTAGGTTCTTCGGGAGAGTGAACGCCCCTAAATCTGTACATAGAGAGTTGCACTTCTTCATTCTTCATGGTATGGAAGAACGGTATGAATCGATAGTAGTTACATACTTAGGTACTGAAAATAATCCGTTCGAGGTCGAGAGCTCACGGTATTTTCGTTACGCGAGAGAACGAACCTTCGTCACTTTACGCCGAACCATCCTACTAATTTGCGAGAAAAAAGTAATACGTTATTTTTATAGTTTATCATCCTCGCACAATTCTTACGATGGTTCGCGGCGCCATTTGTATCATATAACGCGTAACGTCGTAATTCCTCCAGGTTTAACAGAAATAAAACGCCGCGTAAGCATTTATTTACGCGATAGTTCTTTTCCCATATCTTCATTTTTATTTACCATTATTTATATACCACTCTCGATCCCACGCGTATCATGATGCCTGCCCGCCTCTTACCTTCTAACCACCTCATCACCCACTCTATCCAAACTGATCCTTATTCTTTGCCCGTATGTTATGGGGCACTTGGTTGTTCGCCAACCGGACGATATCTAATTAACCACCCATTAAGAATTGGAACGGGGAACAGAGTACAACGAGAAACGTCGATATTCTTCCGTTTGTCAAACTGCCAAATTATACATATATGTATGTATAACCCAGACTGATTCGTATCCTTAGAAATAAATTAAACGATCAATTTGACGGGCGACACGCGACGCTTCGCAAGCGATTTCATTAACGTGTCTATCGGTCTTGCCAATAGCGACTAACTAAATCTCTTACGAAGAGACTATCGCGAGATAGATCAACATTTTCCGTTCGTTCGCCGAGAACGTTACCGATATCGTAGACATGTCGGAATATGTTACAGCTACGACATTAGCTACGATCATTATCGTCATATCATTAACTTTCGAATCAAACGATCCATGTGGATAAAACGTTCCGCGCACTACGAGTCGTCGATAAGTTACAATTTTAGTTGCATCTTTTAGCTCCTAAGTCGATATCTAAATACGAAGGCTGACGAGTGATTTAGCTTAAATCTTCTTTACATTTTGTAAATAAAGCGCATAAGAAAGAAAGGAAGAAACGTTTATCGATAAACGTTTTCATAGGCAATAACTTATTTATTATTAGACAAACACGGATAATTGTCCAGTTTTAACGTCGATCAATTAATACAAATCAGTAATATACGCATACACGCAGAGACACGCGCGCACAAGTGTAGATAATTTTTAAAATAACGATCATTATTGTCAACTACCGCATATACATATAAGGCGTACAAGATATACGGAGACGTTACGTAATATAGTATCGGTAACGATTATTAATAAAAAATAACGTTAAAACCTTGACCATTCTACCAATTCTACCAATTCTACAAATTCTACTTCTACCAATTTTACCTTCCGCTAAAATATTCAAACGGTTTTCGATGAAATCGCTGCTACCGCTGATGATTACCTTTTCACTTTCTTTCGTTGTGTGTTGATCGCGCGTTGCCCGATCGAAAAAATAAAACGAGAATACATCTACAGAAAATTGTTCGATACAAGGTAATGTTCAAATCCTATCAACAACTTCTCTACAAGTATAGAATTTTATTGTAACAAAGGATTACCTTTTCACAATAATTATCGATGCTATCGACATACAGTTACAAAAGAAAATGATTCGAGTTTCGGAATAGTTTTAATTATCCGCACCCACCGTTCCCGCAGCAGCTGCGCTTTGGCGGTCGATACCCTCTGGAACCGTCTCCCATTAACGGATTATAGTCTACAAAAATTACATACTGTACTCTATAACATCTATACCGCTTCGACGTTGCCATCTTACGATTCCCTCGCCTATGTACCTTTTTTTACCGATTTAGCTTTATTATTACCAACGGGGAACCGATCGTTCGACTTGTTCTCTAGTCCTTGACCCGCCGCCAAATTGATATCTATTAATCTAGATTGTCCATTCTGTTCTTTTTTACACTGAAAGAACAAATTTCTTTTTTTTTTTTCTTTTCTTCTTCTTCTTTCCCCTAACTGTTTCGCTCTGATAAATTCGATTGCGCTCGGCGACCTTAACATTTTTTTAATTTCCTTCTAAATCCAAGGTATATGTAGTTTCTAAATTACCTCTTTTTCTGCTAGCGCAGCCATACGTTTCTCGTAATAATTCTGTTGCATTCTTTGCCTCGAAGCTTCCAAAGCCGACAATCTTTCTTGATAAAGATCTGTATCTACGTACGTACGTACAAATAAATTAATATTTTCATACGCCGCGTAAAATAAACGATACAATAAAATACTACAAAGGATTGGCGTGTCCGGTTTGCTTACTCTTATGATACTTTGCGGCATAATCCTGTTCGTCCTTTCTTAGTTTCCAATTTCTATATTTTTCCCAAATGTATGGAGAAGCGTACCAAAAGGAAATTGCAATTGCTGTCACGTACCATCCCACAGGCGCGATATAAGCCCATGCTGTCCAATATTTCAGATAAAATTATATTACGCGCAATAAAACCATTCCTATCTAGCAAAAAACGTTAAACAAACGAATCAAACCATCGAGTTTATACCATTGTACCCCTTTCACACACGTTACATGTACAGATCGATCGCTTTACAGAATCTTCAAATATACCGTCTCGATAAGAGAAAATCCGACAAATAACCAATACTTTTTCAACTCTTTACTTCCCAAAGTAATATCAAACGAAAGAAGAATGCCACGTCCATAACCTACTATAAACCAGAAAAGTACAAAACGTAAACACCCTACGCTATAAATATCCCAACAAGAGTTCATTCAAATGTAAAGAAACTTAATTTGTTAAAATAACGTCTCTCTGGTAACGTCCAAACATTTTTAGGTTATACGTTTTGCGTTTGTTCCTCTGACATATACATACACATATTATATATATATATATATATATATACACACACATATACTCATCCCTGAATAAGATATTTCAAACTGACCATCACTGATGTAATCCATCTTCTAACTTTATCGTTTTTAAGTAAAATCAAAAATATCTGATACGAAAATGCATCGAGTGCTCAAACTGAAAATACAAATATTAGGAATGACTTGACTGATCAAGTGTTCCCAGATGTAGCACCATTTTCGCGCACGCGCGTTCGAAAACGTTTGCGTCTTTCATGCATAAGCTATGCAGCATAATCGGTATTACGACCATTAATAATTGCGTAGTTTCTATGTTCTACGCAACTTGCATCGAAACCTGTACAGATATGTAATTGTAACAATTCGTAGCGATAAGTTTTTTAAAACGTTTATAAATATTTCATACTCGGAAATATGTAACCGCAATTGAAACGCAAAATATATTAAAAATTTATATGTGTCGCTTATTATAATAAATATACTTTACCAATCCTTATTGGCCCATTCCAAGTTGACGCGTTTTGAATTCTTCCAATTGCAATGGCGTTGATTGCGTGCCGCCAACTTCTCGTCTTCCATTCCAATTCCAATCAGAGAGAGAGAGAGAGAGAGAGAGAGAGAGAGAGAGAGAGAGAGAGAGAGAGAGAGAGAGAGAGACTCCAACAGAAATAAAATGCAAATTAAAATCAAATGCATTATAGTAAACATACCTAATCATAATTAAAGAATAATTCGACTTGAAATAATATGTACGAGATATGGAATGTTGTTTAAAGAGATACGATGAATCGACGCCGGTTAGATATCGAAGAAAACGCGCGAAACCCGATTCCGTTTTTCTCACAATTCCAACACAATTTCCAGTGGACATTTATTAATATTAGACAAAGACGCCATCAGAGTGTAATGGAAAGTACATAATAGTGGTGATGAAAAAGCGTTTAGATATGAAAGACAAATGAAACGTAAGTACGTAAGTACTTACTTTATTAGTCGAGAAACTATTGTGATACGTCCGTTACGCCGAAATCCACAGACAGAACGAATAACGACGATCTTGAACAATTAGCAGCGACATCGCGAGAATTCGGCGGTGGGTGGAGAAAGGTCCGATTGCTGCGATGCTGCGATGCTGCGATACATTTCATGTTTTTCCAAAGGAAACCTTAAACCTCGAGTCTCGAATAATATTCTTGATACTTGTGCTCGAGGTTGCCTCGGGTACAAACTACCACTCTAAAATATTCCAGACGAAAATTTAATTAGAGGTAGTGTGACCGGACATCGGCATCGACAAGTTTATTTTCAGTTCAAGTGTTTTCCCGGAGTTACCGTCCTTCCCGAAACCACAACCGTCGCTCGTCTCTTAAGTACTACCGAAAGTAGACAAGATCAGGTGTAAGATTTACTCGTATACCTCGTCTGTGGTAGTATCGTGGTCACAAGTCTCTTGGTACACTACACATATACATATATATTTCGTTTGCTTCTTTTTTTCTCTTTTATTACAATATTGTAGATATCACGAGAAATATTAATCAAAATATTACTAACTATGTATATAATTAACATAAGGGGAATACATTGTATAAACGAAGGATATTTACAATATGTATTGTAAAATTGATTTTCGTTTCAATAACCGTATTTTTCGTTAAGATTTGTTTTTCCATCACCTAATTGATCTTTCGGCGGAACCCACATCGAGTAATTATCCGCGTAAATCTCGTCTTGATGGCAATTCGCTGCTTGTCGGCGTTTCTTCGTTGTTTCGCCTTCATGCTTTTCTAGTTTTTCGTTTCTTCTCGGAGATTTATTTATAGTAATGGTGGTAGTACTAGCTGCAATATTTGTAACAGCAGTAGCATCGACAGTACTAGAAATAGGGGTAACAACAGTAGTATTACTAATAGTAGAAGCCTGTGATTCGGGGCTTTCCTTATCGATCAAACAGGAAGAATTAAATAATAGCTCGTCTTTCTCATCAACGTCCGAGTCTCCTTCAGATTCAATTTCCATTTCTCTGCCCGAGATTGTACCAGATACTGGCAAGTTATTATCTGTATCTGTTATTTTAACACTTCCTTCTTTCGTCTACGCAATATGCAATGAAATTTCGGAATAGGATTATACGTTTCAAACGGAATGTTTAACAACGATGAAACTTTGAAACTCATTATTGCTTACCTTTCTACAGTGTTGAATTCCGCTTGCTTTCGATGACGTTCCTTGCGAAAGATTCGACCTTCTTTCCCCTTCATGTATCGTTTCATCTTCGGTTATATCATGATAAATAAGAGCTGGTAAATTTGCCGGTCGTGTCAAGTTTAATAATTTAATTAATCCCGCTTCCTCTTTACGAAGAGTTTGTAATTCCAGTTTCATCTTGGCAATATCGTTTTTCGTTAAAGCAAACGAATTTAAGCTTGACATAAAAACATCCAACGCGTCCTCCTCTGTTGTTTCTTTCTTTGCATTATTTTCATTTTGCCAAGTTTTTATTAAATTTGACAAATGTGAGATTCGTTTCGTCACTTTTGTATGTTTTTCAAGCTGGAAAAATACGAACACGAATAACATTTCTATTTGAATTTCGATCTTTGTAACAGATAAATGATAAAATGGACAGAAAATTTAATCATCGACTCACCAACGAATCGTACGTTTCGACTTTTTCTTCCAATTTACCAGCCAGTCGCATTCTCTGCTCGCGTTTTTTTTCTATCGATCCTGTCCTATCCAAATAATTATCTTCGTCCGAATCGTAATAATCTTCTGCTTCCCAATTTCTTGTTTTCCTTTTCCTCGCTTCTATACACAATTATAATTATGAAATTAACGATCCATATTTATGTTCCGCGTGAAAATGCTGTCCAACAATCTCTAATAACTTTCTAATAAACTTTTCAAAGATCTACGTTTCTATAAAGTCTTTTCGTTGTTCAGAGGGCGTAAAATATACTAGTTTTTAGATCTCGGCCTTACCATGGTTTGCTTGCCTTAACAATCCATACTTGTCTAAGATTTTACAGGCTTCCAGCGCGCACTGCACAACAGATTCTTTTTTTTTGCCTTTGACAAGAGCTTCTGCTCTCACCGAACGTCCGATAACTTCTTCCATCGGAAGACTATAGTTTGTTTCCATGAAGAGATTACATATTAAAAATACATATACATATACTATACGACGTATCGTAACGATCTATACTTACTCCACCCAACATAAAAATTGCCCAGGTCCTTTCTCTTCGGTTTTATATTGCAAATCGTATCCTTCTCTTTCGAACCAGCCTCTTAGAGTTTTCTTAGGATCCTCCAAAACTAAATTCTCGTCGACGATGCAGGCATAAGGATTTTCTTGTAAATCTGTTTCTTCGTCCGCATCCTCTCCCATACCCCAATCAATACCATCGCCCTCTTTTTCATCTACGGATGCTTCCCCGTTCGTACCCCGTTTTTCTAATTCCAACGCTTTCATTTCCTGAAATGTAATTTCTCCTTATTGGAAAGACAGCCGGTAAATTAAACAGACGTTGAATGTTGAAAAAATAATATAGAAAAAAATTAAAAAATACTTTTAATTCTGAAACGGTATATCGAGATTCTTCCTCTTGATCGTCCGGTGGTGCTTTTAAAATGTATTTCCTTTGACTACAACCAAACCTAAGCATATGACCACCCCGTACCCTTACGTAAACATAAGGTTTTATAAGATTTCCGTTCCAATATGTGCCATGAGTACTTCCCAAATCATAAACGTAAAATCCTTTCGAATCATCCTGGTCTTCGGTGGATCTATATTGCAAAACAGCATGATATCTCGAAATGGTTGGATGTGCTAGGGATACGTGACAAGAAGGCAACCGTCCGACGATGTAGAAATTTTGTTCGGCGAGCGAAATTGTCTCTAGGATGACTCCAGATTTTAATACCTCCATTTCATAAACCTTTTCCGGTTCTCCACCCCAGGAGGGTTCTACGTATGGAAATGGAGAATCGTTGGAATGTTCTTGAGGTATCGAAACATGGTCCGGGCAACGAATGGTAGTTTCATCTATCGAAAGTAATGATGTTTTCGAAATTTTACCTACTGGCCGAGAACGTTTGGGACTGATAAGTACGGTCGGCTTTTTGAATGTAGCGGTATTAACCGTATTGTTTGTATCCTCCGACGAATCGTTTGTATAATTCTCGGTAGAATTGACAATGTTTTCACATTTCGACGCTTTATCGGTATTTATTTTACATTCCACTTGACTTTTATTTTCGTCGTTCGAACGATCTTCCGAAGGAAATTTCTTCTGTTTCGATTCTACCGCTAATTCCTCGATGTTTATTTTCGTTTCCATGATTATCGCCGTAACTTTTAAGAAGAAGAGTAGAATGCTGCTTTCCAATGATCCAAGGAATTCTTGTTACTTGAAATACGTAAAAATTCTTTAAAAGAAACTTTCTACCAAACAACCTAGATGATAACATGAATAGAATAGAAACAATGTCCACTAACCTCACTTATACTTGTCAAAATCATGTATACAGTAGAGTAGATGGATCGTATTACTAGATGGGTCGTGTGTGAACAGTAAGTAAGTATGTAGTATGTACCTTGATCGAGCAAAAATGAATATCGTACGGTCCCCGGCCCCTGATTGGCTGTTTTCGAAAATTCTCTAGAAATTTGATGAAAATGAATAATGAATAATGAAATGAAAGGAAGCTAAAGTGTAAAACGTACCTAGATCCTGATGACAGGTAAGAAAAAGAACAGGTAAACCGACTCGATTCGTCGCATGTCAATTTGCAGATTATTGAGAGTTGGTGTGTATGACGCGCATCAAGCGCGCATCAAGCGCGCACCACGCGATACATTTCTTAAACAAATAAATAAATATTATGAGAATGTAGATGAAAAATAATAAATTATTTTTATTTGACACCCAATTGGTCACACTTGTCTGTGATTATTAATCATTTATACAAATTTGTTTGGTTTATTTTGTAGCAGATACATATGTAGGTACCTACTTACTCTTTATAGGTTATTCATTCATATTGGTGATAACGAGTGTTGTAATCTTGTACGTATTATAGGATATACATATCTTACAAGTCGTGTGCAATTCTCGTCACGTTAAGCGCATTTAATTCAATAATAAGAAAATGCGAGAGATACTGCTATTTCTGTCTGCCGTATAACTTGTTCGTTTACAGTTTACAGAGTAACAAAGACTAGATTTCTTCACACGTTGTTACAATCAATTGCAATGCAATTGCAGTTTACCAATGCAGCAGGAATCTAGGGATCGAGCATTCTCTCTATTCACTCTGTAATAGTTTTCTAACTTGTGTTTTCAATAGACAATATTATGGATACGCAAGTATATGTATTATCGATGATAAATTAAAAAAAAAAAAAAAAAAAAAAAAATTAGAATAAACGATTTGTGTCGAAAGCTGTAAAAAAAGTAGTATTGAAAAAAAGAATTGTTGCAGTGCAAAGGATTAAAGTTATCCGAAGAGATGACGAGAAAAAAAGAAAAGGATGAGTTTGGTAAAAAATCGGTGTTTTGAAAAACACTAATGGATAAATAATTCGTAAGTTTGTTAAAAATTGGCCAGTCCCGGGCCTGAAAATTCTTAAATCCGTTACTGCGACGATCGTCCACGTCGAGGCGCCGCAGGCTAGCAATAGGCGTGACGATATGGCGCATCGTTTGAAAATCCGTCACTTGGGTGTTGGGTGTTGGGTGTTGGGTGGTGGGCGTTTTGGGAAATAGAGATATCGGGAGGAAAGGAACTAGTTGGCGTATATCTCGAATAAACGCGAGTTAACGTTGCTCGTAGCTTGTAAAACGATCGGAGAAACGGAGGTATTCCGGTTTAACGAGTTTCAAATTATACGTACTTGTGTATGTAAGTACACGTATCGTACGTAAGTTTTTCGACTCTCTGGTTTCTATAGCAGACTGAAAATCGCTTGAACGAGTTCCTTGCGTAACCGTAGCACAGCGAATAAGAAACGCAGTTACAGAGCCTCGTATCTATCATACGACTCGTTACGTCTGCGCGTAAAAGGCAAACGACAAACAGCAGAGAACGCGCGGCATGTCAGCGTAGAAGCAAGCGGGTGAAAAGGGCATCTGCCAGTCACAACATCGAACGGTCTCGATAAAATCGGATCACAGGCGTTGGAGCGCATCGAGACGAGATGAAACGAGCGCGCGCGCGCGAGCGCACGAGCGCACGAGCGACGCGACATGCGTCCCCTAACACTGACTTCCTACTTGGAGATTTCTATCGACACGATAGACGTTCGTCGCGAATCAACGAGATCTTTCTGTCGAAAAGACTGGCAAAAAAGATTGGAAAGAATTTTTCAATATGGCATGAATATTACCGATATAAGCATAGAGGTTTCTGCGACCGTCGATTTGAAATTTGAAATATAAATTTGATAATTCAAAATGGCGAATCCAATATGACCGATTTGTATAGTAAACACTTTAAATCGTTCCATGAAAATTAATAGAGGATATAAGGTTTGTTTTCGCTGCAATGCCACTGTGAAGGTATTAAATGATCGATAGAGAAAAGTGTGAAAGGATCCAGGCGAATTTGTAACAAGTAGCCGGTAGATAAAAAAAAACTATCGAAGAAAGTAAATTTTGTAAAAGGTTGTATCGGAAAATTTCAGAAAGCTTGTAAAAGAGCTAGAAATAGGTAATAACCATGGAACGAAAAAATAAATAGATTTTTCGGGAATTTTATTTACAACAGCTAATATATGTATATGTAAAAAGGTATATAAATTATTTATCACTGGCATCGCTGTAAGTCTTGCTTGTACTTGAATCTCTCGACGAAGCGAAGAGAACCAAAGCCACATCTTTTGCGTAAATAGGTGCGAAATGTTTGAAAATATCCGAAAAGATGGTTCGAAGGTTTGATCTCCTCGATCGAAGAATGGGTTACACTTTTGTATACCAAGTTTCATGCAACTCTAATAAACGTACAGAATCGGTCATACTGGATGAAGCGTTTTATATTGAAAAATGTTTATGTTAGATTGGCAAACGGTTGCCTTAATAAGCCCGATGGAAAAATTTTTTATGGAACTCTGGAAACTCGTTTTTATTTTTGGCCAGCTTTTGTTATTTCGTCTTACGGATTCTGGGATAGTTGTAATTAGTTTGAAAATATTCGATGGAAATAGTAGTAATACGCATAATAGGTAAACTGTAAAATTAAAAATGAATTTCAGTGTTTGAGAAGCCTGTTACGATAACCGATCGAACGTTAACTATGTTGGCTATGGTGAAAACACACAGCACGGTAGGTAGGTAGGTAGGTAGGTAGGTAGGTAGGTAGGTAGGTAGATAGATGCGTCGACTGTAATGTCCAAGTTTAAAGGAATTGTCAAGTTGAAAGAACTACTTTTGGTCACCGTTTCGCTGGAAGCACAGTTATCTACTATAAAGAAATGGTTGTTTGGTAAAAAATGAGCAATAAACGTCTGAACGGCGCGGCGCGGCGCGGCGCGGCGCGGCGCGGTGGGCGGCAAGACGATACTGTCGGTCTCGTCGTTGGCATTTTTCCGTCCCGGAACGATAAAATGAGCGATCGAATCGCGTACGCGCGAGGTACATATGTGGAATCGTGTGTTTTCGTACGATCTGCGAATCCCGAAGGGCACGGGAACGGCCACGGTATTATAGAAAAAGGGGAAGAAGTGAGCGGCTGTAATGTCGGGGGGAGAAAGAGGAAATAAAAGAGGAGGTCGCGACGAACAAGAGGATTGCCAGAGTGTCCTAAGTTTGGTGGCGAACGAGGGTCATCGCCGCGGCGGCGAGGTTATCGACGAATCGAGAAAAGGTGGGGAGATTTTTGTGCGTCGTGGACGTATTCGATGGAGATTGAGTAGTAGGCCGAGGAAAAGGCAAAGGAACGCGATCGGAGGTGGTGGTATTTGGTGAAAATAATAGTAAGCGATAGGCGCGCACGTCTCGTATCGAGTCCCCGTGTAAGATGGAGAAGAAGAGGTTGGCGCGTGCGATTCGGATCGGTTTGGACGGAGCGAAGAAGAGGCGGGTTCGTTGGTCGTACGGGCTGGCCGCGATAACGAGCATCGTGGTGTTCGTGGTGTTTTGGTTCACGAACGTGTTCCGTGACGCGATTCTCTCAAATTTGGAGCTACGAAACGGTACCCCGGCATTTTTGCTGTGGCAACGACCGCCCGTCGGACTCGCGTTCCACGTCTACGTGTTCAATTACACAAACTTGCCAGAGTTTGAGAGCGGTAACGCGAGCAAGCTTCGAGTGCAAGAAGTCGGTCCGTTCGTCTATCGGGAGACTCTGAACCGTTTAAACGTGGTGTTGGAGGATAACGGTACGGTGACGTATCAAGAGAAAAGAAGTTATCGATGGATGTCCGGCAAGTCGGAAAACGAAACGGTGATCGTGCCGAACGTGCTGTTGATGTCGACGCTCGCTTTCTCGCGAAATCTACCGTACGCGGTGCAGCTCGCGTTGACGATGTTCTTGTCGGGTTTGCGGTCGAAAACGTTCCTCGAGCTACCGGTAGGCGAGTACCTCTGGGGTTACGAGGACAAGCTGTTTCAGGTGGCCAAGCCGTTTGCCTCGCTCAAGCATCATTTGCCCTTTGACGAATTCGGCATTCTCGCATTCGTACGTATCGGACGGTTTGCTTTTCTACCGGCACGCCGCGGACCATTCTTCGCTCGCTCGCTCGCTCACTCACTCGATCTGACTGGATTTCAGAGAAACGGCGTCAACGAGGACCGTATCACGATGAACACGGGCGTCCAGGATCTTGGAAACATTGGGATCGTCGAGCGCGTAAACGGAGAGAAGGATCGTAAAATCTGGGGGGACGTGAGATGCGACAGAGTGTACGGAACCGACGGCAGCATGTTTCCACCCCGGTGGATCGAGCCTCCGTACGCGGATATCTACGTTTACGCGAAAGACATGTGCAGGCAGATTCCTTTCAGTTACGAGCGCCGCGAATTTTCCAACGGCATTCCCACATTGAGGTAACCGCAACTACACATACTTTATGATTTCCCTCTTTCTCTCTTTCTCTTCGCTTTCTCTCCGCTTTCTCTCGTTTCCACCGACCCGGAGACGAAAGAAAGAAAGAAAGAAAGAAAGGAGGAAAGCTGCGTGTCGTTGATGGAAACGTTTCATCAGTTCGATGACCATAGGTACAAAATATCGAGCAACGTTTTTACGTCGCCTCGCAACAAAGACTCGTGTTTTTGCCCGAAGGAATCGTACGATTCGATCACCGGAAGATGTCCCCCGCTCGGGACGTTCAACATTTCCACTTGTAAATCCGGTGCTCCGTTTATCGTCTCGTTCCCGCACTTTTGTTCGGGCGACGAGTCCCTGTTCCAGGCTGTCGAGGGACTCACGCCTCGACCGGAACACCGCGACAGCTTCATCGATCTCCATCCGGTACGTATTATTTGTTACGCGGACCGAGGTACGCGATATCAAGCTGTGCTCTACTCACGATGTGCCGTTACCGATTTTAGAGATTGGCCGTTACGGTCGCCACCAGAATCAAGTTTCAGTTGAATCTCGAAGTACGGAAAGCGACCGGCGTGCCGTTTGCCGGTAATCTGCAAGACGGCTCGATTCTTCCTTTGATCTGGATAGATTCCGGAATAGAGGAGCTACCCGAATCTGTGCAGGATATTCTCTATCGCGGCCATTACCTCGTAAACGCCGTCGAAGCTGGATTTCAGTGGTGCAGCTTGGTCGGCGTGATTCTCTCTTGCGGAGCGTTCGTTGCCGCGTTCAAGAGAGAGGAAGAAACCGAGGGTAAAGCGGAATCGTCGCAGCATCAGCAGAACCAGCCAATCGGCCAAATCGAATTCGTTCGAACGCGACATTTTTCCGACACGCTTCCTCGTTAACGAGCCTAAAGAAAACGCACGCGCGACTTTACCATTCCGTCGTTGGACGCAACAAGACAAGAGTGGTAAATTGATACGAAGCTGAAGAACCAGCGTAACCGTTATCGGGCTAGTCGGAGCAACCAGAGGGACGACATTAATCGCGTCGGTCGATGTGTACGCGATTATCGAGCCACGTGGCTGAATTACGTTTACGTTTACGTTTACGTACGCGTACGCGCACGCGTACTTACGCCGTACGACTACTTATCGAGACAAGAATCTCGACGTCTTGGATCGAACGCAACAACGCAACCACGTACATACATGGACGAATAGACCGTTTCGCGATGTTTCTTTTTACCAAGACTGATAACCTTACGTTGCATCCAACTACATTTTACAACATACCAGATAACCAACACCTTTTTTCTTTCCTTAATCGCGCCGCGTATCACGAATAACGCAAACGATTCGACTGGCCCGTTCGGACTAGGGCCTGGCGGCCAGACCGCATCAAAAACAACGACCAGATACCTGTCCGACTTTTTTATTAATTTCAAAAAAATCCTTTTAAATAGACCCGAATTACGCCCGATTTCCAAACTATTTCGCTATTTTCCTAACTTTGTTCGCTTCGTCGTAGAAAACTAAATTTTTCCAACAACCTAACCGTGATCTATCTCTAGTAACGCATTTATAACGAGATACATGTACAGAAACGGATAATGGATAACAATAATATCTCGCGATCGCTGTCGGATTCGTCGAGGTTCGCGCGCGCAATCGAGTACACGCATGTACTTGTATATACATATACGTATCTGTCTGCTGTCTGCTGTCTGCTGTCCGTCTGTCTGCCTGCTGACTCTGCGCGCGCGCGCGTGTGCGTGCGTGTTCGTGTGCGCGTGTATGCGTGTGCGTGTGTCTGCATGTATATATACATTTATATAAATATACGTGCACGTATGCACGTATTGGACGGAACGATTTTGTTGGCTACTCTACTTGGCGAGCAAATATGTACAGCGCATCGGTCCTTGGAACCCGATCACCACCTCGCCTTGACCACCGTGCGCAATACTCGAAATTTATTAAAACTCGTTCGCCAACTGTTATTATATCGTCTACTATCTTTTCCCAATAATCTTTCGTCTCGTAACTTGCAGGTGAATATATCGAGGCGTCCGAGGATCGCGAGGATCGCGAGGATCGCGAGGATCGCGAGGATCGCGAGGGTCGCGAGGGACGCGATCGTAAGCTCGAGAAACGAAAAGAAAACGGAAATAAAAGTGAAATAAAAGCGAAACTGAAGAGATGCGTGGTCGCGTAAGTTTATTGCCGTTACGCGCAACAAACGTTGGCGTCGACTCGTTTTTCACCGCATGTTTATTGAAAGTTCGCATCGATTGTTGGTCGTGAACCGTGAATCGAAAGACCAAGAATCTATCGTGTATCGCCGCGCGATATTCGCGTTTCCTACCCTTGTCGAGATCAACGGGAGAGAAAGGTACGCACGCGTGCACTACCCTTATCGAGACGCGTTTCGTCGCGAAGCGCACCGGTCGAGGCGGAACGTGGACTTGCGTTCACGATCGGAAGCACCGCCGCTCGATCGTGCATGCTACTTGGAACCCGAGGAATTCTGGAAAGCTGGATTCAGTTGACCGGTTTTGCCAGCGTTCGCGTTCGACGGTAACGGATTGCTGAGGTGGAGTTTCTCCTGGCGCTTGGCAGCGCGGGCCAAACACACGAGCGCGCCTATCAGAACGATCGCGCCAATCGCTGCCAGAGCTCCGGATACTGCCGCTCGAGCTATCGGTGGTACGTCCACGGCCATCTTCATCAGGCTACGCATCTCGACGGGAAGCTCGTCGATGCCCTGTAAACACGTTGCAGAACACACGCACGATGGAACGTGCCGTTAATAATATGGGGCTAACCGCGGGAGAACGGTGTCGACTGTCGCGCGAATTTTTTACACTTTTACCGATACGAGGTAAAGATAATACACGAGATAATAGCTAAGAGTAAAGTAGAACTGTTGTAGAAGCAGGGTGCAATACTCACGTCTTCGAACCACATTATAGGGAAAACGATATCCGGAAACGAGGCAACCTGTTTGATATCGCGTACTTGGCTAACCGCCAAATTAATCTGAATCCTCGCCTTGGCCCTCAACGCCGTACCCATCATCGGTTGAACATCGATGTAAAACTGATGCTTTTCCTCGATCGGTGCCGATATCCCGGTTACCGCCTCGCGGAGAGCAGGATCCGCTGAAAGGTAGTTTCCTCGTTACGTTTTTCTCCATATAGCCCTTCTAAGGGAATCGCAAGGGTACGGTGGACCGAGATACGTATTTGAAACGAATCGAAAATCTTTTAAAAGCTTCGACGCGAAAACGAAGATTTTCCTACGACCGTGATTGTGACAAGTTGTCGTGGTTGGTTTGCGAAAGCGTGAATCGCATAGTCGCGTATTCTCAACGAGGACGATTTCGCCGGTGGAAAAGTTCTCACGACTAGCGTGAGCACCACCGCAGGCCGTTGGAATACGTGGGAAACGATATTCGAAATCTACGGACCGTTCCGTTCCGTTCCGTTCCGTTCCGTTCCGTTCCGTTCCGTTCCGTTCCGTTCCGTTCCGTTCCGTTCCGTTCCGTTCCGTTCCGTTCCCCGTTTCCTATTATCCCTTGTAAAATGTTATCAGAGAGTGCGTGCGATGAAACCAACAACCGGACGATATCACGTTATACGTGTGTACGTTACCGAGGTAAAAGTGCGGGAAGCTGATCAAGACCGGTGATTCGTATTGGCACAGAGAGGCGTTGAAGGTTCCCTCGGGAGCGCAGGGTGGTCCCGCCGGGCAAAAACATCGCTGAGATTCGACCCTGCTCGGGGAGCCGAAAGCATCCTTGGAAGGGACGAATCTGTATCCAGGAACTCCACCGGGTGTGGTCACTTCCTCCTGAGAATTTAAGAGAATATCGTTTCGAACCGCGATTCGGATACCAGAGAGAATTTCATCCATCATCGATTACCTTGAAGACCAGAGGCAAAGCTCTGCAGAGATCCTTGTCAAAGACTTTGAGCACCGTTTGTTGGTTAATGCGCGGAGGGAATATACTGCCGTCGCTGCCGGCGATGCTGTCGCATTCCGGAGTGGTCCAATGACCAAGGCTGCCCTTTCCGTTCCATTTGTCGAGAATTCCATACTTGGTGATGTCCCTTTGGCCGGTGAAAATGGTAAACCGATCGGGCATCGTCGCGTTTTTCCCGTACAGCAATCCGAATTGATCGTAAGGAAGTTTTTGTTCCTTCGGCACAACGTCCTTGGCCAACTTTAACAACGGATCCTCGTAGCCCCAGAGCAACTGACCGATCGATACTTCGACGAACGGCTTTATCCTCAGAATGTCCATTATCGAAGCCATCGCCAGTCGGAGAAAACGCGCCGCGTGCTTCGACTGGCTGGTCGCCGATAGCATCGGCACGTTTGGCACTACCACCAAATCTTCCTCCGAGCCGATCGATTTTTCCTGCAATTATCATCCTAAGTGTCATCCACACACGGTCGGCTAAATCGATCCATGGTCGCCGATGTAATCGAATAGCAAGACAAACAGACAGATACATAGATAGATATTTAGCTGGAGGAGCACGCGTGCTTATCGGCGCGACGCACACCGTGCTAGCTACAACCTAGTATCCGATCGTTTGCGCTCTCGTTCGACCCACATTGTTTCTCGTAACAATACTGGGAACGAGGTGTCGCGGCGTCGCGCGTCTCTCGGAGAATCGTGCCACGTTGGCCAAACTCTATTCTACAGCTTTACTTTTAATTCACGGAAGCGCGTTGCTCCGCTATTACGATATTACTCAACTCGCGTATCGTTACCTAGCACCGTTGCACCGTTGCACCGTTGCACCGTTGCACCGTTGCATCGTTGCGTCATACCGCGGCAACAGAATTGTTGCTCCCCAAGCTTTTGGGTCACTCCGTGCCAACACTCTTTCGAGCAACATTCTCGCTCGCACGACGTTTCCATAAACGTATCTCGCTGCTGTCGTAGCAATTTATCGTACGTAACAGTGTGAAGCGCGGCGACGATCGTTGAATCGATTTCCAAGTTTCAACTGGCACGCAAATCGAGAAATTGTTGAAGGAAGAGTCGAAAGGAAAGGGGAGAAATAAGCAAAACGTAAACTAGTAGAACGACCAAGTAAATGGAAAAAGTCGAAACGCTTACCGGCGAAAAGGCGAACCGTTTCTTCACTTTGTACGACACCGTATCGTTCTCGTTGAATTTCACCTCGACCTTTTCCCACTGTTGCGAGTAGACGTAAGGGCCGAGCTCCATCAGCACCGGTTTCTCGCCATCGTTTAAAAATTCATCGGCATTCGTTACATTGTAAATGTAGACGCTCAGCTGAGGCGAGAGAGGAGGCTCTCTCCACCAGTCGAACGTACGACCACCCTCGCGGAGAGCTATTTCTCTGTTCATCAGAACGTCGACAAGTTTTGGAAACACTGCCGCTAAAATTGCAGCCACGATGATCATCAGAGCTCCAACGGCTACCGCTGCCCCTATAAACAGACAAAAACTGTACCTCTGTGTCGAACGACGACAAAAACGGCTCTATCGCTCCGGTGCTTACATACGTATCAATTTAGAAATACATAATGCTATCCACACCGAAAATCGGAAAATGTACAGATTTTTTTGTCGACTTTTGTCAACTTCCTCCTCACCACCACTCTACGTTTTCCAACCATATTATTACTATTATTCTTGTTATCGTTATTATTACTAATGTTTGTATCGCGCCGCATCGCAACGGAGCGCGCGCGCAAACACGCAACGAAAGAAAGTTGCCGTCGCGATCGCGTTTGCTTTCTATCGTGTCGCGTTTGTTCGCTTCCGGAAGAATCCTTACGTTTCACGTTTCGACCAAGCTTTTCCCTCCTACTATTCGCTATTTGCTTCTCTCTGCGTCTATGCTCTCTTTCTCTCTCTCTATCTATCCATCCATCTTTCTCTTTGGTCCACTTTTGTTCTATTTTCTATAAATTGTCATAATACCGAACAACCAGCAACAAAAGTACCCTTTGTCGATCTAGACGATCGAAACGTCTAATTTTACTCTCTCGTTGTTGGTATTAATCAGAGAGCGAATTGTTTCTTACCACCCATTGCGGTGCATCGAGTCTCGGATCCAGAAATACGAAGAAACCCGTTCGAAAACGTTGCCCTTCTTGATAAACTTGCCAGCAACGCACGCAACGCACGCAACGCACGCAACGCACGCAACGCACGCAACGCACGCAACGCACGCAACGATTACGAAACATCGATACCTCGAAATGTCCGTGTCGTCCGAGGCTCGATTGTTCTCGTATTACGCTCGTAGGTACTAGGCTCGCGCTCTCTGCACAGAGTTCGATGCAAAGAAATTCGAGCAACGACTATACCGGCGATTAATTTTTCGATCACGTAGTTTCAAATACTCGTACGCCTCACCGTTCACGAGTAATCGACCTTCGTAACGAGCGATCTTACTTTTTCAAGTCCGACGAAGGCTTCGAAAGTGGTAACCTAGACCGCGTTTAGACCGACTCGAGCGACGATCCGTCGTCGTGTCGTCACGAAGATTTTCGGTTCGCTCGTCCGTCGCAATCACGGCGAATTATCTGCCCGTTCCATGTCCCTACGCACACAATTTTCCAAGCATTGAAATTCGATGCAAATAGCGCACGAGCTTGAAGAAAAACCGACGACACGACGCGATCCGATCGAGAATGCAAAGCACGATTTATCCAGCCGCAAACGTCACGCGGCCGACCTTACAAAATCCTTCGAGCCGGTGTCGCGACCTCGAAGCTACAACTTTCCACGAGCGCGACGCACGGCCAAACAAATCCGTCCCCGTCCGACGACTCAATTTGCAAAATGTCCAGTTTCGCGTCGAACGAGACAACGATTTCGTTTCGTAGATTACGAATCGAGGTAAGTGAGTAAAGACCAGTGAGCCGACCGACCGACCGACCGACCGACCGACCGACCGACTATCGATTACGTCGCGAAATTCGCCCGGATGAAACGCATTCGTCCAACGATAGAATCGTTTCGAAACGTCGATTATCCGAAAGGCGTGTCGCAAGTAACGCTAACGTCGCGTATGCATTCGTCGTGCAGGGCAATGCGTCGTCAGCCGATGTGGAAATTCCAACGAGACGGGTCAATAACGATTTCCCGCGTCGCGCAACCATGCTCGCCGATCGGACAAATTTTTATCGCTGGCTCGGTATCGGCAACGACAGTTGCCGTTCATCCTCTACAAACGATCCACCGTTAGCGGCGTCGGCGTCGGCTCGGACATTCGTCCGTCGAACTCGCTCGCCGATTATCGCCAATCAGAAATGGAACGTCCAACAATCATCGAGCAGTCGGTCGTCGAATAATAACCGGCGAACCCGAATAAATAAAAAAACCGGTCGCCCATGAATATCTCGTAATCGTAGCCGGTTGTTGGATAGCGTCAGAGGACACGGTAGATGATTGCAACGAGCGAACCGCTGCGCTGCTTTCAAGTACAAGCGCTGTTTACGGATAAAAGGATCGCGCGCGGCGATGCCTTCTCTGCCTTCTCTGCCTTTTCCATACTCGACGCGCAAAACCAAATTTACCAACTACATATGTACATATTTCTATCAACGGTCAATATTTACCACAATTTTATCTTTCATTCCAATTCTCTATATCGAAAATGTTGCAATTTTTTTATATCCTTGATTGAACTATGACATTTATCTATGTTACAGGACACTGGAACATCGTAGCTATCTCTATGTATATTCCATAGAGATATGTAACGGAAGGAAAAAGAAAAGAAAAGAAACCGAGAGCGACGATAGTTTGTTTAGTTCGGTTTGAAATGATTGGCGAGGATAAAATTCGTAAAGGATAAAGAGGTGCGCGCGCGAGGCATGAGAAACAGCAAGGCATCGCGGCACGACGACGGTCGATCGGTCGGTCGGTCGGTCGGTCGGTTTGCGGTCAACGAAGAAAGAGGGCCGACCGGACAGCCAGCCACGAGCGGGTTGGTTCGAACGGTCGGTCGGTCGCGCGTTTCAAACTCGCGCGTCACTAGCCTCCTTACGTAACAATCGATTTCGATGGAGAGACAAATTACGGTTTCCGTGCTATTTCGTGAAAAATTGGAACCAAATCGAAACGAAGGAACCAATCCGTCGATTCGAAAGAAATCTTCGCGGCGAGTTTCGCGCGGAACACACAACTTTCGTCGCGCTCCCGTTCTCACAATCGTCCGAACAAGAGCTGCAGCTGCTGCGGCTGCGGCTGCGGCTGCGGCTGCGGCTGCGGCTGTTCCAACTATAAGGCTGAATCGCGCAACCGAGTTCGTTGGATCGTTGTCGACGACGCGAAACATCTTACGCGAGGAGAACCGTCCAACAATTTGTAGCGGGTAACGGCACGCGTACGCAGGCCGCGCGTATATGCGCGGTACTACGCCTTTCCTCGGACTTTCGAACGCGCATCTTGCCAAGAGGAACAAACCGCATTTATGTTCTTCTTGGACGATTTTGCGTCGGGACACCGATACACCGACACTTTTAAATCTTACCAGCTTCCCTTTCGCGAACCGATTACGTTGTTACGACACAAGCTAATTCGTCCACGAAACAGAGTACCGATAGGTGAAAGCGCAATGGCCGCGAATTACCGGTCACGACAGTCTTCTACCCTCGTCAAAAGACCCGAAAAAATTTTGTTTGCTCGGTTCGCGTTCCCGTTCCCATTCCCGTTCCTGTTCCCGTTCGTTTACGCGTAAAATCTCGGCGAGAATGGAATTTTGTACGGCACATTCCAAGAGAGCGAGCGGCGGTTCACCTTCGCCGTAACACGGCCAATAAATTATACCATCGACCGGACAGAAAAGACCGTTTGGCCAGCACTCTTCTCGGCACGCGGCGGCTCGAATAATTCGCCAACGACTAAGAAATTCGGTTTTTTCCTACAATGGGAACGGACGTTGCAAATTGAAAGTAAATTCGTCGGAATGGTTGCAGGATTCGGCAACAGGTGTTCGCGTACCCGAAAACGCTTATCCTCCTGTTAAGCAAGTAAACGCGCACGACCACCACCGTTGCTCCGATATTCGACTCGAGAGGAATGCAACGTTCCTTCGATAATCCGTATCACGATATGTTGCGCGCGTGGAACTTGGTACGAGCCTCGTTAGAGCGAAAACCTGCCTCGGCAGTTTACCACGTTGCCACGTACCTACACCTATTCTCTTTCTCTTCCCTTCTTTTCCATTCCGTTACCTTTCTTTTATTCTTCTCCTTCGCCTCGACGACATTTTTCATCTATTATACTTTGCTCGCCACCCCCTCTCTCTATCTCCTCTATATCGTACACGCCGTACGCGATTTACGCGATTCCTATTCTATAGTAAAGGGAGGTAATCTTCTCTAGTCTTCTACGAAGATCAACGATCGATCGATCGATCGATCGATCGATCGATCGGAAACGGTTTAAATATTAACCACGCGTATCGTAAATTTCCCAACAAGTTACTCGAATGCATGGTTCCGCGGAGCGTGCGTTTCATTCGACTTGGAAATACCGAACCTACATACCTACCTACGCGTACTTGTCAGCAATTACCTACTCGTTATTATATAAGGCTACGCTTCCTGCTCTTACTCGGAAGGTACTTGGCGTCTAGCAAACGAAACAACCTCCACTCCGATCACCGATCGCCGATCGCCGATCGCCAATCGCCGATTCGAATCAATCCCAACGAATCTGCGGTATTAAACGTCGGGATTCCGGGTTTCTTTTCCAAACCTGACCATCCATTTGTTGTAACTGGTGCGAGAATATTTACGTGGTCGCGTTCGAGTATCGAGAAAGAACCGCGACGGTAGAACGAGACTCGTCCCGCGACTTTCCAGCTGCTCGATGCGAATCAGCGTCAAAAAGTTGCGCAACCGGTACAAACGACCAAAGAAAAATCTTGACGATAATAATTCTGGAATCACAGGTATCCTCTTGCTCGATCGTTTCTCATAATAGTATCAAAGTTCGCTTTCTGACGCGCCAACAATATCCGGAGGCTATGCAATTACGTGCGCGCACTACATTAACTCTCCTAAAAATGCTACGTCGCGTCGTTGCGACACTCACGCGACAATTATTTTTCTCGCTATTCTAATCACATAGTTTTCCTCGATCGGGAGCCGCCACGTCATTCGATACATGGAAATTGTACGTGGACACTTTATGCGTTAAAAATTAGCTGCTCGGTGGATACAGACAGCAGCAGCGTGCCACGCCGCACCGGCTAATTTCGTATCGCTCGATCGCGTTAGCTTTCGCGCGCATCGTCGTTCGGACAATACCTTCGATAGATATCTGGATACGTAACAGAGAGAAAAAATCGGTGCGTTTACGCTCGAGAATCGCAAACTCAAAGTGAAAGTAACAAAGACACTGGCCTCGTAAATGTTTGCCTTTTCGTCGGGAGGATAAGCTCTGGCTCGAGTTGCGATCGAGAACGTCAACGAGTCGTCGTCGGTTGATCGTTACGTAGCGACGGTGATTCATCGAGTGGGCATACGAGATGACACGTTCATCAAATCGAATTAACAGCGTACCAAGTGTGACGGTTCTGGCGCCGGTAACTGCGTTAATCATCTCGTTAATCTACCCTTCGACTCGACTCGACTCGACTCGACTCGACTCGACTCGACTCGACTCGACGACGTTATCCGATCGCTCGAAAAAACTACGTATCTACGTACCGCGTACGGTATATGATCTTTGTTACATTTTTGCATTTTACTCACACCATCGTCTGAGGAAGCCGCCTTGCAGTTTCGCGCAAATCCCACGATGTACCCTCATCTTGATCAATCACCGCGGCGTATACGCGTCCACGTATTCTTCTCGCTACCGTTCGCACACGCTCCGCGCCCCTCTCTTCTTTCACCCAAACGACTGCACGCGTTTCCTGCAACTCCTCTCTCTCTCTCTCTCTCTCTCTACTTTATATTACACGTTCGCGCCTTTATAGCGCTTTTTCTTCTTGACGATTAGTATTTGCACTTTTCCTCGTCGTCCTCGTCGTCGTCCTCGTCGTCGTCCTCGTCGTCGTCCTCGTCGTCGTCGTGATCGTCGTCTTTGAGTCGATCGTCGTTATCGCCGTACAACTCAAACTTCCCGACCGCGTTTATTCCCGCGGAAGAACGAAGCGACAGGGGCGGTGGTACGAGGAACGACGAGAAGGAGAAAGTCTATTCTCCTTTCCAAGCGACAAGTGTGCCACTGGTAATACGTCGACGAGGAACCAACGATACACGCTCGATGCACGATACGCGTTCCAACCACGAAACCTAACACGGCCAAACGAAACGGTTTACTTTTATCCACAGATGAAGAAACTATCGAAACCGTTTTTAGCCGCGTAGACGCACACGCGTCTGAAACGAGCACGGCGCCGAGCCGACTCTCTGACCACCTTGGTTATGCTTTCCGCCAACAATCCGCTCGGTCCTCGCATGCGCCCACGCGATCAAAACACCAACGATCCGTAACAAGAAAAAATACGCGGCAATTACTCGCGGATTTCCGATTAAACTTTCAAACCGATCGAACAACGATCCGTCGCGTCGGACCAGAGAAAACCAACCATCTAACGTCGAACCGGGCGAAAAAGGAACGCGAGCGAAAGCTGATCTCCTCGCGAAGAAACGTATACAACGGAATGGAATGGAATGGAATGGAAAGGAAAAGAAAAGAAAGGAAAGAAATTAAACGAAACGAAACCAAACGAAATGAAACGAAGCGAAGCGAAGCGAAACGAAACGAAACGAAACGAAACGAAACGAAACGAAACGAAACGGAGCAGAACAAAGAGAAACAATCGCGACGACGTTAGCTAAAACACTGCGCGACGATGACCAAACGAACGCTACTCCGTTCCCGCACCACTACAGTTCAGGTGAACGATTTATTATTACCCCCACTCGCCGCGCGTTACTTCCAACTTGTACGCTCCGAACGTTTCATCGGTTATCCGTTCCACCGGTTCCTTCTATTCTTCGCGTTATAACCTTCGCCTCCTCCCTCCCACCTTCGCACCACGTACTTACACTTTGCCACTGCCTAACCGACCACGCCGCGACAACTATGTATCTAGCTACTCCTTTCCTCCTCCTTCCTTGTTTCTCTTTCCTTTCCTTTCCTTTCCGTACCCTGGCTTCTCCCTACTCTGCTACCGTTATTGCCATTTCCTATTCTCCTTTTATTTCACCTCCTATCCCTACCCACCTTCATCCTCACCACCTCGCCACCTCCCTCGATCCTGCCCCCTCCCACCGCAGAACCTACACAGTTCATCCTCTCCTTCTCCTCACCCTCCCATTACCTCTGTTTCACCTTTTCCTAACATTATTCTCCGTCCATCTTTCCTTTTAACCGTCGCGTCACCTCGCGTCGCGTCGCCCCGCCTCGCCTCGCCTCGCCTCGCTTCCAATTCATTCCCTTCCTACTTTTTCTTATTTTACATTTCAAATATTTCTTCTGCCTCTGACATTCTTTCAATCCATCGTCTTCGCCTCGCCTCGCCTCGCCTCGCCTCGCCTCGCTTTTAACCAGGCAGAAATTCATTTAAACGCCAACAAACCTTTACAACTATATGTATAATACATATACATATACGTGACAATACCTAATAATTCATCAAATATTTCTTTTACGAAAACATTCTTTAAACATAACTTTTCTATATTAAATTTTATTACGCTTTACCAACACCTAACGAGAAACGTTGGGCATTCCACTGAAAAGATTCAAAGTGACTCCATAAAAATGTTCGTATAACAAATACTTAATAAATTACTTCGTGTCGTTACGTTACGAAACTCAGTCTGTGTGTAACGTATTGCGAGAAAAAACGACAAAAAAAACAATTTAAAATTCTTTATCCGATTCTCGTCTCATGACTTGGTCGTCACGTGTCTCTCATCCGTGTTTGCACGGATTGTTCCGAAAGCCCCCGAAATTACTGCCGAAAGAGCAACATAGTGCGTACACCCACGCGTCATTTCACCACAGATGATACACCTTTCCGAATTATTTTACCTCTGATTCGAATCGAAACGAATATAATGGGAACGATAATCTACGTCAGCCGGGAGGGTTGAGGGTTGAGGGTTGAGGGTTGAGGGTTGAGGGTTGAGGGTTGAGGGTGGGGCAGGAAGAAACGCGCCAAACTGTTACAGCAGCGATTTCAACGGGGGCGAAACCAAACGACGCGTTCGTTGGCGCAAACAAACACGCAATTGCCGTCGTGTAATTGTGTAACGAATGCACTGCCCTTGCTCGAGACACGACAGGATTACGGATAACGACGAGAGCCTTGACCTCTTAATTGGAACCTAATCCCTGTAATTTCGTGACACGAAAACACATTTACAGACAATTTTATCAGTCTAGACTCGATCGCGGTAATATCATATTAGACGTAATATTCGTGATTGTACAAATATTACGCAAGGACCGCCGTTTAATCCCGTTGACTCCGAGAATGGCATCATTATCGTTACGAACCTTTTTGCTACCGATACGCCGATACGCTGGTACGCGTGAGAAAAATACCCGTCCCTCGACAACTCATCCTTAATAAATGCAACCCCGCCGTCCACTTACCGCCAACCAGCCCTTTAAACAAATTCAAATTAATCCCCGATCACCGACTCACCGACTCACCAACCTTTTCCCCCACAAAATACCACCATCGCGACCATACCGCGACCATACCGCGACCATACCGCGACCATAAAGAATCGATTACGCGGTCAGAGCATTGCTCGCTCGTCTGCTCGTTAACGTGACTTTTAAATTAATACATTTCACGCAAGGAAAGAAATACATTTTATTTCGATTTTTATCCTCAGCGCATTAAAACTGCTCTGTACAAAAACGAATTACTACAGAAGGATAAACTCGTCTCGTCGATATTATTGTCTCGGGGATATTTGTTCATCTATCGATTTCACCGAATACTACATCCAGGGTACCGATAATAGCTACCACGTCGGCGAGAAACCCACCGGGACCAATGTGACGCAACGCGGATAAATGAGCAAAACCCGGAGCTTTGATTTTACACCTGTAAGGCTTACTGCTACCATCGCTGACCAGATAAACTCCAAATTCACCCTTTGGCGCTTCGATCGCTGTATAAGTCGCACCTGGTGGAACTTGAAACCCTTGCGTATATAATTTGAAATGATGAATCAGTGCCTCCATACTGTTTTTCATTTCTTCCCGTCTCGGGGGTACTATCTTCGCATCGTCGATCCTTACTTCACCCGGAGGCATCTGATTCAGACACTGATAAATTATTCGCAAAGACTGTCGCATTTCTTCCACGCGACAAAGGTATCTAAAATAAAAGAACCGCGACCGGTTAACAACACGCACACCATTAACTACCAACCAAACGGATGGATACGTCCGTTCGGTTCGATAACGATCCTTACCTATCGAAGCAATCCCCGTTTTGACCAATCGGAACGTCAAACTCGACGAGATCGTACGCGTCGTAAGGCGTCACTTTCCTCAAATCCCATTTCAATCCCGAACCTCTCAACATCACGCCGCTGAAACCCCAATCCAACGCCTGTTCGACCGTTACCACGCCAATGTTTTTCGTACGACTGGTCCACACTCTGTTCGATGTCAACAAATCCTCGACTTCGTCCAGCCGTTCGGCGTATTTCGAAGCCCATTCGTATATATCGTCCATCAAACCCAACGGTATGTCCAACGAAACACCACCAGGACGTATGTAAGCAGCGTGCATTCGCGCGCCGCTTACCCGTTCGTAGAATTCCATTAATTTCTCCCGTTCCTCGAACAGCCAGAAAAATGGCGTCAGAGCGCCAATGTCCAATGCGTGCGTTCCAATTCCCATTATATGATTCAAGATTCTTGTAATTTCAGCAAACAGAGCTAGAAATTTAAAGAACCGTCCCAACCGCTAAATACCAATCCCAAAACCAATATCGTACTACACCGACCACCACCGATACAAACCACTTATACTTTACTTACTTCTGATATACTTTGCACGCAGAGGTACCTCGATGTTTAGCAACTTTTCGATAGCCATGGAAAAGCATTGCTCGTTGCACATCATGGAAACATAGTCCAAACGATCGAAATAAGGTAATGCTTGCATATACGTCTTATATTCTATCAACTTTTCGGTACCACGATGCAAAAGACCTATATGCGGATCGGCACGAAGCACCATTTCTCCGTTCAATTCGAGGATCAGTCGTAACACACCGTGCGCAGCAGGATGTTGCGGCCCAAAATTTACAGTAATGTTTTTAATGTATGACACATCGTCCGGAATAGGTTCGACTGTATTTGGAAATAGCCACTGATTCTTGCTATCGCTGTAATATATTTCCATACTCTTCAACGCCCCCGCCATGTACTCGGGATCAGGCATCCATTGGTGTCCATTGCGCTGCTGACTGTAACGTTCGTACCATTTACTTCGAGATACCGTCTTTTCTAGGTTAGGACACGATTATGTAATCGAGTATCTACATCGCGCAATTACATTTGATAGCTCCGAAACTCGTTACGTTAACATCACCTTCCGACGCTTAGCGGAGTTCCGGTCCTGCCAGCACCGACAAGTCCTTTTTCCTTCCATAATCCAACGAATCCTCTTCCGGATCGTGATACAGACGTCAATAGTCTGGCGGCCATCGCGGACGATCAGAGCTTGTTATACCCACTTACGACCACAACGTACCCGTCGATCGCAACGCTATTTTCCTCTTCCTCTTCCTCTTCCTCTTCCTCTTCTTTTCGTTGTTATTATTAATTATTCCTATTATTAGTATATAGCCAACAGCTAACGATTCAACAAACACATTACTTACCCCGCTTACCCCGCTTTTCCCTACCGTTGCGTCATCGACGGACGACCCTTTTCTAGTTTCACTACCAGTCAACTGTTATTCCTCTTTCTTATCGATTCTGCACCATAGAAAAACCAACCTTAGCTACGTATTTCAAAGATGGTGCAGTGGCGCTGACGGCACTCACTGAGATCACACCATTCCCCGCGTTTCGATTCTTTCGATTCTCGCCCTCCAGAGACAAGCTACATAGAAGAGTAAGTACTTACTTAGACGTGTAACACCTTATGGAATTACCTAGCCCAATCTGACTGCCATACCGACCTGAACATTCCGAGGAGATTTTAGCGTCCTCTTCTCACGGATAGCGGTCAGTTGAGAAACTATTCACTGAATCGGATCAACAGCCATCTACCGACGGCTGCCTAGATCAGAATTTTTAGCACAGACGCGGTACATATACACGAGTAAGTAGGTACACCTTTCACCACAGACGAGCTATACGAATAGACCAACTAACCCAGCCCCCCTTTCACCTAATGGAATTTTTCGGCCCGAGTTTATGGGCTCCCCCCGGGACCCCATTACCATTTTCCTGTCACTCGCAACGTTATCAACAGATTTAGAAATTAACACAAGAGGAAGCGAGACAGAAAATAAAATTACATAAATTTTATTATTTTTGAACGGAATGAAAGCTGTATGGTCCAGAATTGAGCATCGATCGATTAATTTCATCGGAATAACCAATCGATCGAGATTATTTAAAGATTTCAAAATTATTAAAATACGTAAGGATCTCATTGATAAATACATACACCGGAAATCCTCTATTATTTATTTTCAATTCTAATATATTATTTATTTAAAAACTAACTCGGCAAGAAACGTATTTGCGACTCGAAATCAGTGTTATCGGACCGCACACCAGCACGAACAAGCTATGCGCAACTATAAGAAGAACGCAGCCATTAGCTCATATTATTTCCTATCTAATTAATAATTCTATTAATTACATAGTAAATAATATGACCCAGGTCTCACCACGAGGAGGTTGCTGCGACTGGGAGACCCGCCCTAGCCTCGCCCCAACCACCCTTCCTTTGGCGAGGAATTCGAATACCTATCGAATACCTATCGAATACCTATCGAATACCTATCTAAGGGAGAAGCTATCGAAGAGTTCGAAACGAGCTAGAAAAGTCGAGTTCTTAAAAGAACTGCCCAATCAAGGGACGAAGAACCTAACAAAATGTCAATACATGTCAGATGATACACATGTTTCCTAACAAACGAAATTTAAATGTGCAACTGCACCTACGAACTCTGATGAAGAGATCGAAAACCTAACAAAATGTTGATACATGTGAAATAATCCAACACATGTTTTTTTTAGAAAGAAAATTGGTGATGTGCAACCGCACGTACGAATCCTGATTAATAAAGTACCTATATGTATGTACTTTATTATTAATTGTTCCTTCTTAATTATGACAGTGCACATAAGAAGACACTCAAGACCCAACCAGAAATGTGCAACTGCACGTATGGACCTTGCACATTAAAATACTAATATGTACCTTAATATTAATCATCCCCACTTAAATTTACGCACGCGTTTCAGTAGTATAAGTATAGTAATAAAACGCTGGAGAACGCTTATATCTACATATACATATACATTTCTACTTATATTCTAACGCAATATGTGGAAACGAAAAAAATACGAGGAAATATTTTCTTCTTTATGTCTTCGTCAATCCCACGATGTTTTTCTAAAACATACACTCATATACAATAAATATAATATTTTCTTCTTGGTGTTTTCGACAATCCCATGATCCCATTATCCTGAAACAAAAACTCATATCCAATAAAATATATGTATAACTCATATAAAACAGAGAAATACGACAAGATATTTTCTTCATGGTGTCTTGGTTAATCCCACGATGTTTCCCTGAAACATAAATCAGACAATATATGTATAGAATTGTATGAAATATTTCTCTAAAAACTATCAAGATGGAATCCGTGTATAATTTTCAATTCCATTCTTCGATAATTATACATATGTATATCCTGTAACAAGAACTTGTTCAAAGGATTAATAGCTGAAATGAAAGTGTATTAGTGAAGAGAAAAAAAATGAAATTAATATTTCAACTAAAACTTCCACGAGTAAACATTGATATAAAAAAGTTTAAAAACATAAATATTACGTGCAATTGAATGAAAATTCGTCTCGATGTTAAGATAAATATGAAATATATTGAAAATTTTATTCATTCGTTACCGTAGACTTTATTTTTCGTTTTCTTTATGAAATAAACAATTTTTCAAGACGTACATGTACATTGCAATAATTATATTTCACTGTATTAAAAACTAAATTAGGTTCATAGAGAAAAGCAATAGCGAACGAAAATGTCGATTCTACGCGGCAATTAACTCTCAATATGAAATATCCAATTGCAATTTGCATTACCCTTTTGATACAAGCATTCTATTTTCCATCGATTAATTGTTCAATGATCGCGAACAAACTTTCATTTATGCAAAGAATACAGAATCTTTATAAAAAAATCCACTATTTATAAATAACAATTAGGTTGAAAAGGTTATTATATCCCGTAAAAATGATCAACTCTGATAATGAATAATTGGTGATACATATACCTACATATATTATGAATCATGAATTTAATCTACGACATAAAAATATATATTAATCAAATAGACAGGTTTTAACACGTTCTGAAAAAAGAAATAATTGGTCTATTTACCCCAGTACTTTCAAGCAGTATTTTCATTGGCAAACATATCAAGAAAAGGATATATTTCACATAGTTGGGGTATATTTTCCACTCATAAATTAAAAAAAACAACCCGTGAGTGGACCTTTCTTTCGCAACGCTAATTTATAAAATATAAAAGTATACGCGAGTGGTGCTTATTATTCGTAAAATGAACCACGCAGGGTTCCTTTATTAATTAAATCGCGTGCACCCGTATTCAATCATGCGCAACACTAATTTTAATAATGACGTTGAGCCATTCGAGGCTTTGCAGAATCCCAGGTTGCTTCTTGATGATCCTGGTGCAGTGTGCAGCGTTTTGGCCAGCTTTTGGCCATTGGAACGCAACTCTAATTAATCAAAAACGCGACAAGTAAAGATCGCAACGCTAATTTATAATATAGAAAAATTCCAAACGCGATTTCTAACGATAAAAGCAACCGCGAATGGTGATTATTCGCAACGCTACCCTGAAAAGTAAACGCGAAAAATAGTAATTCGCAACGCTAAGAGCAAACCGATCGGTTAATTCGCAACGCTATTCTTAAATAACGATAAAAGCAATCACGTATGGAATTCGCAACGCTAACCTGAAAAGGAAACGCGAAAAATAGGGATTCGCAACTCTACGAGCAAACGCGATTATTGTATATCCGCGACTCTATCTTTAATGGAAATATATTTATGTTTCGCAACGCTAATGCAAATCGCGTTGCCCAAAAACGCTGGATCAGGTGCTGGCGTGTTCGGTTGTAGCTAGAAACATACATGCACACGATAATCTAACTACATCGAGCTACTTCAAACTACGATAGAGTGGCACATATGGGGATGATGTTAGACGTTTTAAATATCGCAACACTACGGGACAACAACGCGATAAATCAACAATCGCAACGCTAATTTATAATAGAAAAATTCCAAACGCGACTTGCAAGTATAAAAGCAACCCGCGAATGGTAATTATTCGCAACGCTACCCTGAAAAGCAAACGCGAAAAATAGTAATTCGCTACTCTAACAGCAATCGCGTTTACTAATATGTACTTCGCAACGCTATTTTTAAAGCAAACGCCCGGTTCCTAGGTTTGCACAAAGACAATCGCGAATCGTATTTATTCGCAACACTGATATATCAACGCGATAAATATTTGTTCGCGACTCTACGAGCAAACACGAACATTGTGTATTATTCGCAACTCTAACTTGAATCAGGGGCTATTGGTACATGTACATAGACATGTACTGGCCACAAAATAAACTAACTACTGCTAGTACTACGATTGGGGTAGAATTTCGGCATTGAAAATATCGCAACTCTAAAGAAAAAATCGCACGATTGATCAAGATCGCAACGCTAATTTATAGTATGAAAATTGCAAACGCGGTTGATGTCCATTATATGTATGTATGTATAAAAGAGTAAAAAAGCAACGCGAATCGTGATTGTTCGCAACGCTACCCTGAAAAGGAAACGCGAAAAATGGTGATTCGCAACTCTACGAGCAATCGCGTTTATCGATAATTCGCAACGCTACTTTTAAAGCAAACTCCCGGTACATAAGTTTGCATGAAAAGAATCGCGAATGGTAATTATTCGCAACACTACCCTGAAAAGGAAACGCGAAAAATAACAATTCGCAACTCTAAAAGCAAACGCGATTATTGGATATTCGCAACTCTATGTATATCATAACCGCGAGTTATGGGGAGGGATGGCTGGCATGTATGGTGCAATCGTGTACCATCAGGTACATGCATACGTGAGCCAGTCAGAAAAATAAACAAACTACAACTACGGACGAGTTAAGTGACAAAGTAGCAATAGGAATGACTTTCCATCCTCATCCGAGGATGAAGATGAAAAGCCATTTGTTGTAGCCCACTCTTGAAACTGTTTGTCAGGGCCTCTTCGGCTCATCGAGAGCCTTTTCTTTCTTCGGCGGTCCTGCCGATGCCTGAAACTTACGAAAGACCGGGCTCGAGATTTCGTGCGATACGTAGTCTTCCAACAATATACGAATCGTTGAAAGAGCAAACGTGGTCATCTCGAGCGGGACGAACGTTTCGAAAGGGACCTGATCGCGAGCGCGAGCGCGAGCGCGAGCGCGAGCGCGAGAGAGCGACTTTAAGAGTCGCGCGATTCGAGGAGTCGAAAATAAAGCCGAAACAAACAGCACAAGTGCGCAACACCGTTTGAATCAGCAAAATTTTATACTCTCGAAATCGTAACTACAGGAACAGAACTGCCACGCGAAAACGCGCCTACCCGATCTACGTATAACTAATGTGGACAGTCCTGCCCTGACCCTACCTACTTAGATTAAGCACACACACCAGAGAATAAGTTACCTACCTACCTAACCCTATATTTAAAAAATTCCAAAACTCAGTCTCTCAAACAAACACTCCACGGTTCTCATTCACAATGTCCGGGCGCGACCTAAACTAGAGAGGACTCCCCGGGGTTCCTCCGACACCCGGACATAACACTTCATTCATACTCTAAATGTACGTACCATTTCTGGAATCGACTGACAAAGCTAGTGCCCATTGCGTACTTTTATTATTTATGTAAAACATTTTAATATATCTGATATAGTCTTTATTAAAATATACTCTATATGTATATGATCATATAAGATCGAAAAGCTAATTCATTATGCATTTTACAATATCATTGTCGTGTATGCAATACAAACAATTGCCAAGTAAATAATAACTATAAGTTATCGAATGTTAAAAAATTCTGTATCTGAATTGTAATGAACTTTTGAAACGATGCACTTCCACATCCTAACCACAAACACACATATGTGGACGGTACATCGTGCACGATACACTAGCATTGTCAGTCGCACGGATAAATTATTATTAGAAATGTTAGAAACTAAGTCATCGTGCCCCGTTGCCTTCGCTCGTGCAAATAACACTTGGGCATGTGCACGAACTTGGGCAACGAACACGGAAAAGTATCCTGAAAATCCTCACTAGAAAAACTGGTTATTAGTAATTAACTAAACGGTATCTATTCTCAATTAAAATGACTCGACTTGTTATATGTGATATATCAACAACAGAGTACGTTAATATTGAAAAATATTATTATTCAAGACAAATTTCTAACTGAAATTGAATTGTTCAAAATGGAAGACTTTAATAAAGATATCATAATAAAATAATTTACTTTGGAAATTGAAATAAGTTTGTTAAATTATTATTAAAAATATTCAATTATCCCTGGTCGTTTCTGTCGTCAAAGTAAATTTTTTAAAAGATGAAACTAACATGCATGTTCGTTTGATTTGAGAAACGACCAGTCGCGAAATGCCTTCTTGCACGTATTAATTCGTATTCTACTCAATTATATAATTCATATCAAGTTGTGTAACATTTATTGGTAACATTAAAAAACGCGAGTGCAAGAAGACCCTAGCCTACACTAGAAAAATATAACAATTGATGTTGCTACTCGCGGGTATTTTTCATACCCGCGGTCACTTGACTCGTCAAACATACCAAGTATACAACTGGTCACCCGTGTTGATTCGGATCTTTCATCCTACAACATGATTGGGTACCAGAGGAACACAAATAGCATGCGACTCACCAGTGATGAACTTGTGCCTCTGGGATCACTGCATAATGATTGCTGCTGCTGCTGCTGCTGCTGCTGCTGCTGCTGCTGCTGCTGCTGCTGCTGCTGCTGCTGCTGCTGCTGCTGCTGCTGCTGCTGCTGCTGCCCACAGCATGGAAGTCATCAAAGCCCCCTGCATGCTCCTGCTATAAAGAATAACAAAGCAATTATAATCTATTGTTGAAATTACAGAGATTTTTAATTAACAAATTTATAAGTATAAATTTATACTTACGTTGTTCGCTCGTGGTCCACCGCCCGATACTCCCCGAGTGCTGCTGCTGCATACCAAGATCATGTTCAGAAACTGTAAGAAAACTGTAAGAAAACAATTAGAATCTATTGTCAAAACTGTAGAGATTTTTAATTGACAAATTTATAAGTATAAATTTATACTTACATTGTTTGCTCGTGGAGCATCGGCCAATAGTCCTCTTCGGTGATGCACCGACTCTAATTCCGGTAACGAAGAGTTTAAATTTCAAATTGAAAAAATAATTCATTTGATTGGAAAGTATTAAATTAGATTACCGCGGCCGAAGATTCAAATCGGCGAACAAATGATTCTATTATCGCGATTCAGAAAACAAAAAGAGCCACGATGCTCCGTAAATAATTTAATACTACGTAAGAAACACTGCTTCTATTCTCGCGTTTGCCTAACACCGTGAACGATAACGAGCTTGGGGTCACTTTGCCCCGAGAAACAAACTTGTTGCTACGTACGATCACTGAATCTACCGGCCGCATTGCGCGCGGCCAACAAATTTCCTGGAAAGAAAACAGCTGAAAAGAAAGGGAGAGGAGACAAGAAATACAACGAGCACATCTGTGCTTTGCCTATCGATTTTCTTTTTTCTTCTTACTAGAGTTCGTCAACGAAAACACTGCTTGACTTACAACTGCTGTATACATAGTTTGTCCCGTACAAGATCAATGCCACGAAGGCGAAATATTCTCAATGAGAATTTCAACGATAAAATATTATTTACCAAAATAATTATTCAATTTATAAATATATCACCAAGTTTCATAGTTAGAGTTGTAAACATGATCATGTTTACTTTACCGAACGTTACAATATCCCGTAATTTTTATAAATATTCCGATATTTGCAAGAATTAAAGTTCGTTGGTTATTTGTGCTCGAATAGCATATTTCAACGCCGCGGTTACTACATTTCCTTAAACTTGCATCGAAATATATGTATATGCAAATTGCAATTACAACGATTCATAAAGAAATATAAACGATCGATTAAATAAATAACACTCGGAAATATTAAATCGCGATCAGAATACAGTTAAATATAAACTATGTATTCCAATTTATCGTCGATATCTACCGACGCCATTTCTCTATACTTCGATATACATACATATATCGAAGTGGATAAAAAGTTTGTCAAAGATTTTCATAATTTATCTTAACAATGGCCGATTAAAAAATTAAAATCATGCTAGCAACAAATAATGTAACAAAGCAACAATAAAAATGTATAAATATTAATATGAATGTTAATTTTTGTTATAATTGTTTAAATGTTACCAATATACATATGTACCCTCAAAAATTTCTCGACTCGTCTGCCATCTGTTATATGGTGTCGTTTACGCGCCAATGAAACTTCCCATGGCCTCGAATTTCAATCAGAGACTGCAACAGAAATGAAATAGAAATTAAATCGTAATTAAACAATAATCGATAATAACGAAGAAATATTAAAAGGTTAGAAAGACGTATGTACCTCGTTGGTCGCGAAACGCCGACACGTCTTAGCAGGTTCCAACAAGTCTTATTATTTCTTCATTTCGAGTTCCAATATGAGACTGTAACAGAAACGAAATAACGATGCATTAAAGTACGGAAACGATTATTAGAATAAAGTTATGATTAAATCGAAACCGTATTGCAAGAGATCGTAAGTAGTAATACGCGAGTAGTAATAGAGGAAGGATAAACAGGTTAGAAATACGCACCACGGCCGCGAAACGCCGATACGTCTCGACACGTCTTGCTACGTTTATTTTCAAAGTATCAATGATGGCCGTCCGCTATGCTCGGCAACGCTCGCGAATTACGCGGCGGAGTGGGGGAAGCTCCGATGTCTCGCGAAGCTTGCATTACGAACCCGACCGATGCCTGAGACAGACACCGCGGATAGAGTGATTTTAGCTAATTATTTACAACTTTAGCTAGTCAAGGAAACGCGAATAATTAATTCGTACTTTGAAACTCGTATGCATTTACACGCAACTAGTCTGCTGCCCTTTCACACTGATTCAGTGAGTTTCTCAACTGACCGCCATCCATGAAAAGAGGCCGCTAAAATCAGCTCGGAATTTTCAGGTCGGTATGGCAGTCAGATTCGGCCACGAAAGTCGATAAGATGAAAGATCTACTCGTATACCTCGTCTGTGTTTTTAGTAGCCTGTCGAATGTGGTGGAATTTTCAAACGACCATAACTCGTACAATAATGAATGTATTTGGTTGAAATATATTTATCAAGTAGAGCTGATGCACATACCTAGAGAAATCTATTAGACAACATTTCCGTACAGCGTGAAACAAATTTATTAGAAATAAAAAGCGGAATTTTTCCGAAAAATCGACAAGGCGTAGGTGCTGAAATTTTTCAGCGGAAAAAAAATGTTGAAATCGTTCTGGAAAAATTATTTTTGGCTGCGAGGGTGAATCATTTTACAATAATTTTTGGTCAATACACATACCCCATAGCGATATGCACTTTCGTTCGAGATGTCTTTTAAAATCTTGACAAATATTAGAATAATTTTGTTACGAGAATATCAATCGCTGCATGTGAACTCCATACAGAGTACTTGAACAATTCTAAATAAAACTCGGCATTGTTTAACATTCGAACGCAATAGTTTGAACAATTCTTAATAATACGTGGTATATAAATAACAAAAGGGCTCATCAGTATGCGTAAATAATAATTTTTCGCGAAATAATTTGTCCAGCGGACGGGTTGAGTGGACGGGCTCATGTGGTGACTTGTATATCTCATTCTCACGGGGGACTCGAAGGGTGGCGGGACTTCCGGGATCATCCTAGGCTGACCAGGGGCAACCAGTACCGATCACTGCTAGCTACTACTGGCCAGTTCTGACTAGCGCTCGTACCACTATGTACTGACCCCGCTCTGCACGTATCTCGTTCCTTGCGCCGATCGCTGCTGATCGACATCGCGTCGTATCGCGTCGTATCGCGTCGTATCGCGTCGTATCGCGTCGTATCGCGTCGTATCGCGTCGTATCGCGTCTCCCTCGATTTACCTTCATCCATTTTTAAACGAAATAATTACTTTGTACGAGTAAAAGATCGAAGGAACATTGGTTCCTTCTAGTTTAGTAATCTAGCTTGTAAGAATGTAAAAGGGAGATCGATGGGGAAGTTTGATTCTTCCATCTATCTCGCTTCGGGTTCTCCACTCGCAGCTACCTCCTCGTGGTGAGAGCTGGTAATCGGTGTCGGCCACGATTACCAGAAAAGTTATTCTTCGTGGGTGAGACCGAGCTACGATAATGGCTGCGAATTTCCAATTGTTTCTGTTGTTATATACATATAATAAACGAATTGAAATTTATAGTTGGCCAGGCGTTTGGTTAACCATTATGTTAGGCAGGTTATTTTTATTTAAAGAGAAATTCTTTTTAAAATTCTTTCCCACTCTGTTCGTTGGTTGTGCATCTTTCATTGGTTGCAGTTTCCGTAACGGGATGGGTACGGATGGATACGATAAATCTGTATAAAGCATTCGAAGGAACCTGATCGAACATTGTTCGAGTGATTGTTTAGGTCGAATAAAATGTTGTTTCGAAATTGGCATGGGCAAGAAACCGCACCGACATACGTGCTCGCAAAGTATTTACAATTTCCTCACGTGTACAATGATTGGCAATGATTTGACGCGGGTCACCGTATCGAGGCTGCTATTTCGAGGATAGAGAATAAGGTAGGGTGAGACGAGATAGTTGAGAATGAATCGACGTCACTCTCGCGAACCAGCATACCAGTGATTGTAATTTCGTACCGTTGGTATGCGCCAACGTATTATAATCGAGGCTGACAATAGATAGATAGATAGATAGATGGTAAAAGTTGGTCCGATTTTTCTCTGTTGTTATCCTGGCTGACATTAATAATAATAATAATAATAATAATAAGAAAAGTGAAATGGTCGGTTTATTTAGACCTGTTGGACAGTTGGACCATACGAACGCGTGTCTATGCGTAGAGATAGTTGTAAGTAAAGGTAGAAAAGTACCGGTTTAATAATATGTATAGAATAACGCGATAAGATAACTGGTGGGTGGGTGGGTGAGTCGGTGGTTACGGTGTTGATCCCGCGAACGGACACGTTTAAAAAAATGTTGCGTGTCCCTGTTTCGTTGAAAATGTTCGTTAATGAAAATCGTAAAGAAGGTAACGGTGCAGCGACTGAGGTAATTGAAGGTTACGAACAATTTTTGGTAACTTGGTGCCGCATAACTTCCGGACTATTAATCTGGCTTGATGAGTCAAGGGCAAGGGGGTTCTCGCCGCTTCCATGACCATCGCTTTCTGTGCGTCCGTCAGACTGCTCGATCTTCGTATCATACAAGGGTCGAAACTTTCGGCTGCTTCCAGCAACGCCTTGAGCAGTCTTGGCTTGTCCGCGGTGTTTTGCAGAGAGTTTAGTATACCGTGTGGATCACGGAACTGCGTCTTGATGACAACTCGTGCGCCGTATTTGAGCAACAGAGCCACCACTTGTACCGACGGGTTCTCGTTCGAAGCTACATACTCGGCGAGCACTGGACGCAACGCAGGGCCTTCGTCGCTGCGTATCACCAAGTTGGGATCCGCACCTCGTTCCAGCAGCATCGAGAGGATCTTGAGTCTGTTTGGAATGTTGTCCGCGCAAGCGACGTGAAGAGGCGAACCGATGATCGGCGAGGTCGCGTTCACGTCCGCTCCTAAATTCGAAATAGTCGATCGAGTAACGTTCGCGTCGAGTCGAGTCGAGTCGATGACCCGAAAATCAACTTACCCGACATCAAGAGCATTTGGACGATCGAAGGATCCCCCTTCAAAATAGCGAGATCGAGAGCGGTGGGTTTTTGATAGTCGGCCCCGAGGTCGAGGCGAGCGCCTTGCTTCAGAAGCAGCTCGATCACCGCCGGATCTCCGCCGAGGATCGCGTAATGTAGAACCGTCCGATAGTCGTGTCTCGCATCTGCCATCGAATTAACATCCGCACCGTAGCTCAGTAACAGCAACACAGAAGATATACCCTAACGAACATGTATGTACATGTAGATATGTAGATATAGTATAGGTAGAGTATTTGTAAAATATTTTCATTTACCTGAGGTAGTCTCGCGGCTTTCATCAACGGCGTGAGTCCCGCGCGATCTCTCGTGTTTGGTTGAGCTCCAAACGCCAACAACAGTTCCATACACTGCAGGTCCAACGGCGAAACCAAATTTATCTCCGATCCGAAAAAGTACCTTTTATTCGGATTCGCGCCAGCTTCCAGCAATATTCTAGCTACGTCGACGTGCCGGTTTCTCAGGGCGAGTCGCAGCGGTTCGTCGCACAACGTCGTCCTAAGCATATCTATCGTTGTTAATCGCGATCGATCCGATCGTTGCTCGTTCGTCCGGCCGGCCATTCGATTTCTCTACACCGTAGTAATTTATAACACAGCCCGGAAGATCCTTGATACGTAAGTACTAGTTGGCAATCGAATGTTGCAGGCAACGCGCGATCAAGATCGAACGATAGAAAATTTGGTGTCTGGTTGCATGAAATAATATAATAAAAGGGAGATGGAATGTTCGGAGATCGATAGCCGGGGTGATGGATGGCTGGCGTACCTGGGAAAAAGCTCGCCGGTTTCTTGTCGATGGTCGACTCTGGCACCGTGCTCGAGCAACAGCTTTACCAAATCCAAGTAACCGTGCTCGGCGGCAAGGTGCAACGCCGAGTATCCGCACTCGTCGGTTGCGTTTATGTCCGCGCCGCGCACCAACAACAGCTGGGCCGCCTCCGTGTACCTCTGCCACACCGCGTAATGCAATGGCCTCAAACCCTGAGTGACGGGCTCGTTCGCCTTTGCCCCGCATGCCAGCAGGATACGAATCTCGTCGAGCGGTTGCAAACGTATTATAGAGTCGGCTAGTTCCCGTTGCAACGGGCTGGCAGTGCATTCGGATGGCATCTAAACGTCGGGAACGAACCACGTGAAACGAAAACAAACGTGACAAACGTGACAAACGTGACAAACGTGACGATCGTTACGATTACAATTATTATTCCCTGTAAGCTCGAGGAAACGCGACACAGTATACTCGGTCGGAAAGAAACATGAACAAGTAATTGTTCTAATCTACAGACAGTTTGTTTATCGTTTAATAGAATTTTAGCTATTGCCGATTTTATCCTGTATATCGAGAGTTCCGATGGAAACGGTAAGTTATCTACATGTTTATTCTATCCAAGTATACAGGCGCTCGCTCGCTCGCTCGATGACGAATTTCCATGGAATCGTCAAACTCGCGTCGCGTAGCGTAGCGTCGCGTCACGTTACTTCGTAGAGTCGAGATCTCGATTGAAACCGCGTCGAGAAGCCTGCCAAGGCAGCGACACAATTTTGGCGATGATATCGGAACCGCGGCCGATCGAGAACCGTCGAACTGGCCTATTCTCTTTTACAAACGATCCAATAGATCTACAAATGTTCCCCGTCTCTGGTTAGTAGATACTTTTCTTCCCACTTTCCTTTCTTTCGAAGAATGTTGGCCAAGTTTAGTAAACGACGATCCTACGATTCGAAATTGTTCGCAACGATAGTTGTAAACGCATCGTCGTCGCGTACAGATGTACTCTCGCGCGGAAACTCGTACGAGTGTCTGGTGCGGTCCGTTGGAATCTCGAAGCCGTTAAACAGAAGCAGAACACGCGAGATTCTACTCGATACGTTACGAGGAAAGAAAACGCGTGCCGTGCGCGCGACCGACCTAGTTCGTTTTCAACAAGTTCCGATTCATCCAACAATTGTCCCCGATCCTAACATTTTTCCGGATGAAAAATGACGTTTGACGTTTCTCGACACGCTCACTGTTCATCGTTGTTTACTCACGGCGAATAATCTGCGATGCTCCAACATATAGAACCGGTTGCGTTCAGAACTGTCTTGTTCGTCGGAAACTCGGTCCTATTTAAAGCTTCGAACGGCGATTCCGCCCGAAAATAACACAAAGGGAACGCGCGGGAGTGTGCGCACCAAATCACCCGCTCGCGACAACTGCGCAATTTTCGCATCGAGTCGACGCAACGTACATACGTTTGCTTAGCGCGCGCCGCGCAGCGCCTACCCCGCCTCGCCTCGCCTCGCCTCGCCTCGCCGCGCCCCGCCTCGCCTCGCCACGGCCCTTCACTCTTTGTATTCCCAATTTGCTTAAAAATCGCTGCGCAACAATGGACTTTTGATCCAATGGCTTGAAAAGATGCAATCGTTTACCGGCGAAGCGCCGCATGCGAATTCCGCCTACGCGGACACAATCGACTAAAGTTTCTTGCGCGTCTGAATCAACTGCGAATCCAGAATACGAGAATCTCGCCCCTCTCGTGATTCACTCTCGGCTTACGTTCTACATATACATACATACATATACTATGCTAACATAATCATCTTTATTTTTATATTTTTTTTACTAGTACTGGTAGTATTTCATTGATAAATATACACGGATCATTATTCGATCAAATTGAAATATCTTTATTTATTATTGTATACTTTTTCATGTGATCGCACGTACGCATCGACGATGACAAGGATAAACCAAACTGGTTTTTTAAAAGAATCAAACGCGTTCCTGTTTTTGGAAGTACTTTTATTAAGAAATACTTTGCACTTAATAAATGCCTTATACTCTTAATTCACTTTAATTATAATAATAATTATTGTTATAGCATTGTCCTATCTTTCTACTTAGAAGCATGCTTCGCTAACACACGTTACACGACCCTAAAATTATAAGCAATTTTTTTTTTTCTTAACGTACAGCTTATACGTAAATCAAACAACAATACTTTAATTTCACGAAGCCGACAAGTGCAGAGTTTTCAATGGAAATCTTCGCAACCTACGAAAAATTCTGTACATAAGTGCATATATGTTGCGACTCGAAGAAACATCGAACGCGTTACTGTTGCTGCTGTGACGTTGATTACCGAATCATCTCGCGCAAGTAAATCGACCTATACTCTGGATATTATCGTAAGCTTCCTCTCGAAATTCGATCGGTAATCGCTGAAACAACGACGCTCGACGCCCGCCGCCCGCCGCCCGCCGTTTACCTATACCTTTCACGTTCTGCGCGTCTTTATCCTTTCGGTGCCGTGACAAATAATCGTACAAACAGATCGTAATAAGAAAAATAAATACAATTCGATACATTATTTTTCCTTTCCTGCGTGCGTGCGTGCGTGCGTGCGTCGCATTATCGCGGTTCAACCGAACAACACCATGCAGGGCTTCGCAGGACATCATATTATTTACCTATATCTGATGCTAACTGTTAATTTATCCATCTACCTGCGACGCGTATATGCGTATGTTGATCGTGCGTACATTTCCGACGTCTATCGCATCAAATGGTGCCGTCTTTCGAGCGGAAAGACGCTCGTCGCGGCTCCTCCTTTTAATATCATTCGTATCAAACACGTCTATCGAAAGACGGCTCTCGCTCGAGACGATATTACATAGTTCGTACGTAAGTACACGCAACCGCCTCTTAACGGTCACGTTCAATTTGTTAGTCTTAAGGAACCTACGTTTATAGAAAATTGGACTTTTCATAGGTTTCTGATTTCGTCGAAAAATATCTATAGAACGTTCTCCACGATTCTAACCCGAACAAGGAACCGGATCGATCGGTCGATTACTTTGGTACGAAAAAGATCGACCAAAACCGTCATATATGAATATATGTAGTATGAATCAATTTTTTCCGCTCTCTTCTACTATCGTTACACATTCATGCACCCACTCGTTCACGCGCGCGCGCACACGGACACACGGACACACGGACACACGGACACACGGACACACGGACACACACACACACACTCTCTCCCTCTCTCTCTCTCTCGCAAGCATTATATTTTATCATACAAAAATGAAACATTTTATACATAAGCGTGAAACGAATGCACAATGCCAGAATACGTTCAAGTAAAATTGTTCAATTTTATAGATTCTGTTTGAGAATAAAAAAAAAAAGGAATCAGAAAAATATTAGAAAAGACAAAAGACAAAAGCCACGTCGCAGAGTGGATAAAACATTAGAACCGATCGATCGTGTTCCCTGCTATTCGCAGAATAGATTTGATCTCGGTAACTGTAAAAAGAAATCTTAATTATAGTGATCGATCGATCATCGTAATAGGTATAGTCGCAAATTCTATCTACAAATAATAATACCGCTTTAAAAGTGTAGTCCGAAGCGATAACCTAATTAAATATAACATAAACTGCCTCGAAATGGCTACGATCTACGTATTCCTAAGAAAACGGCTATAGTAATAATAGTCGTCAAGTGTCGTCCATGCTTCTTTGATTGTTATTTAGTTACATATTTTAAGGGCATTATAATTCACGTGAGTATGACACGGATTTCCACTAAAAATATTGTTACATACGCTGAGCATTACTGACTTAAGCACTGTACTAAGTTCACGTAAAATGTATCGTTATTATTAGAAAACTAATTATTCTTCATTGGTTTGAAATACTGGTTTTTAATAGATCTGTATAAAACCTTTGTCAACTGGAACTCTTTGAACGATGATTCGCGCGATACGAATTTTCAAGCAACAACGCTGTACACCGGTGAAAAAATTACCTCTCGTCGCTTTATTCGTTATTTCGGCAAAATTCTAACTGCACGCGCAACGCTCGTTCGTTTATGATTTTTTTCTTTTTCTTTATCTTTCTCTCTCTCTCTTTCGCGCTCTCTTTCTCTCTCTCTCTCTCTCTCTCAACTTGCTTGCAAAATCTCTCGACGACCAAACGACGAATACGATAAATGATTAGCAGAAAATTGGAAGGCAGACGTAAATGGGATCAGGGCAAAGAAAGAAATGTGAAAAACGGTCAACAACGCAGTAAGGAGACGGGAGATAAATGACCGAAAAGGAACAAAGGGAAAGTAAGAAAACCGCATAGCAAAGGATATTTGTACGATCTATGCGATCTTACACGGATTAAATGGAGAATCAGGAAACACGTCCGTGAGTCAACTGTTCTAATCTGTCTGCTGCGATGCGAATTCGCGCGAACGAGGTGGAATTTTTAGACTCACTGTGTACCGCGAGAAATCAAAAGTTCATTAAGTTTCCTAACCTAATTTAGTCATTCTTTTACACGGTATCCTGTATATTGTCAAGTACAAATAAAGTCAGGATTTATCACGAGGCCAGAATAAAAGGCAGATACCTTATAAATGGTAGGACATCGTCTGTACAACGGTTTACATCGATTACGTCCATTACTCTTCTCCTTTTTTCCATTCTTTTGTTTTTTTTTTTTTTGGGTTTTTTTTTTTTTTTTTTTTTTTTTTATCTGGCACTCTCCTATTTTAGGCTGTTTCACGATTACGGTAATTTGTTTTGCTGGTTTATTGCATTGCATGGAAAAATATGGCTTTATCCGAATGCTATTTAACAAAGGCAATACACTGTACGATTACGTTACATTTCTGTGTTTGTGTTTGTGTGCGTGTGTGTGTTCGTGTGTATGCGCGCGCGTATAAATATACTACACGTAAGTACGCGCGCTGGTGTATATGCGCCGTTCATCTCAATATCTAATCATATAATCTTTCAAAAAGGCAGATCCAGTATTCATAAAATTACCGAACCCCGTATTTCATAGCTTTTATGAAAACTGGTGAATTTATACGATCGATTATAAATGTTCTTTCTATGTAACTAGCATGTAAAAAGCATTACGTTACGTGTGTGTCTTGACCGTTTCTTTCCGGCATAGTCTTTGATCAAGCTAAATTGTCAGTTTTTTAACGAGCACCGGCTCTTCGAATATCGAGTGGCGAGTGGCGAGTGTCGAATGTCGAATAGTCGAATGTCGAATGTCGAGTGTCGAGTGTCGAGTGTCGAATGTTGTCGAATGTCGTCGAATATGGCGAGTCGGGTATTATAGAGTCTCGAGTTACCGATATATGTATACATATTCGTATACAGTAATCCTCGTTTGTATATCACCAATTTTTACCCATGCTCGGCAACGGGAATCATCCCCTACGCTCTTTTTCTTTATTCAACCTAACCACCACCACCACCACCCAACATACGCGATCTACAATTTTTATCCATTATTGAAAATGATTATTTTTAGATTTATCATTATATTTCCCATTTACGATATTATCGACGGATTGGTTTTCCTCTACAATGAAAATTCTATTTTAAATTTAACTTATTTCCAACGTGTTTTAATTATACGTTATTCGAAACGTTTCGGAAAAACTTCCTATTACGTATAATTTTAAAATCGATTCAAGTTCGTGTTTCGACTCACTTCCATTGAGGAGGGGGGGGGTAAACCTTGTCAATAATTTCCTAAAGATGCAACGAAAAATATAGAAATTCAAAGTTTCGTTACTGGGTAACTCGTCATGCGCCCAAGTCTTACCGCTCTCGACTGTCGACCGCAGAGACTCATTCCTTCTTAGTCTATCTAGCTGACGTTACGTCCCGTTCACTCGCGCGATCCCTGATCTCAGCTCGAGAGAGAAAAAAAAAAGAGCTTTAGAACTGGACAAAAAAATTGCTACCTTTTACGAATTTATTATATATATATATATATATATATATATATGGAAACAAGTGAATCCGACTCAGTGGGATACACGCAAGGATTACTGTACTACACGGTGCATATTGAAATATGTGCGTGTATACGCATCGATAACTTACTTACATACTCGCATACTCGTCTGTATACGCACGCACATACAGACGCGTATATGTGTGTGTATATACATGTATGGATAAATATATAGACACACACACATAATAAAGGCAGATAGAAGACACTTTACACGACAAAGTAATCCTCTGTGTAACAGATCCAGATTTACAGTATAATATAAGATTCAACGCGATTGCGGATCAATCGCGTGTTACCAGTCTTGAACGTAGTGATTAATATTCATTCGCGGACCAAGCCTACGATTTCAACGTAGTTATCATAAGTATTTCGACCGCAAATTTCAATTCTGTCGTTTCCGTCAATTTCCCGTTGAATAAAAATAAACAAATCTGCACACGGCGTAATACATTCTATTCGAGTTTCATAAGGAAAGACCAAAAATTGATACTCGAAATTCTGGATTGATTATAGATTATACCACGGGTTCATCGAACGAGTAACTTAACAAATACATACACGTTATACTGGTCTGTCTATGTCTATGTCTATGTCTATGTCTATGTCTATGTCTATGTCTATGTCTATGTCTATGTCTATGTCTATGTCTATGTCTATGTCTATGTCTATGTCTATGTCATGTTATGTCCTATGTCTATGTCTATGTCTATGTCTATGTCTATGTCTATGTCTATGTCTATGTCTATGTCTATGTCTATGTCTATGTCTATGTCCATGCTATGCATATGTGTACGTGTGCGTGCGCGTGCGCGTGGTGTGTACTTGTACGTTGTGTGTTTGCGCGCGCGCGCGCAAATGTGTATATGTAATGCGGTTTTATTTTTTCTTTTTTCATTTTGTTTAGTAAGTAGACGTTGGTGGCACATATTTGTGTGGGTCTATGTGTCTGTCTATATATATACACATACATACGTGCATACATACATATATATGTGTGTGTGTATATATATATATATATATATATACACATATACGACGTAATAAAAAAGAACCTACCCTACGGATACGCATTATCAAAAGATTTTCGAGCGGTCGTAAAAATATGCTTCGCGTGACGCGTTCAATCTTCTCTATGAACCGTGTTATGTAAATCTGTTGTAGCAATCTGTGTATAGGACTCAAAAAAATACCTCTCACGCTATCCATGTACGCAAGGTGTATGTGTCACTAAGTAGAAGAACGGAACACGGCCCAAAACTGAACCGTACGAGTGACATTCGAGCGCCGCATCGACACTTGTTGCCTTTTCTCTTTTCTGCCCCCGCACACACACACCATGTCGCGATAGAAAAGAAATGAAACGAAAATTAATCCAATGTTACTCGTTTAAAATGAAATAACGGAATAAAAAAGAAATTCAATTCTCTCGACGTCGAGCAATAATCTCAAAACATTGTGAGATTCTGTTCGTACTCTCTCTCTCTCTCTCTCTCTCTCTCTCTCTCTCTCTCTCTCTCTTTTCTTCTCTGCTCTTCTCTGTTCGTCTCGATGCTGCGTTCGAAAGTTAGCGTATGGCGCTTATATACACGGAGCCGAGCTGTTCGAGACTAAAATATCGTGTCTATCGTGTACGATACGTACACATTGTCAATTATTTTCTATTAAATTACTATCTTCTGTAAATGCAATAAATGTATATAGAGTACAATAGAGCAGCGAAAACGCACTCGCAGTGGATATGCGTGTTTCGCGAGTTGTGAATGATCCAACGAAAAGCGGATAACTCGGTGCGAGTCGATAAGGATGGGAAGAATGACAGTCTGGAACAGCTCCGATACGGCAATAAAAAATTTGTTCGATTCAACTCAAGTCTAAAAACTCGCTATCCCTCGTACAGCACTACGGTAGGCTGGAGTTTAGGCTCTCTGGCAAACGATAATTCATCATATGATATGGTGGACTCGCGGGACTTCCCGGTTGACTGTTCATGCCAAGATTACTTGAACCGCGACCGCGTTTTCGCCTTTGCAATATACCTTTTCTAACCATATAGAATCGAATCGTACTTATCGGAATTTTGTACTTTTCCGAAGCAACTTGAAACGTCATACCGCGTGCCACCATATCCGAAGCTTGTTTCAATTCTTCTTCCGAACGTCTTTGCCGTCTCTGGTAACCTGGAAACGAAACGCACAACCACCGATCAACAAATCGTTTCCACTTGTTCGATTCTTACCCGGTTTCATTCATGGAATTTATATCGTTCGAATCATGTCCGATGGAATCATGTTCTATGTCTCTTGTCTAAAGTAGACAAATAATAGAGGAAATTTCTACTTTATACTCGAAACAAATATTTTCCAATTTCGTTCGTCTCGCATTTTTTTACCCAACCTCGACCCCGTTTTGTTTCTTACCTTCGATTGCAGGAAATGGACTACTAGGGTTACAATTACTGCTTGGTACCATACTGATCGAGTATGGCTTGACACCCTGTTGTTGAGTAAATTGCTCGTCCGGTTCCATCTTAACCATGCCCTGAGTTTCGGTTAAAGTTGCTTCGCAAGCGCTAAGTGCTTTTTCCAAATGTTGCAATGCTTCGCTGTGCTCCATAAAATTTGAAGAGTTCGGATTTTGCGAAACAGGCGTTGCGCTGTGCGATGGAGCGCTTGCCGTGCTAGATGCAGCAATCGTCGTAGCCTCGAGAAAATTAGTATTTGAACCACCATCGTCCGACTGAGTTTCCTCGCATATGAAAGAGGGCTTATCCTGTTGCGAAGTTGTCGACGGGGTAACCGGAGTATTAGAGTCGCACTGCTGTGAGCTACTTTCGCTTAATGAGTTATCGTTTCCTTGGGTGGACAAACCACGGATCTGGCAATCAAGTTGTTTTGTAACGATTAATTAAAATTAAACTCGTCTTCTCTCTGATTCGGAACAATCATTTATTTCGTACCTGCAATACTTCGGCAGCCTGCATTAGTTTACCCAGTTGCTGTTGCTCCACGTATACTTCTCCACGATACATAAATTCCACCAAAGCTTGAAGTTCCCACATTCTCATGTCTCTCAAAAAGATAATAGGATGGGTGCATGGTATTTCTAGTAATAAACGTTCCAAATAATCGCTACAAGCCGACAATACCACTTTGTGACACTTTATTGACCCTCCGTCGCATGCCAAAGTGACATCGACGAATTGTTCTGAACTTAAAAGTTTTGGAAACGCGCTGTGCATATTTGATTGATGAGAATTCCAGGAAACGCAAAACTGCTGCCGATCCCCGCCAGGATAATTACCCGGGGTATGTAAGATACTTCCACTTTCCATAATAGTATCGTTTTAGAACAATTTTCCTGTCAATATCAATACATAGTTCCATTAGATTTTAGCCACAATAAAATATCTAGTTTTAAACGATCAAATAAGAAAAGCCAAGTCACGGCGACCACCTGGTGCCGATAAAACTATCGATTGTACGTGCACCGCGTATAAGATTAAATTTCATTCGTTACCACCCACCCAAATATTTTTATTCTACCGCCGAGTAATAGATTCGTGGTACAAGTTGGTTCGCGCGATAGCTAAAATATGGTAGAAACCATTCTTTATGTATAATTTTAATGCACTACCAAACTCTCTACTTTTTTCATATACGATTAACTGGTCGTTAAACTGACAATGCTTGTTACCGTTAGAAAATTATCTTCCATAAAAATTTTATAATATGTACATTTAAATTTCCATGCAACAAAGGAATGCTAAATGCACGGATCCAACTACCGTGTTAAACTGTCATCTATCGACAAACAAAAGGTTTCTGGTTCCATTCGAGGTAATATTCCAAGAAAGCAGAGAGAAATAATGACAGAAATCATTCAAGAATAATGATATTAAGCAATAAACAGAATGGTAAAAAAATTCTAATTAAATGGAAAAATGAAACTCGATTGAAGAAACGAATATCAAATTCGTATAAAATAATATACAATATGGCTGTGTTGTCTACGAAAATTTAGTATTAACGATACGCATTCGAGTACGCGTGGAGATACATTAATTGTATAGAGAAATTGGTAATTTCATCCTAGTTAAGTGCGATTACAACGCAAAAAATTAACACGAAAAAGACTTGAAAAGAATTTCATAGCATTATAGAAGAGCGAACGTGCAACAAAACAAATCTGTCGTACGTAATGTTTAAGTGAATTCTTCGATAAAAAAGTTCGAATACAAACTCTAGTTACGCGGCGTTTATCGTAATCACGTGTTCAAAGCGTACCAGCCGACAGGTTAACCAAAAAATATTCGATATACGCGGAGATGTATAAAATTTTTTTGTCAATAGAAAAATGGTGAAATCTTTGTGGGAGACGCTGTCGGCGTGAATGCCATCACCCCCCAGGAACGCCTTGAACACAAGTTTGCTCTTTCTTCTTACTTTACGAAACCGAATCCTACAAACTTCAAGATTCCGGGAATAGAATGATAGCACAAATTTTACGATAAATCATTTCACTTACGAATATTCAGCTCCGTCGACTCCTCTTAGATTTTCGCGTCGCTTTCGGGAAGAATCCCTTAAGAAAACATTCATCCGCCGAGATTTGCACTAGCTAGGGGAGCTCAAACGGAAGGGTGGGGGTAGTAAGGCTGGGGGTAGCTTAGTGAACACTAGCGCACCTCTTGTCTTTCCTGAAAACTCTTACGAACGTTAAACTCCCCGATTCCATACCAAAAACCCTTCCATCTATACCCAACTGTTATCTATACAAATCTCTATTATTACAAACCGCAAACCCACAATTCACTTCACATTTTCCAATTCTGATCAAATAAATAAATAAATAAATAAATAAATAAATAAAATACTTTGATTCTTCAACGTTTTACAAAAATTTTCATTTTTTTCCTTCACATGATAAAACTAACGACAACCACAACCCCATTCATAGTTTCCACCGGATTTAATTGGAAACAAAGAACAATAATTTTCGACAAATTTATACCTTTTCCATTTATATCTTTATCTTTCTCATTCCCTTACCGACTTTTTAGCAAAATGCAGTGAAAGTACACGCACAACGATTATAACAGGAAATCCTTTTCTCAGTTTTCATGTAAACGTACCAAAAATTTTAACCGTTATTCGTTCAACAATAAAGATAGACTGCGTGTAAATAGAATCGTATGATTGCGACAAGTGCTTATTGCCAGGGGAATGTTCACCGAATAACTTTTTTACACAAATTATTAGTATGTATATAAAAAAATACAGTCATAAACTCTTGCAACAATTTTTTAATGGAAGTAGTTTTTCGACCATTTGTCGAATTTTTGTCTTGTTCTGACATTACGTCAACTTGCTGCTATACATGTAACAAAATATCCTTATTTGGCTAGGTGATGTTGACACAGTGGACGTATTAGAAGCACGTGAGGTAATTTATTTACATTCACTTTATCTTTAAGTCGAACGGACAAAGGTTAAGTTAGTCTTAACCTTCTATTAACGTTTGTCTCGAAAAAATGGACATGGAAAGTTTATCAGACCTCTTTTCATTGAACTTTCGAATATTTCGTTTCAACCTTTTAAACCTTCTCAAGCTTAAATAACTATCTTAAAAGACAGTTCGTTCCGACACGCGTCTATATAACTGTGTAGTTAAAGCATGTTAAAAATTAAAATATTTCATTGCATATATATATATAATCTTTTTGCATGCACAAGTAGTACATAAAGTTTACTGGTTTTATATAATTCGCAGCTAGTGGCGACAGAATTACAATTTTGTTAATTTCATTTTTCCACCATAATTAGTTTACGGTCGATTTTCTCACATTTGGATAAATTACCGATTATCCAGTCCGTCGACTAAATATTCTTTGCCAGATAGCGGCACTAGTGAGTGACTATACTATGATGTTGCCAGATGAGTCGGGCTTTTTCACGCATGCACGATGAAAACAGTAACGTACATATTCAACGTTATGGAAACCAATCGACTGTTTTGGCGGGCTTTCACGCATGCTAGCGACAGACAGGTAAGATCTGTCAAAAATATTTAAAGTTCCCAAGTATTATTCTTCTTATTCCTTTCCTGCTTTACCTTTTTCTTTATATGCTTATTTTATATAAATCATAGTAATGTTTCACGTAATTTTACAAGTAAAAAATAATCATTTAATGAGAAAATTTGCACACGTTCCGTCTGGTAGCATTGCTTCCCGCGCCAGTCGTAGCACATTATTTTTCCCATCACGAGTGATTATAAATTGTGTATTTGTGCGTGTTCGTTCGCCGCGGTGTTGTTAGAAGCGACAGGTTACGACCTACGACTTACGATTGGAAAAATCTGATTTAAGTTAAGCTAACAGAACTGATTTGTCGACGGTTTTCCTACCTATTTCTGTTATTACCTACAGAACACTCGAAAAACCATTAAAAATTTGTTGAACGTTGTAAATAAGAAACAAAACTAACACACGTGTCAAGTATGTCGAAAATAACTGGATACGATACGCACGACGATGGACCAGGTTTCGTTGGGATCAGATTTTGTCAAGAATGCAATAACATGTTATATCCCAAAGAAGATAAAGAAAACAAAGTATTGATGTACGCTGTAAGTATAGTATATCATTTATACTTTAAATTTAACCATAATCTTGAATATTCTCTAATACTCTAATATTCGTTTCAGTGCAGAAATTGTGATTTCAAGCAGCTAGCTGACAGCAATTGCATTTATGTAAACAAGATTATGCACGAAATCGAGTAAGTGCACACGACACGTAAAAACATATCTATATAGATTTAAATATAAGAAAGAGAGTTTACAGCATTCTCATTTTGAGAGCTTGCGCGAATAGACCTTAGCAATGCGAAATTAGCATTTATCATTGTTTTCGTCGTTATGATTTCAGCGAATTAACGCACATTGTAGCAGACGTTATATCAGATCCTACTCTACCAAGAACCGAAGAACATCCTTGTCCAAAGTGTAACCATAGAGAAGCGGTATTTTTTCAAGCACAGACCAGACGAGCGGAAGAGGAAATGAGGTTATATTATGTGTGTACTAATCAGCATTGTTCTCATAGGTGGACGGAATAAACCTTGAAAAGCAGTTGACACATTTTTTTTAAATCGTATAGATTTCAAATAAAATAAAGAAAAAATGTACCATAACGAAAGGAGAAGCGCAATAAAATATGAATATTTTTATATACACATTTCGGTTCTTTAGCAATTATTATAATAACACAATATGGCTACATAATAAGATATTAAAGTTCAAAAATTTAGATCTATGTAAATAATATTGTAATTTTATAATCATCAAATTTTTCAGAGATTTTTACCGTTATGCATACTTTACGGTGCCTAAACCGAATTAACCGTTTTTCGAATCTTTTCTCTATTCATTCGTTTGTTGTTTGTACGTTTCGCGTTATTTAAAAGTTCACTAAACAAATTTTCCATAAATTACCATTATTCTGTTTTGTGTATACTATATTAGGCAACAACAAAATAAACTATTTATCGTCGAACCTACCCTAAATGGGGGGAAACAATTATAAATAAACCGTAGTTGTGTTTGTCCGTTTGTTACTATTGCGTCATAGAAAAATGACTGGAGGCTTTTCGATGAAATTTTAAACGTATGTCCAAAGTATACTAATTTCAACTAACATAATATAATAATGATAATATCGTAAAATGCCTGTCGAAAGGGATTGCCAGGAACACCAACTATAAAATCTAAATTTTACATATATGTACATACTTGTTTTCACAGGAAAAACATTTGTGACATAGTTTGTTGGAATTTAAATTTAAAGACTGTTTTGTTGCATACTGATCTTCGATACACAGAACAAACTTCACCTAAGGAAACTATTGCCAGGAAAAGTTTAAATGCTGACGAAATCGCGGGTAATATGTAGTATTGAAATGGTTAAAAGTAAAATACTTTTCTTTCTTCGCCGTTTAAATGCTTATTGTGTAAATATAAATTTGTTGTAGTTGATTTCCGTTAACGATTCCGTCCATAATCAATTGCTGTGTGTTACACCTATCGCTTATTTGAAGGTTATAGGTACGTAAGTAAGTAAGTAAGTATGTATGTATGTACGTATGTACGTACGCGTGTGAAGAGAAGTCGTTTACGTCACTAATCGCTAATTTTTCTTTACTTATTCTTCGACGTATCATAATTTTTTACCATTAATTTTCTTATTTCGAAAAGAACGGATCAGGTAATAGAAGTTGATGGTGAATACGGGTCGAATTCCATAATGCATTTTTGTTATCGCATCGGGTGTACGTTTGCTTGAGGAAGGTTTATCTGATTAATGGGTGCATCGCTTACTACAAAAGTTGCAAAAAGAATGGAAAGGTACGAGAAACTTGTTTACAATCTGGGGACTTGCCATTATTGACAATTGAGATTAATTCCAAGTTATATATTTACAAAATTATTTCAGCTCTCGACGTTTGGACACACGGGACAGAACAGAGGAACAATCGCGTGCAAGCAGCAGCGCGAGACCATTATCGATCGAAGGACCTAGAAACGCAAACAATACCGAAATGCAAGCACTTGTACCAATACCGAACCAACCTAGACAGCCAAGAAATTTACAGGGACTACTTCGGTTTGCTATGGAAACGAGCGATTCTCAAGGTTCCGCCAATGCTACTACTTTTAATCCAATGGACAAAGAAGTAAATATCGCTGCTACGATCGGGCACTTTCTATATACAGCATGATAAAAGTAAAGAGTGTATAACTTTTACGATAGATGGTATTTGTCGAACAAAAGCAAAAAATACCTAAAAGTTATGAACCCCTTTCTTTTATCCTCCTGTGTATCCTTGTATATTTTTTTATCATAATCGATACATATTTACAGAAACGACAATTTCTGGAAAATATGTTCTCCTCGTTATCTTGTAACGTGACAGAGGAATTGCAAAAAAACATTAAAATTTTATCGAATGTTGTTGACCTTGGGCCAGACGATGATACATCGCAATATGAAATTGCTTTGGAGAGCATTGCAGATTATGTAGATAATACAGATATTGCTAATGACTTTTATAAAATAGGAGGCTTTTCTATATTTGGTCCATGTTTAAATTCTCCGCATAGTAGCATCAGATGGAGAACTGCAGATGTAATAGCCGAATTAGCTCAAAATAATCCCTTTTGTCAAGAAAAACTTTTGGAAACTGATCTGTTTCCAATATTGTTGACAATGATAGACACAGATCCGGCAGAAGCTGCCAGAATCAAAGCTCTGTACGCTATATCTTGTAAGTAGATACTTTTCACTCTTGGAAGATTTCTAATTATCTATAGTTTATAAGATCTGTAACTTGTGTATCGTATATAGGTATAGTTCGTGGGCATCTCGTATCCTTAAAATACATGGATATAAATGACGGTTATTCTGTTCTTTTGAGAGCTATGCAAAGTCCAGTGAAAAAACTACAAATTAAATCCGCTTTTTTTTTATGTTCTCTTTGTAACAAGGAAAACATGAACGATTTAAAACTTACTTTGGTGAATATGGGTTTAGTTGAACAAGCAACTGGTTTGCTAGCTACAGATGGTCTACTTCCAGAAATTAGGTACATATGTCTCATTCTGTTCCATGCAATGGATCGAAATATAAAAAAGTATTATTTGTTGTTTCAGAGATCAACTGTTGAATATTCTCGATGGCTTAACCAATGACGATTTTCACCCTGCCTTGAAAGAATGTAGACGTCCGGAACTTTACCTGCAATCCACATTAGATCATTGTATAGAAGATTTACAACAAGAGGAGAATTCTGATCAAATAGATACATGTTATCGGGTGTTGAGGAAAGTCTTTCCCGAACAAGATACAAATCAGGAAAGATAATTCAAGTTTATAACAATACTGTCAAACATTTCTCTAATATTTTTAATATCATCGATAGCTTTGAAAATATTCAATCGAGTCAATTTAAATGAAACATCCTGTATAAGCTTCATAAATTAATTGGTATTTACATTTTGTGTAGAAAAAATGCAAAAAAGTCATCCATCCAAATTCCAGAAACAAAGAAATCTCCTCTTCTCTTTAACGAGTATACATATTCAACGTGTCTAACATGATACCCGCGTTACCGATTATAATTTTTTTGCCGTTGGATTTTCTGTACAGCAAAACATGAAAGAAGCTGGTAATTGGAATTTTGTAGAATAGGGAGCTTTTGATGCAATAACAAATCCTGGTATTACCATTTTCTCTTTTTCTTTATTGAAATTATATTTCTAGATTAATGTGTTTTCTTGTGTTCAATTCTTGTCACACCCTACTCAATCTAGGTATCAAAAAAAAAAAATCCAAGTAAATCTAAAGAAATTTAGGAAGTTAGAAATAATTATCTACAGTGAAAGTTAGTTGATTTCATGCATGTTGGAATGTTCATCTGTCATTGTTAGACAACTCATTTAGAGACACTTTTTTCATTATGGGTACTTTGCTTATGTGCGCCTACATAGGTCGGAAAGTAAAAATGCCTGGGCAGAGTCGAGAATCCAAATCGTATGCCGTTGACGGGAGGTCGGATTTCAGTTGTGTGGGAGCGAGAAGGCAAATGTCACCCTTTCTCTCTCGACTCTCACGAACCGGTCCGAAATTACTTCGGGCAGCTTCGGAGAATCGAGAAAGGGGGCATGCGTCTGGTTGCCTTTGTCGTCTTTACGAAACTCCACGAGCTCACGTATGTACGCGTATCTGGCATTGAAGAGTGTGCACCTCTGGGTGCTTTTCTGGCATCACTGGTGGAATAGTTTGATGTGTTCTCGAAATTTCATAAACTTTATAATGAAAGATGTTGTGTGAAAAATACAGTATTGACTAAATGCAAATACTATTCTTATTATACAGAATAATGTGTTAATTCCATTGATCGATATTATGTGTTTATTTTGCGAAAATTTAAACAAAATAACAAAACGTTGAAGATTACAAACGATAAATTGTAATTTAGATACGTGGAAAATAAAGATTTTGTTTGGTTATTTTCTTCTAAATATATATAAATAAAGACACAGATATATGGTAATAAACGCATAGTGTTTTGATGCGTGACTTTTGTATCGTGTTTAAAGTTATTGAGATTAAAATAAGAAAACGATAGATATGGCCGACGAAAAACTTTCGAATCAAGTAGAAGATCAGGAATTAAATGATTTATTGGATAGTAAGTAACTATTACATTGTACGATGTATAATGTGATAAAAGCATTTGGGGAATTTTAACCTTAAACTCAAACGTACAGTATTATAAAATGTTTTCCTTCTTTTTATTTTCCAGCATACTTATTAAATGAGATTTACATAATTTCTTCATAAAATTGGGAAAATGGGAGAGTACAGTTATTTTAAGATGTTTTATAAAAATACGTCAATGATTTGCATAACCATTTCCATTACATAATCCAGAGGAGATTTGTTTTGACAAAAAAACAAGATTATTCTACATGTAATTATAATATTTTAGGTGCTTTAAAAGATTTTATCAAAGAACAACAAGTAAATAAGGATGATGCTAGCAAAATAGATACTTTAGAGTCTACGACAGAAAATAATTCCGTTGAAACTGTAGAGGATGATTGGACTACAAATTTCATGAAAGATACAGCGGAGCAATTTGAGGAGCATCTACAGAATTTAATTAAAAATGGTAAAAAGTTTAGAAATATTAGAAAGAAAGTGTTACTTAAAGTTTTATTTATTAGGAAATGAAAGCGAATTTGGAGAATTTGTTGAAAATTCTTGTCGAAGAGTGGCGCAAACAATTGCAAGCGCGATGACGGACGAAAAGAACGCCGATAAGGATAGCGTGAGTACAGATTTTCAATCTGCCATTACACGAGCATTGAACGATCTGTCGGCAACATCTGAAAATTTACAGGTAGTTAAAAATTTGTATGGAGCTTTGTTTAATTTAATTACTCGTGTGTTTTATGGATTCTTTTATAATAATATAATAATAGAGCGAAGCTGATTTATCTGAAATGCTTGGACAAGCATCTTTGGAGGATAATCCTGGTGCTATTTTTTCAATTATGCAAGGGATGCTGCAACATTTGTTATCAAAAGAAATTTTGTATCCGTCATTGAAGGCATTAACGGATAAGTATAGAGAATGGTTCGAAGAAAAGAAAACAACTATATCGTCCGGTGATCTAAAAAGGTTTAAGAAACAGTTAGAATTGATGCAACAGGTAAGTAATGGTAACAATTGTAAAAAAAGGTTCTCTTTTATTGAAATTTTATTTTAGAACTAACAATTAGTACTATTATTAAATGCAAGTTTCTCTTTTTACGTTAGATATGCTCTGAACTCGAAAAAGAGAAAGACGAAGACACGGAAGAAACAAAAAAAAATCGTTTCGAAATGGTGGTATCGCTTGTGCAAGAGTTGTTAGGGTATGGACGATTACCAAAAGAACTTGAAGGAGAGCATGCAATGCCTTTTCAAACTGATGCTGAAGGCGACCCTATTATTCCCGCGTTACTTCGTGGTATGGAGTCGCCACAAAATTGTCGTTTGATGTGAATCAATTTTCGTAATTATTTAACTCGCGGGAAGAAATTGTACATTCTTATTGTATGTGAATTTGATAAGCGGGAAACTAATACATTATTATTCTGAACACTGTTATTGTCGAAAAGAAATTGTGTTTGTGTGTATGTCTATACATGTATATATATATATATATATATATATATGTGTGTGCGTGTATATTTATTTTCTGCCTCAACGGCTAAGACAAGGATTTGGTTTTATACATATTTAAACATATCTACTTGCTTACCTCATTCTATTCTCACCCATCGTATATTACACTTGCGTAGATTTCACACCAACTTATTATACATTAATAACTTCACGAAATTGAATTTGTAAATAGAAACGGACTTTCTACACGGATTTGTGTAATCGTGCACATATTTATCTATATGTTATACAATGCATATATACATATATTCAACCATACGTATACATGTATAAATGGATATACATACTATATATAAATGTTATTAGAATGGTATTATTTCTAGATCCATTTTTTGTATTCGTACGTTCGGACACAATACGATACCTACCGTTGTTACATGCGGAGAAAAAACATTTTGTCGTTTTGAGTAGAAATTTAATGAATGCAAACTTGCAGAAAATTTGCAATAACAATTCTTTTTAAGTATTTAAATAATTACACTGAATACTTTATTGCAGAAGGTATGTTTACATTGTATCGCCTATGCATAATATGTTACTCATATAATTATTGGTAGATACTTGGTCATTACGATTTTCTTCTTTTCACGGTTCAACTATTTAATTGTACGGTACAGTTTGAAAATATTACACAATGGGGTTTTGATACAATTTGATTAGAAAAAAATTCAATGGCAAGTAATTGTACGAAAAGGTAGCGTGTGGTAGCATTCGTTATTTCGATGCAAAATCAGAAACTACTTTTTTTTTACTTATCTACGTCACTGTAGAATTATTATTAGATATAAATACCAGCCTGATAATTGAACATAGTAAACGTTTTTAAAGTCTAGATATCAAGTAAATTTTCGGAATCCAGACGTTGCTAGTTTGATTCGAATTACAGCGAAGAAAGTGCCGCGACTCCCGGTAAAACTTTTCCTTCGAGAAGTTCTAAGCTCGCACCGCCGCCAGTGCTTACGTGGCTTACTTTATCCTCAGTTTTCCATTTAGCAGCGCACGTAGCTGTGTCACCACCTCCAATTATGGTAATAGCACCTCGTGTGGTTGCCTCTACAACATTATCCATGAGGCTTTTTGTACCTTTACTAAAGTTCTCAAATTCAAACACGCCTGCTGGACCATTCCATACAATCACTTTTGCTCTCTTGATTGGTTCTGCAAATTGTAGAAGAAAAAATATTCTTGCAATTGTATCGAAATTGTCTAAAATACATTTCAGGAAATAAAAGAATGCCGAGACTCGCCGCTAAATAATTCTCTCGATTTTGGTCCAACGTCTAAGCCCATCCAACCGTCAGGAATGCCGTTTTCTAAGTCAGCCGAACCGACAACTGCATTTTCCGCAAATTTATCCGCAGTAACAAAATCGACAGGTAGGTGAATTTGAACCTTATTCTTTTCAGCTTTCAATAATAAATCATTAACGATTTTTGAGCCCTCTTCGTCAAATAACGAATTACCGATCTAACGTGGTAAACATTGCACATTAAATTTTAGCATTATGAGCGAAACAAGATATCGGTGTGTTACGCGTACCTTCATATTTTTCGATATTTTTAAAAAAGTATATGCCATTCCACCACCTATGATCATTTCGTCAACTTTATCCAGCAAATTGTTAATCAGTTGTATTTTATCCGCGACCTTTGCACCTCCTAGTATCGCCAAAAATGGTTTTTCCGGATTATCCAATGCTTTAGCAAAATACTCTAATTCCTTTTTCAAAAGGAAACCACTTGCTCTTGTTTCGTACCCTTCTCCGAGCATAGAACTGTGAGCACGATGGGCAGTACCAAAGGCATCGTTAACATATACGTCCCCTAATTTCCTTAATGATTTTCTAAATTCTGATACTTTGTCTTTATCTGCTTTTATCTAGAAGAAAAAGAGTTTACAAGTTATAACAGAATCTAAAAATATATCCATTTGTACAGATATAGAACAAAAGGATTATACAAATTGCTTACTTTACTCCCATCGGGTCCGACTCCCTTGCCTTCTTCTTCCACGTGAAACCTTAAATTTTCAAGCAAAATAATAGTACCGGATGCAGGATTCGCACAAGCTGCTTCAACCTCGGGTCCAACGCAATCGTTCAAAAATAAAATCTCTTTTCCTAGTAAAGATTTTAATTCCTCCGCGATTGGCTTTAAGGTATATTTCATGTCCGGTTTCCCATCAGGACGTCCCAGATGAGACATTAAAACAATCGACTTTGCTTTTTTTTCAAGAGCATATTTCACTGTATCTAATGCAGCAACGATTCTCTGATTATTTGTTATTTTGCCATCTTTCAATGGCACATTGAAATCCACCCTGCAATGCCAATACGAATATCAACTTTTTCTTTTTGTTTCTGCTTCTTACGTATCGTTTGTAAATTGATGATTCATCGTCAGTTTTTTAACACTCTATCTTATTTTAAAGTTAAATTGACATTTTCAAAAGTACAATTAAAAAAGATGTACCGTATGAGAACACGTTTATCCGTAAGATCCACTTTATCGATGCTGAGCTTATTCAACGCCATGGCTTTGAAATTTAAATATATTGACCTTGTTTCTATTTCACCTTTAATTTCCAATACATCAATAACGTTCCCTAAATGTAATGGACCGTGTTTGGCGTACGACCTAGTCACAGAATTCTTGACTACCTTTCTAAATCTTGTATCATCGATATGCTTCAACTCGACAAAGTCAAAGTAAGGTCGACGAATGTAGCGACCTCCTATAAATTTTCGAGCCGCGCGCATCGAACAGCTGTTCTATACATACACGTAACTATCTACCTAAGTACCTACTTACATACTTGCACTTTATCTCGTTAGAGCGCGGAGTGGATACTCATACTTACCTATGTATGTACATTTAGTGAATTTAGCAAACGATTAGCTATTTTCTATTAAATGATACGTAGAAGCAGTGAAGCAAGGAAAGAGAAAAAGAAACAAATGAAAAATACGATGTCGTGAATTTCGAGTGTGCGTATGCATACTTATGTATGTATACACGTATAGAAAAGAATCTGTGCGAATACATATGAATTATACGTACATATATGTATATTGTAGTTTTGTTTTGTATATCAGGCTTAGTTAAATTACGCCATTACTACATTCATTTCCCTACATTTTCATTAATTTTAACTATTTTAAAAAAGCAAACTGAAATACATAAGTACACGTATATGTGTATTGTTCATGAAGATTTTATTTGAATTTTACAAATGTATGATGGTGTAACGAATAGAAGAACATTGATGTCACGAATACAATAATCGCACGATCTGTTTTTAGGCATATCATCGTCTGTACAAATATGGACTATATTCCATAAACAGTATGTATTCGTTCAAACGTCTGGTATTCCGGTATTTCGTCTGACCGATGCTATTCTCGATTCTGGCGCAGTCGTGCTATCGTTTATCTGATCTTAACGGTAAGGCGGAGTAGATGTAACCGACAAGCATGAAACGAAGGTGAAAATTATTAACTTGCATGTAATCGGTGCAAGTAGTGCAATCTAGCTACCTGTCGCTTTCTTACTTTTTAATTATATGACTTTTCAATATTCCGACAGATGAGTAGAAAAGCTTTCCTGATCCTGATTTCATTGTAAAGTTGTCACATCGTCAACCTGTATGAATCAAGTGGCTGAATAAGTATATCCGAGGCTACTTTAACCGATGCCGTACCGAAATAACATAACTTTGCTGAACGCGAAGGCGGGATACGGAAAATATAGCCATGTACATATACATACGTAGTTACTTACATACATGTATATTCTCCTGCGAGAATTTCGCGACAATCATCTCACTTTTAGAACTCGAGATTAATCACCTCTGACTGCGACCCTTGATTTTTCTAGACGCTGTAGTATACCAAGAATTTCAACAATTAACCTAACTGAACGAAATTGTTGTCGAACGTATCGAAGATGGACGCAAAGGCGTTAGTAAACCGAGGAAGAGACAAGGAGTGGACAATTGAGGGTGATCGGGTGGCAGTGTAACGCGGTAAGGTAAGAACCAAGGTCTGAAACGTGCGTACAATGTTTTTTGTACAGGGACCGCGATCGGTTCGGTTGAACGAGATCGGGCGGTTAGTGGAGGGAGACGATCGAGAGAGAGAGAGAGAGAGAGAGAGAGAGAGAGAGAGAGAGAAGGAGGCGATGGAAGAAAAGGAACATCACGCTGGTCGTGTCAGTCCAATGCAAGTGGAACGCGACGACTCCCCGTGTTCTTGCTCTGGCTCGTTCGAGAGAACTTCTTGGGTTACCGGTTCGTTTACCAATCCGTCTTGTTCTTTTTTGGATCGGGAACTAAATTTTACTCGATCGTTGTTTATTGTGTCCTGCATGGGAGGGATCGTGGAATCGTCCACGATAGTATACCTATATCGATTTTCTCCACCTTATCGAACCGTTCGTTCGTACCTTGTGTTCGATCTTGATCGACGCGCCGATTCACCACCATCACCACCGCCGTTGCTACCAGCACCACCTTTGTTGCCGCCGCCGCCGCCGCCACCACCACCACCACCACCACCACCACCACCACCGCCACCGCCACCGCCCACCGCCACCGCCACCGCCACCGCCACCGCCACTGCCACTGCTACCGCCACCGCTACCGCAGTCGCCGTAATCATTCTACTCTACGTCATCTTCGTGTAACCATCTTCCTACTCGGCACGATCTTTTCATTGCCTCTAATTATCGTCCAGTCCCTCTCTTGTTCGGAACAATGAAATGGTACGTGATGATTATCTTTTTCGAGACATTTATAGTCCATGATTCGACTTTCCAATCCTGCCTTTTTCTCTCTCTTTGCGATTGCTACCTTTAACTCGTTTCTTCTTTCTACTTATCTATTCATTCATAATTTTCGTAAAAACAACGCATGCCGAATTGTGCATGCAATTTTAATACACTGCACAACGTACTTACACGAGTGTGCACCAATATTATATGCCTATACATGTTTCTTTTTAGGCCCTTATCTCGTAAAGAGTTTGTCGGTAATAGAGGAAATACGAGTCGAAAGTGCCCGTTTATTGACATTCGGTCGATCGATTCAGGAATAATTCGCACAACTGCTAAAAAGTTACGGGGCAACGGTGCTACTTAGAAAAGTATGTACCTACCTTGGCGCGGAGAAAGATGTTACTTTGCGTATTATATGTATACACATACAGAGTGGGGTCGTTTAAAAATAGATGTTTAAACTTAAATTATGCCCTCTGGCGAATAGAGTTAGTAATTTAAGCATTTCGAAATTTCATTACCCATCACTTATACAACCTATTCTCATCGAATATACTATGTATAAACGAAAAGTACGGCTAGCCATTACCGATTCGAATTAATATCCGTCTATGCAATTTTAAATCAAAACTATCGTTGTACATATTTCAATCATGTCGTAGATAAATATTAATGGGTTCAAGTTAATTAACGCGTTGGGAATCAAGTATAGTAGAAACTTTAAGAAGCGTTTCTACATACCGACAAATAAGACGAAAATCAAGAATTACGAAATTCCGTTTCTTCTTTTTTATAATTTGCAACAATTATAGTAATCATTCCAATGCAAAGCCTAAAATGCAATTTCATCATTCGTGATTTTCAATGTCTTACAGACTATCAAGAAACATTCTCTTTGTAAGAATAATATCGTCGCGTTTTTACGCAAATACTGTACTATAAAACTGTATTTGAACGTAAAACACGACTCTGACTGTAACGATCTGAAGCTTTAATAAACAGATCTATTAAGAAAGTTTAAGTTTACTGCATTTTATCGATTCTGTTAGTCGCGTTGGTAGCTGATAATTGCTATAGATATTTCAATGTTTCGCTATGTCGATACTTGACGATTTCGTCGAAATTATAACAAATTTCAAATTGTACCAACAATGAAAGTGAATAATCGCGATTGCTCGCCATACCATTAATGCGCGTGATGATAGAGTATACTAAATATTCATACGATGTGTGTGATGTGGAAATTTTCGTAATTTTATTTAATAACAAAGTGTCGTGTTGAACGTGTCAAGACGGCGAATGAACCTGATCAAATATACATACATATGTATAAGAAAACAAAGTGACGGAAGAGTCGAGGACAACGAAATATGTAGGGTACCTATCGAATGCTTCTGGCTACAACGCTTGCATCTAACTGATTAGACCGTGAAGTATTTCAGATGTTGGTGTGAAAAGAGAGAAAGGTAGGCATCGATCGAGCATTCAGGTCGCTATCTTGCGGCGATTACAGGCATTACGAGTGTCATGGTACGAAATCGAAAAATGGCTGTTCGTTCCATCGGTGTTTGACGTGAAGTAGTACAGCTCCCACGGATATTTTTCAATACGTCTTAGTCGTCGCGAAGAAAGTGATCACGGAGGTAAAACGAGCAGTGGGAATAGAAACACAGAAACAGTAAAATTACGAACAATCATAGTAGCGCGCAGGAGAGAGAAATAGTTGAAAAGAGGGGTAAGGTTTGGCGGCGAGGGAGGGAGTAGCGTTTGGCGTGCGGCGAGGGGCGAGGGGCGTGGGGCGTGGGGCGGGGGCGGCTGGGTTGGGGGAGAAGGGTAAGGTTGGTTGTGAGCGGGAGAGGGTGAGCAAAGGAAAGGAGAGAAAGAATGACGGAAAGGTGAGGAGAAGATAGAGTTAAACTAGCTGGAAGGGGAAAGAATAGTGATACGAAGTATCGGAGAAAAAGGGGAAAATGAGAGATGCGAACGGAAAGTGCGCGATCGTGACGGAACTACGCGCTGTCTGAGAGAAGATCACATCGTGAAGGAACGCCATCAACGATTAGCGAACGGCATTGTTAGTAAAAAAATCAAATATTATTTATGTGGAACGGGTCAGTGTGCGTGCGAGGATTTAGGAAATACTGCACAAATATGATGAAAAGTTGCAATTACAGCAAGTATCGAAACCAAAAGAGCAGAGCTATTTTTTTCTTTAGCGATGCTTTCTCTCTTGGTTCAATTGCTTGGCTCGGCCTTGTTCGGTTGCGCTCGTGTTGATTAACGCGAGTTACCGCAGGTTAGCGACTCGAAACTATTCAGGGTGCGAATATTAAGAATAAACTCGCGAAAGAAGAGATAACGAAATGTGACACTTGGTGGCGCGGGTCAAACATCGTTTAACGATGGATAGAGCAGACAGACACTCGTCCCCTTCGTACCAATTGCACCCTTCGCTCGCACGCAATCATGGCTGCCTAACACAGGGCGTCCAGTATCGACCAATTTGCTATCGCAATACCGCTTTAGGTTAAAAACCTAACCTATCTCAGATTCGGGGCGTGTCGCTTGTCTCACGTTGACAGCTAGTAAGCTCGTTGTGCCGGGTCGCTTTCTCACTCTGTTTACTAACGTTGCCATGATTTAATTCACTCGTTCTTCTACCTTCGTACCAGTTCTTGTTCGATCCTGTCCTCGTTTCTCGTATACCAACAAGAACCCAATAGAGGCTTAAACATTTTCAGAATGCGAGTAATTTTTCCAAGTTTCGACGAGCCTCGTATAAGTGATCGCTCGCGCTTTTCAGGCATCCCGATCATTCTACCAATTTGCTGTCGAGGAATGTAGGCGACGAAAGTACGGACCAGAACAATAATATAACTATGACGAGTGAGGATTTGTTACAGCCTGGCCATGTGGTCAAAGAACGCTGGAAAGTTGTGAGTCGGTTTTACCGTTTTAAATTTTATACTTTTTCTGTTTCATTCCTAGTAAGTTTAAGTGAATGTTTTTCGAAAATGAATCAATCAGTTGTGCAACTAATCCTTGTTATTTCGTAGGTTAGAAAAATAGGAGGCGGTGGATTCGGTGAGATTTACGAAGGCCTAGATTTAATGACAAGGGAACAAGTCGCGTTGAAAGTTGAATCGGCTCGTCAACCGAAGCAGGTTCTTAAGATGGAAGTAGCGGTATTGAAAAAACTTCAGGGTTTGTTAAAATTTTGTTTCATTAGATAAGAAAATATGGTAAAATTATGGTACTTGGTTTACACTAGCGTATTATCTATGAATCGATTTAAGAAAGAGAAATTTATTCAAAGTACTTGTGCTTTTTCATTGATAAATGTATTCGTTTGTTGCAGGTAAGGAGCATGTGTGTCGATTCATTGGTTGTGGTCGCAACGATCGATTCAATTACGTTGTAATGCAATTGCAAGGCAAAAATCTTGCCGAGTTACGTCGTGCCCAGCCACGAGGTGCTTTCTCACTGTCCACTACTCTTCGTTTAGGAGTTCAAATTCTTAGAGCAATAGAAAGTATACATCAAGTAGGCTTTCTTCACAGAGATATTAAACCAGTAAGTGTACTCTGCTTCATGATTTTTCTTTGTGCTAACCGATTCTCAGGAAACGTCAGGTTATAAAAAATAGTGTAATTTGTGTCCTTTTCACCCGTTAGTTACGTCGTTAAGTCGCGCCTATTATTTAACAGCAGATATCGACGTTGCGTAAAGATAGAATTGATAAATTAATCGCGTAACTGTTAACGGCTCGTTTCAGAGACGATATTATATTTGCAGTCAAATTTTTCGATCGGACGACTTCCACATAATTCGAGACTAGTATACATGTTAGACTTTGGTCTAGCTCGTCAATTTACAACAGGCACCGGTGAAGTGCGACCTCCTCGCAGTGCAGCAGGATTCAGAGGCACCGTACGTTATGCATCTGTGAATGCACATAAAAACAAAGAAATGGGCAGGCACGATGATTTATGGTCATTATTTTATATGTTAGTGGAATTTGTCAATGGTCAACTTCCGTGGCGAAAAATAAAGGACAAAGAGCAGGTAGATACGTAATTGAGCGACTCACAATTATTTGATAACGTCTGTTTGGTAATAAGAAAATTGAATCGAGACGATAATACATTGTATTCTTTGATGTAGGTGGGCCTTATGAAAGAGAAGTACGACCATCGTTTACTTTTGAAGCATCTTCCGTCAGACCTTCGAGTTTTTTTGGACCATATTCAGGTATGCGACTGCGAAATAACGTAAAAGTAATATTTCATTGAAACTTGTTAACATTAACGTAGGCAACGTTTAAATAAAAAATTCTCTCGAATCGATTCATCCGAGTAGGTAGTAAACTTTTTTTCTAAATGTTCTTTTTAGAGTTTGGAATATGCGGCTGAACCGGACTACGCAATGCTAGCTGGCTTGTTCGAGCGGTGTATGAAACGGAGAGGCGTGAAAACTAACGATCCTTACGATTGGGAAAGACCATTGATGGCCAACGAAAGTTTACCGACTACGAGATCTTTACCTACGGTTACTGCACCTCCGATGTTGACCACAGCGACCACGATCAATCAACCACCGACTACACCAAACGTTGACACAAACAATCAAGAAAACGTCGAACCCGACAACAGAAAGGAGTTAGATGTAAGACGAGATAACGGTAACAGTGCACAGGACCGACAATTGCGTAGAGATTACTTGTTGGTGTATAAACTGCGTACGCTGGACGTATTACGATGCATCTAGAACGATCGGTTATTTAGTATTATCACGTTGTTTCTTTTTTTCAGGCACAAATGGATTACGAAAGTATATGCAGAAGAAACAAACAACGTGGGGTGGAAGGTTCTGCAGTGCCGTTTACATCAGCCATCAGCAATCATGGACGAGATAAAAATTGTAATGCCACGATACCTACGATGGATAATACTCATCAACAAACAGGACAGCAAACTGTTGTTCCACCAACGACGCAAGGTTATCATTTTCTTTTTCCTTTCCCTTTCTTTACGTGAATTTTCAAATATTTTTTATGCTTGTTCTTCTTTGACTTGGTTTTATCTTGGTTGTTGACGTATATGCAGGTTCGCCTAAAAAAAGGCGTGCAGTTTCGATGGCTGCGGAACCGCAAACGGGTGTGGTGACAACGGAAAAGCCAGTCGACAATGAAGGGGACGCATTGATGGCATCTGCTCGTTCTGCTTCAGAAGTTCCTCGCAATAAAATTGGTGCGAATGCTGGAGCGCCATTAAGGAAATCGGCAAGTGGTGCAACATTTGCTCGATTACGGGTAACGCCTGCCCCGGAACTAACACCCGGCGAACCACCCAGTCCTCGCGTACAGACCGAAGTCGATGCTTCTTATTGTTCCTACGACGTTACTAACACAAAATACGTTGGGAATCAAAGCCCTGTACGTGCGAAAATTGGATTTACCCGATCGAATCAGTGTAGAATAATTTAGTTGGAAAAATGGTTTTTATCTCATAACAGGTCACGGAGCAAAGAGAACCACTGAAAAGAGAACCACGAAGAAGGACAGACGGACGGCAGCAGGCAAGAGCTAGTCGTGCTGCGATAAAAGACTGCTCTATCACCCAATTTGCGCAGATAGATGACGATAATGTATCGGCGTTACAACAAGTAACTAAAGGCGGAGGTGGGTTGACATTGGCCTCTCAGTGGAAGTCACAATTCGACGAATCCGAGGAGACCGACAATGAATGGAAAGGGGAGAACTTGCAGAGTCCCGAGCACAAAGGATCCAACTTGCCAGCTATAATTCCGCAGGTAAGCATTTCAAGTAGTCGCAACGATCGTTTTTCATAGTGATGGAGAGAAAGAGAGGCGGCAGAGGAAAGGGGGAGGGGGGGGTCAAGTCGAATCTTTTGAGAATATCTTTAAATTTTTGATGAGGTGTAAATCCGGTGATATACATACGTATAATTCTATTTCATTCCCTTGATTCGACGTGCACGCGCGCGCGCGCGCACGTGTGTATTGGAATGGTTCTTATTTTATTCGACCTCGGAATATTTTTGTTCTCTCCCCAGAATTGTTCCAATGTTTAGAAGAAGATAATTTCTGTACACAGGCAGGATGACATCGAAATAGGTGGTTCCATTTTGGCAACGTATTATACTAATCCTAAGGATGAAAAAAGGTCATAAGGTACTTACATACGTAGTTGGGAAAATTAATTTTTCCGATATACGTTTAAACACGCATTTAAAAAGAAAGAAATTACTGTAAATTATTTACTCTTGTAACAATACAGGCTTCGCATTTACGTTTTATACATATGTATAATACTAATTTATTTATTATTCATGTTTGAACGACTCTTAAAAAAAATATTAATATAAAATTTGTCTTATCGATTATCGTAACATCGATCTAGCAGAATCATCCGAGGTAGGTAGGTAGATAGATAGATAGACGTGCGCGGCGTGCGTGTGTACGTGTACGTAATAAATTAAGAAACTTGTCGGAATCATCTGGAATGCAGAAAACTTACGAATATGTTTGATATTCTAGCCACATCTGGCCAGTATCGATGTCCTCGTTTGATGCGCCTGTTACCTGCCACAGAACCAAATCGACCTCCTTATCTATCGTCGTTACAAACTTTCTACATTTTTCTGTATTTTCTATTGTTATTTTTGTCCATTTTCTGTCTCTGGTGCTCTGTGAAATGTTTAGTTTCAAGTAGAAATTAATTCTAGACTGCCTCCCGAAGTTGCGAAACGTCGCGCGACAAAAATTTGGCGAGGCACATGTATTTAGATGAGATGATATCTTCCAATTAATTGATCGTAGTTGTTAGAAAACGCATGCTTTATGCTGTTTGAAAATAAAATTAAAAGGATCGATCGCGGACAATCGAAAATAACACTTGTGTAATAACACTTTGTTGTTCGGTGATCAGGTTCGACGATTTTCAAATATCTTTCCGTCCGAGTTGAATGGCGAACACACACCTTGACACACCTTGAAAAAAAAGATACAGGATGTATACAAAATTTCTATACAGTCGACAGTTGTCAGTGATGCTGTGACAACCGCATCTTCAGTGCCTGCGTCTATCGATGCGAAAACAATGGTGGTTCAGTCTGCCGCGTCGGTTGTGTCTCATCAGCACTCAGTAATACCGACTGCCCTATCTCGAATAAGCGAAGATTCTCCGAAGCCTACGGTTCTTCACAGATGTTTAAACATCGCCGGTATTGAGAAATATCCCGAGCTTCAGGGAGCACTCCCGCGTGCTTGGAGCGTTCCAGCTTTGGCTCCGCATGTTCGTGCTTACCTTGAAGCACCGTTGGTTCGTAAATAATCAATCTGTTCACATAATATTAATATTTCGATCGAACGAAGAATAAAAATGTATCGCGAACGGCGCATCGGTATTTATCGGAATGTCGAATGCGTGGATTTTGATTAACAGGTTCAACAAGCGGCGTTTGACGATTTGTTGTACGAAGTGGATGTGATGAGAAACATTGCTACGCGTTACGACGAACCAAGAGAAAGTCCTCCGCCGCGGCGAGCCAGTGTACCGGCAGTTGCTTTCTCGCCACCTAATACAATGCCTAGTACGCCTGGAGGAGAGGAAGAAGAAGAAGCAGTAGCGGGAAGATTGGAGATAAGGGTAGTAGATGCGACAGGTGGTGCTACTGTTGTTCAAACCACCGCCGATAGGGAACCGTTGCAAAGTAGGTATCAATTATTTAAAATATTCCATAATAACAGCATCGTTGCAACTATCCGTTCTAAATAAAAGGTTTCTCTTTCTATGGGATACTACTGATACATAATACTAATCTGATTTAATAGAAAAAATGACAAACGGTACAGCGGATAGTCCAGCTAGTCCTAATCCAGGATTGGAGGAACCATCGATATACGATGATGCCGTTGAAAATCGGGTACCTGTCGATGGTGCCGGGCATAAGGGGAACAGTACTATCACTGCCTCGACCACTATATCGAATATAGTACCACTTCGTGAATATAAGGACAATAAAGAAAAGGATGGTTCTTGTAGGACTTATAATACTATCAGTAAAATACCGATTCCGGTTAAAAGTCCTAGATGTTCGCTATCAGAGTCCACTCCGGAAACGAATACTCAGAATACCAGGACTTGCTTGGGAAACGAAATAGAAAAATCGTCCACACCCGCGGCTATAACCAGGGAAAAAGATGCTAGTTAGTAAGATTTTTTTAGCTTAAACAGTAAACGTTACGATTCTCCCTTGAATCCTTATGCGGCGTTTAACATTGTACCATTTCTGTTCGACGAGTTCCAAAAATTTCACAATTTTTTGGAACTGATAAAATTCAAGCAAACAAAGTACGATCTATCTTCCGATGGTCGTTATTCGGAATCGTTACGATGTGAAATTTTAACAAAATAAGAGCAACGTTCCAACCGAACGGTATTTCGCGCGTAACGTTATGAATCTTCGTGAATCGTAACTTGAACAAAATCATTCCACAAAGAGATTAGAAAATATAACACTGTGCAGGCAAGTAATATCACGATACCGTTCGAATTATATGATAAAAGATTAATATATCGATATCGTTACTTTCAACTTGTCATACAGTGTTTGGTTTCTTTTATAGTACATACACGTAAACGTACACATGGACACGTGCATACGTGCACGCATACATGCATACGTACTTACATACACACATACGTACACACACACATACGTACATACATACATGCATACATACATACATACATACATACAGCATAAAAAATACAAGATAAATTTTTCGATAAAAATGTCAACGCAGTAATGTCCATGAAGTAGAGTAGTATTCTTACGATTATAACCGATGAGAATAGAAAAAAGAGAAAAAGGGGGAGGAAAAAATGGGAAGCCAGCAGGTGTTTTGCGCTTCTTCGTTTTATCGTATATTTATTTTGGAAGCTGATTTGTCGCGATTGATGCCGGTTATAGCTTCGTAGCAATACTAACATTGGCAAATTTTAGCTATCAAAGGCAAACCCTTGACAGTGCATTGGGAGGCCCGGGAACTACGACGCTGCGCAACTTTGCCCGACGCACGACCGACCTTTTCACCTCTAACGTCCTCTAATCTGACGGAAGATGAAAATTTAACCGGATGCACGCCCGCATTACGTCGTCGAAGACAAAGCGAGAAATACGTAACGGATACTAGTCAACTGAATTTGCGATTCCAAAGACCGCAACGCAGAATCAGGCCGAATTCCGAAGTACTGTCTAGATTTTCACCTAGAGGCGTACCTTCGCATCTGTTGGGAGATGCGGCTAAACGAACGGAAGAGAGCAGCGATAACGATTCCGATAGCAGTGGCCCTCCGAATGCTCAACCTCCGCCACCTCCCAGCTCCTTGCCACCTCACGTTGCAGAAAACAATGCTAGGTAATTCAACATTTTTTTTTTATGGATAATCTCGCCTCGCCAACTGTCGTATACGTATGTACATGTATAATTGCAACTACAGATGTCGCAGATTTCGACCCATACCGGATACTACAATAGCCAGCAGAGAATCGTGAGGTACAGCACTTATGGGAAGGAAAACAAGTGTTCGTTTCGATTACGATCTGCAGAGTTTCGTAATCTGCTCGTTCGAATCTTATTACTTCTTTCTACGTAGGTGAAAGAAAGTATCAGTTTATCGGCGAATCAAGTGTAAGCCACAGCATAAAAACTTGTTGAAACTTTGGTCAAGAGAAACTAGGAAAAGTCTTGACGCGCGAGAAACCGTTGTTGCAATACCGGTTGCGGTAAGATATTACACGTTTAGGGAAAATTACTACGTCTTTACGAGATACGATCAATTTTCATCCTTTTTCCGCGTCCCATAATCTAGCCATTTTTCTGATCGATTCTATCCGTTGCTCGTCTGCGCATTATTTATTTTCGATGCAGAATTTTATTGAAAAGTGGCGGCGGTTACGTAAATTGGTGGTGCTTGAAACATTACACTTCCTAGTCTATAAATGTGTCTGTTAATATGAAAAATATTATTGATGTGTAAATTGTGCACGTTATCAAACTACGATACAAGATCGAAGCGGATCGATTGTAGAAAAGTTGTCGGGAAAGTTCCGTTCACGGTAAGAGAAACTCTACACTTTATTCCGGGTCTCTTATACAATGTATTATCCTTGATTCCCTTAAAAGTTTAAACGTCGCGTCGTTCGTTTCTCTCTCCGTTTCGTAAAACATCGAAGTCTTGTTGTTTGCGCTTAACAGATATCTACAGAAATTAAATATGTTTCGTTTGTCGATGGATATTATTCGTGTTAGGTTATTTAATGAGAAAAGCAGAACAATAGTTGGTGCCAATTCCGTTGAGTATTTTCTGGGGCTTTTTAAATAAAAATAATGTACGCGTAAGAAGAACCGTAAAGAGCACGATCTATGTATATCGCGGATCGAGATATAACCAACACGTTATTGCGTTCTATTTAAAGTTTTTAACGTGAATCGTTTGATCAGAATGCTCTACCAAGAAATAGATCTCTTTGAAAAACCACCACACACACACACACACACGCACGCACGCACGCACGCACACACACACACACACACACCACCATCATAGTTGACAAACGATGGTAACAATGTCAACAATGATGGCAAAGAAATTAATAACGATAAAATTAGTAACAGTTATATTCTGAAAGGTAAATATATTGCTCGAATTATTGTTTACTGGATGTATCGCGCGATAAGGAAACCGCTTACACTAAAGCTGCTGAAAGAAAAAAAAAGATGAATCGAAATACATACGATTCGTTTATGCGTGCAGTCGATTCAAGACATTTATTGTCATAAAGTTTTAAACGACGAAACAACGTGCGAATAAATAAGTACTCGAAAAAGCTATAGTTGGTTATATATATATATATATATATATATATATGTACATACATATATATGTATGTATAATTAACGCGTATTTGTCTTGCACTTCCCGGTAACGTGATTTCTTGAAACAATTACGAATCCGCAGTCGAAACGGAACCTAGTGATGCATAAAACAAAACTAGTCAAATAGAATTCTTTAATATTCTATTACTGAAACCAAATTTTCGCATAGAGTTATACATATTGTATTTGTACAAAGTAGTTAAGGGTTTATTTTGTGCAATGATCGAAATAACGATACGATTAAATAGGTTTAAGTTTGGGTCTCGAAAATAATTTCGTGAGAGAGAAAAAAAAAAAGAAATGTGGAAAATGAAGGAGTAAAAATACCAAGTTATCGTAGGACATGCGATGATGTCCATACGAGTGGTACGAATCTGTGTACGTAGATTGCTACATGTACTCCCGGACGCTCGTTCGATGATACTTGAGAGATTACGGAAAAATGTTTCTGCAGGCATAAAAAAAAATTAAAAAATGACGATGGCAAAGCGCAAACAAATGAACTCTGTGTAAATCGGTAATGGATCTGTAAGCAAAGATCAAATGTACGTTTGAATGTAAACAAACACGCATAATACAGCTCATTGGACGTATTCCTTATTTAAATTTGTAATCGAGAACGCATCGTAGGATACTTACTTATACGTCTTAATTTGAAAGTTCGCACCTTGACGAAAATAAAGAAAAACAGTTTTTTGTTTTTAAAACTATGTAAGAAGAGGTTATTGATATTAGCATACCGACTAAACCAAGTGCTGGGTGACAAACTCTGATGAAAATTTACGAACCGCAACTGTTACTAAATCCAAATAGGGAGAAATTTCAAGTTTATGCCGAACAGTGTAGTCCCGGCGATCATTGAGGTTGTCGGCAACTCCCAGGATACTAGTCGACGCCTGTCCGTCGCGCGAGCTTGCGACAACTTTATTCATCGCCGGTCCAACTACCTACAGTCCTACGTAGGTACACGCGTTTCAAATAAACTAGCTCATAGAAACTAGATGGCATTTTTACCTCTTCGGTACGATCGACTGATAAATACTCGTTGCTTTCTCCATAGATCCATATTTCGAAATTAATCATACCATGCTTTACTTTCTAATTTAAATGTTGTGTATATCATAGTTATACCGATAAAATAATACAGTAAAATGTATCTTGATCATTTAAGGGGAAAGTCACCTAGCTTTTCAACTTTCCCATCTCCTCTATGGTGCGTAGCTTAATCTCACGTTCGCGTGTGCGAAAGCCCTTTACGGCTCTGCGCGACATATGTAGATCAGCACAGAATCATTTATATCGCATTGTATGCATACATATATAGTGACCCGATGAGCCGCCTTAGTCACGCGAGAATCGCTTCAGTGAAATGTTTAAATCGTGTAGAAACAGGTATCGTATAGCCCCCTGTTTAACTCATTATTTTAACAACATTTTTTCGAAAATGAATGAAGCGGAAAAAAAAAACTGCAGAAAGAAACAGCAACGTTTACGCGGTCTATCCGTGCATTGGGGGCCTTGTAGACTTTTCTGGCTATACATACTATGAGATAAGCACACCGCTATTTTCCAGTACGCGTGGCTAAAAAAGGCGGGCCATCTGGTCATTAAAATTATGCATATATCGTGTCCCCCTCCCCCCTATGCCAGAATCGTGTATGTGTGATATTACAATTCCACAATCGTCGATCAAGTTTAAACTATAATCGCTATTGTTACCTAATGTACATATTTTTATCATAAAGTTTCGAACAAAAACAAACATGCAACGATTCAAAATATGTACATTTTTATTGTAAAAAAATGAAAGTTGTCACATTTACGGTTCTAGCATAAGAAGGGATGATAACGTACCGCCGAATTAGCACTGATCGCATACCGCACTAGTGGAAGGACTTTAACGTTTCGAAATATCTAACCTCTGAACAATACATATATTACACGAATCGGTATAAAATAACAATGTTCTAACAATAAGTTATGATATATGTAAAGTATATAAAATAGGCTACTCAAGAATTAAACTATTATTTACTAAATATATCTTATTATGTTCTAACAATTAATTCCGATACATGTAAATAATATTTTGAATATTTTAGTTAAATAACAGAAAAAGTAACCAAGTGTTATCCGAGACTAGAAAACGATTAAAGGAAATTTTAAATAAAGCAGGAAAGTATGATGTTATTATTACGAGGCAGCACTTGATCCGAAGTGGTCCGTCAAGCTCGGGTAAGATTTTTAATGCATTTACAAATCAAAAACAAACAGTTGCATACAGTTGTTCTCGAGCAGGATTCATGGAACGGCAACGTCAGCCCATTTAATAAACTTACTTCATAGCTGATTATTTTTAAATTCAAAAGTACGCGCCACCTTACGATTCTGCTACCATCTACGGCAGAATGCCCAAGTTTGTTAAGAAATAGTTCGTCTGCCCCGACGCTGGATGGCGCCCCAACACACGATAGATTGAAAAATAGCTGTTTCTTTTTATTTATTTATCTATTAGGAATAGTCGAGCTGTCGAGCCTCTCTTAGACTTCCTTGCGTCCCTTTTGGGTAGTACATAAAATTAACATTTTTAATTAGTACCTCGTCTGTGGTAGTACCGTGGATCGCATACCGTGGTCCTTCGCACCTCTTGCGAAGGAACCGTGGAATAACATGATGCGAGATCTAAAAATCAAACACCCAATTCTTCCAAGTGTTTGTTATCATCGATGCGTTTTTATTCCATCGCAGAGGTGCCAGAAAAGCACCGACGGTACCCTACTCGCGCATCCTTCGAGAAAAAATATATGTGGATACAAGTGGAATTAAAACTGTTAATTTTTATGTACTAACCAAAGGGACACGTAAGCCTAACAGACGGTTTGCTATTGTTAATAAACAAATAAATAAATAAACACAAACAAACGGTTATTTGGCCATCGATTGTGCGTTTGGGCGCCATCTAGCGTCGGAATAACGAACTATTTCTGGACAAACTTGGACGTTTTGCCGTAGATGGTGCCACAATAAATATCCTTCCGCCATTATAATGTACCACTACTTTTAATGCTCCTACTGCTCGTTATTTTGATAATTACGCCTTTCCTGGGATTAATATATGAACTTTTAGAGTTTAAGAATATAGCCGGGACATTTGGCAAGATTCAAGGATACCTGTATGCCATTCCTGGGATTAATTTACGAACTTTTCGAGTTCAATTCTCAACTAAATTCTCTAAGATTTTCCATTTTTCACATCACGAACCATCGTCTATGAATATTTTACTCCGATTTGCTGAAAATCTAATCTAATAATCTGCGTTACGCTCGTTAAATTATGCCCATTTCATTGATTGTTCGATCTGTATAGTTTATGCTATACCCAACTTATCGGCATTTATAGTAATTATTTAAATTTAGCATCGAAAGTTTCGAATAAAATTATCGTGTTTCATAATCTTTTGTTTCCATTACTCTTTTATTTTTGTTTCTTTTTCTATGCTGTGATAAGAATAGAGTTGCACCGTATGTAACGTAGATTCAATTAAAATACACCGGTGAAATGATGTTACGGCGTTCGGTTCCATAAAATTATTTTTTTCAAGTTCGTATTTGTACAAACATATCTATCGATACTATGTATTTGACTAGAAACAGTCTCTGAAACGGTGGGATAACGTAGAACGAAACGCTTTGTACGACTACGATAGCGTTGCAATACGATACAATATACATAATCCTTTTAAGGTTAACATTATATGTATGTATACAATATCGGTCACTTAAAAAGTGTCCAATTTCGGGAGAAGAATCGTGTGAGGGATTCTGTTGACGAATAGTGTGGTGTGACTGTATCGTATCCCCGTTTACTGTATCATCATCGCGCATCTATCGTTACGTCACGTGTTTACATGTTTATACATGCGTGGTGTGGTGCGGTGCGTTCATACTTGGACACGCTACAGGGCAGGCTTTTACGGGACGGGATACCTATGCAGTCTTTATTCTCTGCATACTGAACGCCGTGGTGTATTGCGTATGTAGGTACAGTTGTCCTCGTTGCAAAACAATGTCAAGGATTCTTAAAGTTTCATCGATAGTCAGATCTGAAATTTCGCATTTTTATTAAAAACGTGGCAAAATGGGAAGTTATGCGAGTAGAATTGCGTCCATGTCAAACAATGCGGTGCATTCCGTGTACCGTGGTCGTAAACGAAAGTGCATCGAGGAAGATGATTTTGATTCCGAATCGGATTACATCGATCGCACTCTTCAAACGCCGAAAAAGTACGCGTGAACGCAATTTTTCATCAACAATTCTTTATAGCTATTGAATTAATGTGTTGTCAATGGTGGTACACGATGTTTTATTATGTATTTTTTGTTTAGAAGAAAATTACTGACAACAGCACAATACATATATAAAACATTATTTCAAGAAGAAAAAGGCAGCGATATAACTGTACTCGTGTTAGGGAAAGCATGGAGATTACACAAAGTATACATCAGTCAGGTAAAGTCTTCTCTTTGATATATATATATGTATGTATATGTATAATTCCTTTGTATTAAATACATGCGTGAATTGTTTTTTCAGAGCCCATATTTCGCGAGTATGTTTTCAGGGTCTTGGAGGGAAGCCAACGAATCGGTCATTAGCTTAGTAATCGCGGATGCTAATATCACATTGGATTGTAAATGTTGCTAGTTATACAAATTTGCTGTTTGGATAATTTGTAAATTATCTTATTATTAGATTCCATTTAATTCTAAATATTTTCAGCTCTTCTGACAGTGTTTGGTTCCTTTTACCAAGACGAAGTCAGTTTGGAACCAAAAGATGTCATATCAATTTTGGCCACTTCCACGTTATTCCAGTTACAAGGACTGATCGACCAATGCACGGACATAATGGTGGAGACGACGAATATAAAAACGGTTGTTCCTTTCTATAATGCAGCTGTATTGTACGGTGTACCAGTGGTGAAAGCTGCGGCCAAACGTTGGTTGGAAGTAAATCTCTTGGGATACGGATGGTTACATCCAACATTTTTAAAAGAAATCACACCCGATCTAATGGCAGAGTTAATCGCTAGTCCCGAATTGATCGCCATGCAAACAGAGTTTTGCATATATATGAGGCTACGAGTATGGTGAGTAACGAAACGCAACAAACGAGATTTATATGTATATACGGTACCGTTTTTGTTATAATAATAAATTCTGATCCAGGTTGTTTATTCATGTGCATAATACAGAAGAAACGCTTCAAATCGACGAATACTTTCGAAATCACAAGTGGACGAAACCCTTCCTTACGACGGAAGAGGGGAAAAAATTTGCAGCACCTTTTAAAGCATTGAGAATGAAATATCTTTTGTTACACGACCAAGATGTTAAAGTTCTATATAGTGATAATTTAATACCGCACGAATGGTTGCATAATGCATATAAAGAACAATGGTTACATTTATTAAGAATAGATGCGAATAAGGATCAAGGGTAAGTTGTGAAATATATATAGTTTCTAAATATATCTCCGATCTATGTTTAGGACGTTGAACATAGTAGAGATTCCCGAATACGTGTATCCTTTTCTCCCCTCTTCCTTTTTGTATCCAGCTTGACAGGCCGAATGATCGCTCTGAAAAACCTACTTCTATATTTGTCGACCCACTCTAGGTATCTATCATCATTTTTCTACTCGTATTATAATAGCGCGGTAAAAAATGTAATTGACAAGTAAAAATATCGTTCGGAAGATGTTAAAGCACCACGATATTTTTCTTTAACATCGTAGACCAAAACAAATGAGCGAGGAAGAATTTTCCCGCGAATGTTACCGTTGCGGAAGGTGCATCGGAGAAGCTGGCGTACATATTTGGAGATGGACAGCATTTCAGTTTGGATTAGATTTGGTTGTGTACTTGGACAGTACCACTTTGCGGCTTAAAAGAAATCATAGGCTAGATACGGACCACGTTATAGCTAATCATAACATGCGCAATATAATTTTAAAGCGAGTACCTCCTAATCATTCCTAATCAAAGTTCATTCGTAATATTTTTTAATTAGATTTAACAAAAATACTTTTTACAGAGTAAGTTTAATTTCATTGGATGAACAACGTCAAGAAAAACATATTCAGAGTTCGGGTATGCTCAAGTTATCGCTTCACAAAAACCAGGAAGTAAGTAATTCCCAAATATTACTCTCTTCCACTCTGAATGTATAACATGGCTAAAAAAAACAATCTATTTCAAATTATAGAAACAACTGATGACTTTGGATAAAGAACTTACTTATCCATTGTATATATCGGTAAATATGCAAGTGGTAACACCTTTGGTATCCACGGAAGAGGAAAGTTCGGCCGATATAATCATATACTCGGATACTTAGCACTCTGAATCTTCGCTATTCCTTCAATTTTCAAAACCATTCAACCCCAATAATTGTACGCTTATTTCATAATCCGGCTGTTTTTTTTATTTCATAACGATTCATTTACGAGTAAGTGTTACTTAATAATTAATGCTTCTTGATTGAAAAAGAAAGAAAAAAAAGAAAAGAATATTCGGATCTACGTTTAGATTTCGCGAGATACCAATTACTCGTTAAAACTTGCAGAAACTAAACATTTTCTAGTCGACCGATCAGATTCGCGGCATTAGTACGAAGCAACTCTTACTTGTTTTAGTATATGTATACTTTTTAATAGTACATCCCAGATACTTATTTTCTGTTAACGTAAACTTAACATTTATATAAATAGAATTACGTAAAAGCTATTTAAAAAGTTCCAACTGACGGGGGTGATGTGTAATGTGCTAAATGTTTTAAAACAAAAGTTACTTGATTCGCGACATAGAGGGGAATTAAATTCAATCACGGGGTCGAGAGTATTAAAATTCTAAAACGTTATATTTTTCCTCCCAGAAAAATTCAACTAGGAAATATCGTACGATACGCCACAGTATTAAAGCCATTTGGTTTCACTGTTTGTGCATTTATACATATATTTATACCATGATGTTGATACTGATAACGAGTTGGATTAATCCATCAATTTCTCATACTTGGCATTTTCATACGAAAGAAGGATGAATGAAAGAAAAACAAGTTGATCCGCGCAATTCGAAATCGCTCGATTCGCTATCGAAATGTTGGACCTTTGTGCCTTGTAAATACCAATCGAAAGAGAATATTCTGTATAATAAACGAGTGCAGGTACCGTTTCACCGTTCAATGCCACCAACAATTTATATACTTTTAGTTTTCGAAACATTTACTGCACAACATTTTCAACTAAACGACGCGTAACAAAAACGTACCTTCGATTCTGTAACCAACTTACTCTATGCGGTGCTAACTCATTCTATAAATGTAACATTTTACATTTTTACTTACTATCTATCTAGGGATAATTATATACGAAATTATTCGGCTTAGGGATTAAAAGAATTTTCTACACTCGACTCGACATGCGTTATTAATTTGAAATTAATATCTCGATGAAAAAATATAACGAGTTTTGTGTAGTATCTTAGTGCATTATGATTTATTCCTTACCTTTGTCGTGCCTGGTATTTCATTTGCGGAGATAAAAATGATTTCGTACAAATTGATCCACCGTATCCCATCGTGTCCCAATTTTCTTCATCGTCACGGATGGATTTAAACGAAAGTTTCCTCGCTTGAAACCATAATTATTACTTACAAGCAACATCTAAGATAAATAAAAATAAATATAGTTTGACATTTTAGTTGTTTATCAAATACCTCGGAAATTTTGGTAGAATAATTATTATGAGGGAAGGTTGTGCGAGTCACTCATCTCATCGTTGATCTACATATTCATTAATATTCAAATCATCGATCGATAATGTAATTTATCTGCGCAGTCGCGACAATACTCGAGGAGTTTGCGTTTATATTTTCATTTAAATTATTTCCATCTTTCCTTGTTTCTTTTTTGGTAACCATTCAACACTTTATTGGCAGAATATTCTCTGTACATAATGATCGATGCGTACAATGCAATATTGATACATCATATGGGCAAGTATTACAACGAAATTGAATAAATTTGACGGAAACGTTCTTTTGATACCTTTCAGAGGATGCTTGGTATATTTTGCTAATTGAACACAACATACATACATACATACATACGCATATGTATGTATGCATGTGATAAAAAAAAAACAAACATATTAAACGGATGATACAATATTTTCCTCGTTACCGTTTTCTCTCTCACTCTCACTCGATATGCTTGGGATAGGAGGCAGTGTCGCCAGTAGTTTCGTTTTACTGAAGTATGTTGTTGGGTGATTATGGTTGGACGATATGTACGAAGCGAGTTTCATAACGAAGGACTTTTTACCGAACATAACAAAGTACTTTTTACTATTTTCTTATTTTTCATTTTTTCACTGATTCTAATTATCTTCGTTTATTGCTTTGAACGAAACATGCATTCTCGTCCCTAAAACGGGTGGGGAAAGAGGAGCATAAATTGAACGTGAATATATTATGTATGTAAGTAAGTAAGTACGTGGAACTGCTTTCATCTTTGAACGCCATTCTTCCGAAGCAAGCTGCGTGACGCGTGCAACTTTTTACTGGACGTGTATGAAAAGAACGCGAGTCAATGGTTTTTAAGGATTTCAAACTCCGTGCTTGCTTGTTCGTATGCTCATCCGCAGTCCGAGGTGAATCGAAATTTAATCGAAACCATCAAGCTCGTTTCGATCTCTTAATCCCGTCTCGTAGTCCGTTGTTGCTTTTACCAATAATTAACGATAATAAAAAACACTGTCGTACAAGAAGAACAAATAACAAGAATAAAAATAATAATTACGTTGGTAATAATAGCAACGATAGCCGTGGTACCGACTGTAATGGTAGTAGTAATAGCAACCGCAATAATAGTGTAACGATGATGGTGACAGGACACGGTGACAACAGCGGCAGCGGCGGGCGATTAATTTAGGTACTGCGGTGAGACATGTGTTCGTTTTTTTTGTTTTTTGTTTGTTTGTTTGTTCAATAAGCGTTCTACTTTACCCTCTACATTCTCCATCGACGATTCTACAATCGTTACGATTGGTTACACCTCTGTGTGTATGTACGTTATTTTTTTTCAACGTGTTTTTCATGTTTTTTTTTTTGTATTTTAGTTTTTTCGCTACGGTCGAAGAAGTAGTAGCAACAGTCGACGTCTCGTGAACCAACTATTTGTAAAGTTTATAGCGTTTTGTTTGACGCGCGTACACGTAAGTAAGTAAGTACCTACTACACAGGAGGCACACGCATCCACGCAGCCGCGCGAACATATTCACGTATCACACAGGCAGACGGCAGACAACAGCCAGCAGACAGACAGACAGACAGACAGACAGACAGACAGACAGACACACACAAACGCGCGCATATCAGTTTTCCTTACGCGAGCTTTCGCTACCGTCTATCGTTTACGGACAGCATTTTATTGCAAAAAATCAGCGGAACACGGGTCGCGATCGTAACGGCAGAACCGTCGTTTTCTCGTAATTACTTGGCAAAATATACATATACGCACGGACGATATGTATTTCACTTGCAGTCCCGCGTACACCAACGATCGACAATATTCTTGTCGCGATAACGCGCGTTCGCGACAGCGACCCGACGTTACTTCTCTAAAAATAAGCTGTAATATCCTTCTTGCGTGCAATTCCATTTCTGCTTTCTTCCCCATAAAATATAATATATATTTATTTCTCTGTTTCTGCAGCAGCGTACAAACGTGCGAATGTATGTATTCGCGATGCCGCTACTCGATATATATCTATTTATTTATTTATTTATTTATTTATTTATTTATTTATTTATTTATTATATATTATATCCTTGAGGTTTTAGTTCTCGTAGGTATTTCAATTATTTACTTTCTACGCTTATACGAGAGACGCAGGGTGGTTTCACGCGGAGGCCGTGTTTCTGTGTGTGTATGTGTCCTTTTTTAATTCCCCTTGGAATTTTCTCCAAGAATTTTACTACTCGAGTACACTGTTGCATATTGTATCTGGCAGTTTGTATCACCGTTACGACTACTGTTTTATAATTTGACTACAGGTTTGTTGTTCTTGTTGTTGTTGTTGTTGTTGTTGTTGTTTTACGAATTGTTCGAATCCCGGATCCGTTGTCTTCGTACGTTGTGCTCTTCCACTCTCTCGATTGAGCATCCGGTGTCGAAAAATAAGAGCGACACATCGGTGATTGTTGACTGTAACCAACTCGTTAACGATCACGGTTCCCGAGTCGTGTTTCGTCGCTAATTTTAATAAGAAGAAAGAAAAGCGTTCGATTCGATGCGCGACGCGCGTTCTCTGTCGTTGGAGAATCGAACCGATCGCTGTCCAATATTCCTCGCGGAGCGTCGTTTGTTATCAGGGACGAGATGGAAATCGGACGAAAACGAGTTGGGCCGGATCCGAACGGTCTCTATATCGAATTAGGCGTCGTCGAGTGTCGTGTCCGCATCTTTTAGGCTATGGAAAAGTAAGGGAAGGTTAAGATGGGTATTGCGAACGGGTAAGAAAGGAGGAAACTCGGCGCTGCGAGTATCACCGCGAACAGAGACGTAAACGGTAGTAAAAAGGACGGCGTGCGGCTTTCGGCCGAGTTGCAGAGATCACCGGTGCATGAGCAGTAAAACGCCAGAACGTCGTGTGTGCCTGACCTCCTCACACATTCGGCATTGTCCTTTTCGTCCGAGAGGTATCCGCAACCTCTGACAACCCTGATTTTCCCGTACACTGAAAACCGATTAAAATCACACGATTACGGTTACGGTTACGGTTACGGTTACGGTTACGGTTACACATCGAATATCTATCGATTATTTTATTTAGTAATATTTCTTGCAGAGTTTCGCTGTTGCCGCGGTCAAAATTATTAACAAGACATTATTTAGCTTTCTTTTCTTTCTACATATAAGCCACATATAAAATATAAAGTCTTGATCAGCTGTATTTCTTTTAACAGAGAGAATCAGAGAGATTCTCGCATATACATATGTACATATGTAGGTGTTGGTGTTGGGTCGCGAGTGTAAAAGGCAGTGCCATACCTGGGTAATTATTTTTGCTACCTAGAGAGGTTGGAGGTCAGAGGTTTTAGGGTAAGAGGACACCGCAATGCAGTCGATCGTTTACCCTTATTCGACAACAAATACCGATGCACGATGATCAAAAATTTCATTCTTTTCCAAAGTATTTTTTTCCATATGTATAACTTTTTACGTTTAAAATAAATTCCCTGAATAATTATGCACGACTCTCGAAATTTACTCTGATTCTCGATGTACCTTTTTGGCTGATCTTTCGACAGAGAGAAGGTTCCAGATGATTCAGATGCTCCAACCGTGGTTGAAAACTGCAGTTCACGGTTCCTAGACTGTACGGATCGAATGGATCGCCGCACCTTGGATCGTATTCGCTGTTGCATTGGTAGCATATTATTGCTTCACCTGAAAAACGAGTAACAGTTTGTTAGCATATTATCAATTTGTACGTTCGTGGAAAAGCTTGGACGAAAGTAAAAGTTCGAAAAAGGAGTGTATGTATTTACAACGAGCCACAAAATATCGTATCGATTAGGATAAGGTAGGTCAGAACATGGAAGAACCGTTAAATCTATATTGTAAGACGAGGCTGCCTACGTTCTACCACCTTATCGCTACAATTTTATCGAGAAAATTGTTACTTTGCGTGAGTAGCGTGGATAGAAGGCATAGGGAATTAGAATCGGATTCTAGAAAGAGAAACAGTAATCTCAGATTAATTTAATAACGGCAAAGCTAAGTGACGTCTTTTGTATCGCTTATTTGATCTATAAATGCGAATTACTTGTCGTAAACAACCCGGTATATGACAAAATATAATTCATAGGGGAAACATAATCCGATTATCTAATTATTATACTTTCTTTTTTTTTCTGTAGAAATGAAATTATGTGTGCTAATGGATGCAGCTTGTTATTCCCTATAGAAAGAAAAAGAAAATATCAAGGAACATTCGACTCGTTCCAAGACGGAGTTGGTTTCACGCTCGGTGTAGCAAAGTGCCGGTGATTGGCTACGGCCCTGCCGCGTTGTGACGTCACAACGCAACCCCATTCACCCTCCCAACGAGTCCGGTTACAGCACCAGCTGATATCGAGCAGGAAGACCCCGACCAATGCGCGCGATGACCTACTGATACACTCACGAGGAAATAGAACTGTAGGTTGAAATACGCTGGACGAAATTTCTACAAGAACCCTACTTACTGTTCTCGACTGTTGGTTCTCTATCAAATTATCAACAACTTTTCTTCTTACGTCTCTTACGATCGGATAGTATTACAGCGTTTGTTTAGATTCATACGCTTGAATCGAAAATAAATTACCTATTACAGTGGAAGAGAAACGAGAAAGGAAATCTTTACTCCCCTATACATAGTTGCTAACTTTTCAACGACAACCGTGTACGTAACATTTCGTAACAACTTCGGCCTAAGATCGGTCGAAAGAGTTAAAGAGTCGCTGTGACATAAAGGAAGGCTTTGTACCGCTTCATCGACAAAGGTGTGAAAACATTGATCAGGAGTGTGAAGGCTCCCTTGAATGACATTTGAAAGCACGCGAGACGTTCGATCAGCAGTAAATAGGGCAAGCCGGCTGGGGTAGCAGACGGTAGGGGCGAGTCGCGTGAGGAACCAACAAGCGCTGCGTGACATTGCGGATCCTTATGTAATCGACAGAAACTGAAAACGAACGGTTCGACCGAGCTCGGTCTTTCTCCTTTACACATCCGCGGCGATCACGATCGAACGAAAATCATTCTATAGAATCCGAATGAAAAATACACTCGAAGGACTTGTACTTATGTAGGGTACATATGTTTCGCTGTTACTCGACGATCCAAGTTCGTCTAAAGATTTCCATTTTTATCAATTGCTACTTTCTTTAGAACATTTTTACATGTCACGAGAAACGTTTACCGATACTGTTTCCGCACCTTTTTATCGACAAATGATCCATCGATACGTTGACAATTCTAAAGTACCTTTAATCACTAGTACCAGTCTGGCTCTTTTCAAATAATGTTGACCAGTGAATTGACCGAACAATGGAACATTGTCTCGAAATTTAATTTCGAGATTCTGTTTAAAGTTTTACAATGGTTACGTAAAAGAACCAAGGTACGCAAAGGCGCTACGCGGAAAACCGAATTCCTTTGGAAAGAAACTGACGAGTTAAAAGTCAGCTATGTACGTTTGATTGTCTGGCAGATAATATTTCTATAGTGGTCCATTTATTTCTCCATCCAGGTTTGCTTCGTTTAGTTTTCCTTTTTACCTGTACAATGAATGAATAAATAAATAAATAAATAAATAAGTAAAATAAGTAGTTTGAGTAAACGGTGGCAAGATGCTGTGTTTGCGTTGGCGCGACACAGCAACGTGGATTTTATTAAAAATTCGTCGATAAGGCAAGGTTAACGCGAGAAACGTCCCCTTGGTCACGGTACCACGCGGTGTACGGAGAATAGAATTCGGTGAAGGAGAGTATGAGAGAATGCAACGGGAGAGAGGGGAGAAAGTGGGTCGCTCGATAACCCTCTCGCGGAAACCAGGTTCTATGAACCAAAAATTCTAAATTTCAACAAACTGCAGCGACCGATAAAAATCATTCTTGTATTAAATTGCCCGCCATTCTGCCAAACCCCCTCCTCGATCTTTTCTTTTTCAATTTCCATCAACGCAATTCCGTTCTATCGTTTATTACTCGGCCTGTTTCTCTCTGGTCCACCCTCCAACTGTGCCCTTTACAAACTTTGTCGCTTTTTAATTTATCCTTTCATCCATTATTTCTGCGAATAAATAAATGTCCAATCGCAAGTTATACATATGTATACCAAAGTTTCCTTCCATCTCTTTGGTCAACATTTTCTACCGCCACTGTTACCACGTTTTATAAACTCGACTTGTACTCGATTTTAGTAACTTCGTGTAAGTACTAGATCGAACGTACTTACATACCTGCCGTTTCATATAATTTTACCATTCCGTGCGACAGAATCACAGCTTCTGATTTCCGTTGACCTGTTTCCTTTCCACGCGATTTACCTTTTATAATTAGATTCAATTTAGAAATTGAGTACACTTGGTTCCAGGCAAACGCCGGGAAGTACCACAAGTGCTCCTACCATCGTACGAGTTCCCTGACGAGCATTCGGAACACCGTAATCCTCTACAGGGCAAATCCAACCAGCACCGTCTTCCTTCAAACTAATTCTTTCTCTCTGTTCGCGATAATTTCCATTTTCTTCCCTCGAGACACGATCAAGTCCAATTTTCGAGCTTTCATGTCGTTTCTGTGCAATTAGGGGGGAATAGCGCGCGAAAACGAGACGGTAGACGATGCCCATGTTTTGAGATCAGCGGCTGCGAACAACGAAACCTCTATCGTGGTCTTTATGTAACCCAAAATCAATATTGCCACCCTTTTGGTATCTTTTTCTATTGTTCGCGCAACTTTCGTCTCGTGAACGGGACACAAACGATTTTTAACGCGCGTAATAAAGTGTAAAATGATGATGGCGCGTCGAGACTTTTTCGTTACCTGTACAGATACGGGGTTAGTTTTCTCATCGGTACCGCATTGCGCTCCAACTTGCGCGTCATTTTATTTCATGTAGATAACGGCCGTTTTTCCTTCCCCCGAGTAGAAGATAAACATCGATCGACGACATAATCGTTTTTGCTCGCAACGACTTTTCGACTGTTTGTTTCGCAAACAACTTAAAAGCACGGATGAGACATGTTCGAAAGAAGACGTTAGATATTTTACGTTTTAATTATGTCGACCGATGCCAGCGAAAGATTGGAAAGTCGCGATGCGAACTAACAAAGAGAACATTCCGATACATCGATCGGTAATTCAGAATGCAGATTGGAAAATAGGTCGCTAAAGCAGGATCCGATTTTGTTTGGCCCGCAGTTACATAATGCAGATTCGCCAAGATAAGAAATTTCGTGTATTGCCACGAGTTAGACGCAATTAGAAACGAAAAGAAAGAAAGAAAGGCGCGAAAGGTTTCACTCACCGTGGTGGACGGACGAAAGCAGGACCACGAGGACGAGGGCGACGATCGGCGTGAGACGATTTGCAATCATGGTCACAATCACCGGACCATGTGCTTCAGCCAATCGCGTTGCAGTCAGTCACTTCGGACGTGTTGCCTCCACCCTCGCTGCATGGAAAGTTGGCACGCAATCGGTGGATCCGATCGGTTGGTTAGCTTTCGTGTTGCAAATCCACAACGAGAATTTAACAGCGACCAAAGAGAATAGTTGAACGAAGAATGGGGAAAATTCGTTGGATGGCAGTGCTTGATGTACAAGCAAAGTGCTCTTCCCTGTTTTCCACGTCCGAAATGACTGAACGAACGCAACGGACCTTCTTCTTTCTCGCGTGATGCACCGTGCGTGATCGCGGACGCGTCGCGTCTGACGAGAATCCGATGGGTTTCCCTCGGCTATGCGGCAGATCTGCCCCCTCTGGTTTTTCCATGCGCTTTACGACTACCCGCCGTTCACCACCGTACCCCGCTGCCCGTACACAGCCAGCTTTCGTTACCCCACGTATCCTCGCTATTCTTTCACTATTCTTTCTCGAAAATATTCCGATTAACGGAAATTACGAAACAAACAATCATTTCGTTTTTATCGAAAATTAACATTCGAACAATCTATGAAATTTTCCGATTCAACGTTCAAATTTCTCTTTAGATATTTACAATTTTTTCTCCCTTCGTTTAAACATATCGAGACAGAATACTGCGAGTGAATTTTTTCATTGCAATTTCAATTACTGTTTTCTGTATGCCCGGTACCGCTTTACTACCATATTCTGGTTCATTTCGATACATGATAAAGTTCAAAATTATGTAACAGCTTCAACGATTGTCGATATCAGTGATTGTAATTTTCTGCGCAGTTTCGTGTACCAGCATTCTAGACGTATTTCCATTTAAGATGTTCAACAAATAAACTCAACATACTTTTAGATTACAAACTGTGGTTCGCCAAGTAGTAATGACCGATTATAGCCAGACAGCTTGCAATAGCCAGAGTTCGATGTATGTAGGTACATACCTACTTAGGTGTAGTCGGATATACTATACGAAATATATGTATGCGAAGAAGACATATTAAGACATACAATCTCTTTGTTATAAATAATAGTTGTTTATTTATCGCATACTGTGTCCAACATATTGTGTTGTGGGCTCGAGATTTCCGGTCTCGCCCACACTGCACATTTTACCGCAATATTGAAATAAGAATCGCTTCCAGTAATCGTTTAGAACTTGCTAATTGTGTGAACAAATCTGAGGAAAGGTACAGGAAAATGTAAATAAAAAGCATGGAAAATATGTATCGAGGACGCGCCCGGCCATGCTGCGCTGCGCGCGCATGACTTATGCGGCGAGTTTACACAAGCTGCATGCTTATGCTCCATGTGAGCTTGCAGGCAGTGTGGACGAGCCCGCGAATCTCGACCCTACGATATAGATACTTGCAGCGTCATCTGTCACTGCTTTTTTATACTATGTATTTCAGAGCTTCGTCGATAATGAGCTTGAATATATACTACATGTACATATGAAATAAATATTAAAAATATTAAAAACAATAGTATTTCACGAAACGGTAAACAATTGATACAAGTTAAATCAAAATTATACGTATCTGTGTGAACTTGGTCCATTTATAAAACCGTACAAAATAGGTAAATTTTTACAACAGAACATTCTTGTTCCGTAATAAAAATTTATTCAATAAGCGTACAGAGCTTTTCTTTACAGCGATTTTATTGTAAATACACTATATATAAAATAAAATAAAGATAAAAATGTACAGCGCGATTACAGAATTACTTGCCGACTATTAATCCCTAAGTTTCTATACAAGAAGTCAACGTGGATATTATGAAATGATAGTTGAGTTTTATTTTTTTTTTCTTTTTTCTTTCTTTTAATTTCTTCAATTTCACTAAAGAAAAGGAATGTCTGACGATGCTAACGAATATACGAACAGATAACACGTCTATATGATTTCGTAAAACTATTTGCCAACGAGATATACAATATCTAATACGATATTTTTCTCTTTTCGGCGTTCATAGTTGATTTTACTAAAAAAATTTGTGTAGGACTGACACAGTACTTAAACAGGCACGTTCAGTATAAGTACTAATCCTATTCCAGTCTCCTATAATAAATGATACTTAAAGTTTATTAAAAAGTATATCTCATTCAAAACAATTTATATTTATTTACGAATGTATTATATATATTTTTTCGCTTTTTACGAAATAGAACTACAAAACGTTGTTTAAGGCCAATTATTTGATCAGGAACTAGTATGCCAAATTACAAAACAATACAGCTTCAGCACGAAACCGATAACTGTTATATACAGCATGATTCTTATAAAAAAAAGCTGACTCCGTCATTTCCGAACATTGAGGAGATATTAAAAACACTGTTGGCAAAAGATACATTCGAATCGGAGGAGACCGTCGTATAGTAGAAACAGATTTTTTTTTTTAGATAGAACAGTCAATGATGTACACAGTCAATGACGACACCCCCCTCTCGTACGAACATTTTTTACATCAACAAACTTTGTTAATGTTCTCAAACTTCGGAAATAATCGTATAGGTTATTCTATAAGATGACCATAAATATTTTGTATATGAACAAAAATTACCACATCAACGAGGCATAGTTTATGGTATAAGGACCGTTTGGCATATTAGAGCTAGTAGTAACTCTTATGATTCAATTCTCGTGCTCGTCAAGGTGATCTGTTTTAATATGATGCGTGAACGTGTACTGAGTCGTGAATCGTTTTTTACAATATGGACATTGATACGGCATCAATGGATGCGCAGATCTCAAGTGTGCGACTGCTAATTCTCGTAAAACAAATGGAGACTGACATACCCCGCAGCGATATCTAAAAAAAATAACTAATATTAATATCTGTAACGATAAGACCACAACCATCTTAAACTACATATTTTCCAACTCCATACCAGTAGATAATTAATCGTTTGAGCACGAGACCTTTTCGACGTAAAATTATAGTTGCTTGACACTCGCTTCGTTGCGCTACGTCTTTTTCTCTACAAAATTTTCTACAGAATCAATTAAAATCTTACCCGCCAGTTGTCCTAATGAGGGTTCGTTTGACAGGAGCCGGTGTACTTTCTTCACTTATCTCCACTTTTGGTTCGATAGGCATTGCATATTCAACAGATGTTTGAGGACTTAATTTTGGCATAGCTTCTTCTTCCACCTCCGCTTGTATTTCATGCTTTCGAACCTATGCAAACAAAATAGAAAAACGGTATTAAATGTACAGGGTAATTAAATCTAGGGAAATCTCGTAAAACTTACCGTCGTATGCGAACCTTCCATGTGTACTCTCATATGAGAATTCTTTGATTGAAAACTACCGAAGGATGCATTGCACTTGGAGCATTTGTACCTTTTACCGGTATTCAACGGTCCAGTTTTTTCCAAGGACTTTGAAGGAACACCCTTTTTACCAAACAGCGTGTCTGCCGTGCATTGATGCGTCAACATTGACACTTCTTTGAAAAATATTTTATTACACTTTGAACAGTGATATGTTTTATCAACAATGTGTGTCTTCTGATGTATTTTGTATGTATTCTTGTCGGTGAATGATTTATTGCATACACTGCATATGTACATTGGCACAGACTCGTTACGTTTATGAGACATCTGTCAAGTGAAATATATTAAAAATCATATAAAAAAAAAAAGAAAAAAAATATATATATGAATAATCGACGCATACCTCGTGTCTAAATAATTGCCATTTCTCCTTGAAAGATTTTTTACATATGTGGCAAGTAAAATTCTTGCAAGTGTAGTTGTCTGAATGCGTTTGCAAATGTGTTAACATTGTAGTGTGATCGCTAAACCATTGCAAACATATTCCACATCTTGCCACGTTCTTAAATGCACTGGTATTTAGAGATGCATTGTTTTTTGCAGATGGTTCATCGTGATTGGGAGTATCTGTCCTTTCCATCATCTACAAATCACAATGTTCAAGTATATTTTTATGTGAAAAACGATGTGTCAATTGCGTTTTAAATAGATAGAACCGAACCTCCGAATATGTTCTGGTTCTTGTACGAGTTCTAGCGACCCTCGCTTCTCTGGCTTCTCTTTCAGCATTTAATGCTTCTTCTTGTTCGACGCTAGCCGTAACAGGAGACATTGTAGGCTGTTGGCTATGTTCGCTCATTCTGTGTGCTGCTAAACGTATAAAAAGTCCAAAAGATCGTCCGCATATATCACATTTATGTCTCTTAGGTTCATGGGTACGCATATGATTTGACAATGCACTTTGCTGAGTACAGACCTGCATACAAAACAGAAAAAATATAATCTATGCTTAATACATTAGTAAAAAATATACGCGTTTCCTACCTTTCCGCAAGTAGGGCACGTAAGCGATTTGCTAGCTTCTACAAAATGTTCTCTCTTCACTTCCTTCGAAGGTTCCTCGGTTTTCAGAATTGTCACTACTTGTTGTTCTACCGCCGATTGTGCTGTTTTCGTCAACGTGTGGTTACTAACTTCGTGCAATTGTGTATGATTCTGATAAGCTTCTACGCTTGGGAAAAATCTAGAAAGAAAATTTCATACGATCGTACGTAACAACGAAAATTCAAACTACAGCAATATAGCCATAGATGGACGAAAAATAAAATACAACCTATTGCATAACGAGCACCATGTATTGGTCCCGATTTCGATTGCTTGACCTAAATGATCGCGTAGCCTGTGTTGCTTTAACATTTCCCAGCTAACAAATTGTCTATCGCATTGATCACAATCTTTATCGCTTCTATAAAAATCTACTGTCACTTTCAAATGACTGGTAGCTTCGTGTTTAGCTAAATCTTCTACCAACTCGAAACACATAGAACATTTTCTACACGTGTATTTTCTTGGACAATGTAATTGCATATGCTTCACTAAACTCTCTTTCGTTCTGTAATAAATACAAAATTAGTAGAAATGATCGTTTGCGTAATTAGCGAGTAATTATTTACATTAATAGCAACTTACTTGTAGTAACTATTGCAAGGAGCACACCACCATTTAGAAGATAGCTTTTCCTTTGAATTTAAATCATTTCTATCATTGATTGTTACTCTACCCATTAGTACCTGTTCTAATATACTTGTTCGCTTTTCTTCCCTCTTTACCTCTACTTCTTGTTGCGAATCGTTATTCTCTTCTTTCAACGAATTCGTAGTATCTTCCACTATCGCGTCCGTCTTGTACAGCTTGCCTTTGTCATTGTAAATATTAACATCGGTTTCTAATATCGATTCTGTATTCATTTCCTTGATCTCCACTTCGCAAGGTACTTCGGGTAAAGATTCGATACAAGCATTTGGATGTTCCTGACTAATATCTGTTGGCGCAGATGGACAATCGACTGGCAGCGAGGCTGGCAAAGGTACTAAAGGTGGCGGTGCTCTTGCTTTCTCCCTCCACAATTGCGCCTGAAAATTGGAAAATCGTTGTTCAGGCATAGAATTATATCTTCCGACTCAGTCGAATGAAACTGAAACAAAGGTTCTACAGTATGCGTGAAAATATTAATTTAAATATATATTAATTAAAAGATACCTGACAAGGATCGGGCGAGTTTTTCATTGCGTCTAAATAAATTTGAACAGACTCGATATTCTTATACGATAATAACTTTAAGTGCATGCTTTTATAAACACTCAGACAATATTCTCTAAACTCATAAACGTCGTCCAGCCTCGCGGCACAGAACTGACATATTTGCTTTGGCAGTGGATCGGTTTTATATACTAAGACGGGTAGACAGGCACGTAACTTTTGCGCCACTTTACGCTGCACTCCCTCATTACCGAAAATTGACAGCATTTCATTTTTTTCCTCCGAGCATAATCTGCAAGCGTTCTCCCACTTGTTGGGCACAGCCATTGTAAACAAATACCAAACTGTTACTCCTTACGAGTTTTTAGTAGCTCGCGAGAAGAAGGATCAGCGATACCAGTTTATTACCCGCAGTCACGTTTATGCCAGAGACTTGGATCGCGATACACGATCAGTCTCGAATTAGGTTAGTTGGCAGTTCGCGACAAACATCGGTCTCAATCTTATAATTGGGAATAAACGACGCGTGCATCTTCCTCGCGGCCACGTTACACGTGCCTTTGACCAAACTTCAGCGGGAAATTTTCGATCTGTGTACACGGAATTTTTCTTTTATCATTCTACTTTCACCTTACGCTGTTTCGATCGTTTGGAACTAGCCTTTCAAGTGTAACGATTCAAGAGAACCGGTTCCCACACGTAACCGCTTATGTGCATGGATATTGCTTAATACCGTTGCCAATCACATATGCACCATCCAACTGTCTTCTTCGGTCCTATGGCTCGCATTTTTCTTTCCCTCTGATTCAGTCTTATGCGATCGCGGTGTTTTGATAACTAGAATAGTGCTCGAAAAACCATCCCCTTCGATGCTTCACGCATTATCGTTGCCGCGTATGATTCAGTAGAGTCCTTGAGTAATTTCTTTTTATCTGTGTACACTGTGGCGAACACGACGCATCGTCGATGTTTGGACACCGTGACGAAATGTAATTTAAAAAAAGAATAAAATTTGTAAACTGTTGATTTTACGAAGATATTCAATATTAATGGCGTAGCCAGGATCATTGATCGTCGACCACGAAACGCAATCAATTAACGAGAAACGCGGTCGATTTGAATTCACCAGTCGTTGCTCGATCTTCTTTATCATACTTGAATTCGTAGTTGGTTTATTATAAGGTACCATTCGTCGATCCCTCCTGAAAACAATCAATAAAAAAAATTATGCAATGATTGGAAAAGTGTTTGCGAATTGTGTAATACCGTTGAACGTTAATTTATTGTATAAATTTACATTATTTCAACATTGCATATCACTTATTTGCTCTTGCCAAAACTTTTACAATCTCAAGTTTTACAAGTGTTGGATTCACGTATGGAAATTATTATTAATTATCAACAAAAAGCTAAGGTCTTAATATAACGAATTATTTCTCTTGTTCCATACGAAAATGTTACATTAGATAATAAGTTAACAGAATGTGTTTGCTAATGCTTTATCTTAAAATTATATACAGGATGTAGTAAAAGCTTGATGCACCATTTTATTGAGCGATTTTAAATATTCTGTCAAAGGTAGTTTGACCGCGCAACTCCATGTCACTCAAAAAATGGAACATGCTTTTATAAGAAATGCATTAAAAGCCTCACGAAACGTGTTTTACTCCGCGCTCAATGGATCGCTTATCAATGTTAAAATAGTATTAAGAATTGCGAACAACATGAAAATTAATACGTAAATATGTTTATTTAACGCAATATTTTTAATGAAATATTATGTTAAAAAGTTGATTTTTTTAGTTACACCTCGTATATGTATATAACAAATGCATATCATCCTAATTAGTAGGTATTCACACGGTGTACAGTGTACACTATATAACCAATCAGTATACAAGAGCTTTTTAAAAAAAAGTAACAAATGCTGCCAGTACTTGCTTAACAAGTATTAACTATAAAATCCGATAATACTTGTTCGCATAGATGTATCTTTGTTTTTTTATTTAATTCTTTAATTGCATAGGGTGTACAATAATGCTTGTGTATACGCATCCAGTTGATTTGTTTTACATCTAGCAAATGTAAAACAGCGATAGAAGGCGGTGATAATATATTAGCAGTTACACAGCATATACATGATAAAATCAAAATGGCAATTCTAGCGATAAGTACTTCATAAATCAGTTCATGCTTTATAAATCGTTTATGAATTTGCATGCTTCCGGAATCTATAGCGATCACATATAGAAAAATAATTTCACAACAAGTTCCTTTTTGTTGATTTTCTCTTAGTTACATATGAGTTAACAAATCACATGTGCAAAAATTATAGTATTGATAAATGTTCTCGTTGGATACCAATAAATCTAGATTTCCATTAATTATACATACGTATATCGAGCGTGTACAGTAAATAATACTGGTAAATTGAACATTTAACAGAACGTGGAAATACAATGAGTTCTAAAAAAAACAAGATTTGTTTTGAAGATTTGAGAAAAAAAGACACAAGAAAATATTCCAAGAAATAAGTAATATAATATTCGCACATGCGATATGCGTAGAAACGCATATTCTCTTCCTCTATTTGTTCATATAGAACGTTAAATTTCTGGATCTAATTAACGTTTCCAAGTACGGTAGTCGATATCTTTCAATCTTTGCACTTTAAAAATCACTCCATTTACGTACTGACGTCTAGTTAACATTTCAATTACAAAAACGTAACAAAAAATGTTAAGATTTATCAATATAGACGCATTATTGTACGATCGATCCTTCGTATATGTATATGTATAATAGATTTAATAGTTTCTCGTTGGACACACTTGTATTACACTCTTTACGAATTTACGTGTAAATTGAAAAATAAAAATAAAAATAAAATTTCGCTTTCTTCTATTATCACTCCATCACTGTTCCTCTAAAATTCCACGATACCAGAAAAGAGGGATGCATACGATAAACATGGAACAGATAACTTTCAAAATAGTTGAAAAAATAACAGTTTCGATAAAATATGTTACACTGTACATATTTTCTACAGATATATGTATAATTAAATCAGGCTAGCCTGACATATTGTATATGTTGATAACTATTCACAACCGAATGAGGAGACAAGTTTAAAGCTTAGCTAATAAAAATGAAATATTTCATTCGAATATTACTAGGTATATGTTACATATCCTTTACATTACTCGATTTGCGATGTACAAGTTTATGATAAAACCACATAGGATTGAACAAGAATCTAGTATTCTTTTCAACGGGATTATGTCTTTTCAGTTGATCGTACGTGTGGTTTAACAGCTCGCATTCGTGTATTTTAAAAAGATATCAAAGAATAAAAGGTGTCTGGATGCTTTTTCCACCTTTATTGTTTAAGAGTCGTTCGTCTCGTCTATGTTGCGGGTATGTATTCCTACTACCTTGCAGCTGGCATCTTCTCAAGGAAATCTTGTTCGATCACTGTATCCAACTGTGTGATATTCAACGGCGCTTGTGTGTCGCTTGATCTGCGGCTAAGCGCCGTAAAAAAATAATGCAGATCTTGCAACGAACGAATGTTGTTTGATGTTAAAAGAAGTTCACCGGGCGCTGCTTTCACAAAACTCTGATCTTGTTTGTACTGCAATAGAATTCCACGATTAGAATCTCCACTGATCTTCAAACCATGCAACAAGCACTTTTGGCATTACCGTCGTAATGCGTTAAATGCTTAATACTCGGTCATGCTATTTATAAATTAAAACCAACCAATACAATTTTAGGATAGAAAAATTTGTTAAAAAAATACAGACAGTAGAATTACTGTTTATAAAGTTTACCATCTATAATGCTATACAATAATCTATAATAAATAATAATAATTTTAAAGATAACATTTCGATTAGCGACGCGTGTAGAAATATTATTTATGAATCGAAATTTTACATTGTAACGTTGAGTATAATTCAAGCACTGATTTGTTGGAGTACAGGGTTATTGGCTTGGTCTCAAAAATAAATCATACATACATATATATATATATATATATACATATACATATACATATATGTATATGTTTCACATGCTGCCAAAATAAGTATTTCATCAGTGAAAGCAGTTCAAAGCAGCGCACACATTCTGTCTATCGAAAGGAATAATACAAAATAGAAACTAACGGTAAACTAAACGCTTCTCTTTTTAATTCCTATAAAATTGCAAAAACATCAAATACTATGAAACGAAAATGAATGTTTGTAATATAATCCTAACTTTAATGCAACTTGAAAGATACTTAATTGTTTCTGATTGGGACAGATGTGCAAGTGAAGCTACAGTGTTAATTGTATGCAATAATAGTGAAAGATCATATACAGTTCACAGTCAGTCAGTCTGAATGTGGCCATGGCAGTGACTGGACTAAGAACAGTTGCTTACTTAATCTTTCTTCTTATAGTAACGATAAATGCTCGTAAGTGTTGCATGTAATCAAAAGAGAGTTTTTTCAATGTCCAAATAAATGCGTGCTTAGTGTCGATTAAAAAGAAACAACACACAGCAAAATATTTTAACTTTTTTTTTTTTTACCAAAAAAGGTCCACTTATATATATTACATTTTCACTGCGCTAGTAATTTTTAAAATATTTAAACAATTTCCAACCATACTATTTCTTTTTATTTTCATTTCTTTGTATTTAATATTTTATCATTCGACGTTTCATCCTAAATTTGTTAAGTTTAAACATTTCTTTTTGTATACGTTGATATTTTTTTAATTAGTTTTTCTTTTTCTGCAATACGAATGAATATATATATATATATATATATATATATATATGTATATAGAAAAATAAAAAGGCTGCGAATAGTTAAAACTTCACCACTTTTAATGGACTTAATTTAAGCTGATTGGTAGTAATTAGCAGAAATTCAACGGTACGAATCGCTGAACACATTAAGCCATCTATTTTCATTTACATTACTCGTTTGCAGAACAAACATGTTATTGCAATACATTTGTTATATTAATAAATAAGGTAATTTGACGAATCGCATTTTTTTAGAATACACGGATGATTCTGATTATAAAGACTTGGAATTTTACGAAGAAATGCCAATCGGTTACGCTGGGAATTTCGAGAATGATCACCTGAATATCGTTCAAGACGATTATTATATTTTGAATGAGTTCGAAGACGCGGTCGCACGAGGACGCAGATGCGATGTTTGTCCCGATATACGCGATCTTGATTTTCCCTTCAAACTCGTCGATGATTCTCCAAAGAAGGGAAGTACACCTGACACGCAATTAGATTGGTATAAACCGGAAAGAGTGTATCGATATACGAAACACAGAATTCCCGGATACGATTACGAAGAACTTGATCATGTGTTTGCAAAAAAGCCTCAAGAATGTGACGATAAATCTATTTGGACCCACTGTGTTTGTCGGTTCACATGTACCGAACCGGATGTGGTAGATTGTTATACACCGTGCAGAAGTGGATGCGAATGTAAAGAAGAATATGTGTTTGACGAGAAAGCGAAACGATGTATGTTGCCGGAAGAATGTCCAAGAGTAGAGGATTACATCGACGTATAAATGATTTAAGTTACGTTAATCATATTAAAAGGTGCACTGCTTTGGCTGCGCTTTCACTATTGTCAAACACTTTGTACGAAACAACAAAGTATTAAATTTACATTAATTTTGAATAAAGCAAAAGTTTCTTTTAAAAATACCTTGCTGTCCATTAATTTTGCTATTCTCGTAATATGCGGTACAAAATCAGAAGATAGATTATTGTTTTCCGAAGATCCTGCTGCCGAATCACCTACAAATGCCCACCTATACCTATATAAACGTTAAATTGTTTAATAAATTTGTTTGTCATGTGCACGATACAAAACTGTTGTTTCACTTACATTTGAAATTGGGGAAGCCTATGTGCAGGCAAAAGTAATGCTAGATCCAGCAATTTAGCAGCAGCAAGTTGCAATTGCAACCAATGCGGATGGCCATGTGCCTGAAGTCCGTTACTGGCGTTTACAGCCCATGAAGAATCCAAAGCTGAGAGCAGTTTTATGTGCGAACTGTAGAAAAGTAGAGAACATAATTAAAAAAAGAGATACTTCCATTGACAAAATTCGACAATTCGTTTCCTAAATACATAATTTTAGCATAATTGCAATTAAAAGCGAAAAGACAAAACAAACATAAACCCCTTAAATTACTGTAACTACTATTTTTCAACACTACCAAATGTTCCTCGAGGACGTGATATTATTTTTCAATTTTTTATTACGAAAATTTACTATATTACGTGCCCCTATCGAGAACAAGGTATCTAAGAATTTTTATAACGTACATGTTTGTTAGCGACATATTTTATGATACAAAAATAACTGTTTTAATTCTTCGATATATTGTTCCGATATTGAAATTTCACGTGATGATCGTTAATGCGCAAGAAGCATTCAATTACCTGCCGTGACGACTGATGGTCCCAACACCAATCAATTTATGGAGGCATCATAAATTCCACCAAATTGCGGATACCGAAACAGAGCCAAAAACAATATGACATTAGGTATTATTAATGTTAGTAAGGAATAAATACAAACAATTTTATTACAGCATAGCACATTATACGCTAAGAAAAGGTTATACGAACTGTCAAAGGAAACGTGGAAAATAAACGATAAATGTCATCTAAACAATTTAAAAAAATAATATTGAATTTCAATTAAGTTTTAACTTTGACGTATCAAAATTGACTTAATCCTCATAAAATCAGTATAGCAATTTGAATAAATGTGTTGCAATCTGTTGTACAATATTTAACTTAACTATATTAAGATTTTCGTTTAATAACTTTTGAATCGATGTCGTCGAAATATCATGCATTAAAAGCACCAAAATCCCAAAAGCAGAGTGATTTCAATTAGTAAGAATAATAACGGTTGTTACTGTACCTAAATTCATCGCTGTCCGCGTTCAATTCTTGTTCAATATATAGGAAGACTTGAACAAGCTCGCTGACTATTACCGGCCACAAGGAAGTAGCGTGTTGCGGTGACATTCTTAGAAGCAGTACTCGAAAACAAAGAAAGACTTGTGCCTGAATTGAGGGTATCACTTGCGGTAAACGCAGACTGTCCGCTAGTCGTTCTAGGTTTAAAAGGAATAAGAAAATTCGATTGTACGTTGCGTGATCCTTAACAGAATATTTACCAAATTTTATCTTCGGTATTTTTATTCTTGTTAACGTCTTACCTTGAATTTCAGGCATGTACTTGTGATACTGATCCATTTCGCTGCAAAGTATTACGTACGCCAGCCTTTTCAAAAGTTGAGCCTTTTGTTCGTACTCCTGCTCCTTCGAAGAGAATATACTGATACCGCTACTTTGAGCCATGGAAACACGATCTGCGACAAAACAGATGTCATTAATGAAACATGTTCGTCGGACGAAACCGCGTTCAAGTGATTGTGCAAAATAATTACTCATTAAATCCCGGAAGGTTGTATTGTCATGTGTCATTAAATTATCTATAATAGTCCGCCAATAAGGTAAACATGCCGGCGTCATTTGAAAGAAGGCAGAATCTAGTAGAAGATCCAGTACATCTTTACGCCATGCTTTTCTCGTGTACTGGTAGCCGGATAAGGAACTCAGTAGCTGAGAACAGGCCGTGAACGAGGCAATGTTTTTTGTCCTGGAATTAATGTAATTAATAGAATGCATCGGTATGAAGAGACGCGTTACGTTAAATACAGATAAATCTTACGAGTGATTTTTAAGATACGGCGTAACATTATACATAAGATTGGTTAATAATGTTACTACGCGTTCCTTTTCTTGAGAACCGTAACTAACATCTAACAAGGGTGCTAATATTTCTGCCAAAACTGCTTGAGCTTGAACGCTAAACGCTGCGTTAGGCGGTGTGCCAGGTGTTACTGCAACAATAATATTCCGCTTGATTCGTACATCAAATTAAGTTTAGTATGCTAAGGCAATATCGCGTTAGTAATAAACAAAGGTTCCGGTTATCGAGCAAAATTATAAAGAAAATAGGTCTAAAAAGAAAGCATATTACGCACCAGTACCGCTTTTCCCTTCTTTACCTTCCGAAGATCCTTCAGTGACCTCGAAGGCGTCTTCCCTTACTGCCAAGTTTCTTCTTAACCACGTGGTTTGTTCTAAACATGCTCCTGCTATTTGCGAGCATAATTCAACCAACTAGAATATTGAAAAATTCAATTACGTAGCGAGCAAACATTCATTACTTGCATAATAAAGAGGGAATAAAGTAGTACCTTTGCCGACACGTCTTGTAAATCCCGTATATCTTTCTTCTCCTGCATAGGAGGACATTTCTGCACGTACTCGTTTAAAATTGCCAACAAAAGAAATTGAGCAGGAGCCGTTAAGGATAGGCCGTCTTTAAGCAAACCCAGCAAAGATGCCCAAGATTCGATAAGGGACTGAGAAGTGTTACTCTGCATATATACATAAAGTAATTCTAACACGGAAACTTCCAACGAAAAGTCCTGCTTCACGCCATGAATAGGAGGTGGAGTCTTAACAACTTGATGCACAGTTTGAACCAAGGTATCGATAGGCATCACGCGGATCGCGCTTACCAAGTGAACCATAACTTGCTGATTTGGACAAGCTTCTGGCAGTACCTATAATACGGAGGTATAAAATACAACATTATTTTTGTATGCGTTTAAAATATGTTACAACGTTTCAAACACGATAATGTAGCTACCTTTTTCGAATTGCCAGAGGGTTGTCGTCTTTCGTGCCAAGCAACAGCAATGGCGGCCAAAAAGTTCACTCCATGATGGAAAGATATAGGCGATAAGAGTTCTAAAAGTTGATGCTTTACTATTCTCGGACTACCCACTACACAGCTGGCCTGTTCACTAAAGTTTTATCAAAGGAAATTCGTTAACGTAACGTTCAAAGTAACGAACAACAAATATAAAATGAAACAAACTTGTCTTTCGTTGCTAACACTGCTTGCCAAAGAGTGGAGAGGGATGCGATTATGCGTGGCAGGTGACTTAAAGCGGTTCTTCTAGCATGTTGCTGCAGTTCGTTTGTGCCGTTCTTATCCTTGGACGCAGTAAGATCCTACAAGATATACATAGATAATTAATTAATAATACCGTGCTTGGTTAAAAACATTCCGAGAACGTGTATATTTATGGCTTACTGGGGAAAGCGGACTCGGCATGAACACGTGAATCAGATTATTGAATATCTGACCTGGATTTGCCCCAGGTATTCCAGTCTGAATTGTACCGCTTAATGGCTGATTAAATGAAAAGCCGATTTGCTGTGACGTGTCCAATAAGCAGTAATGAAGTAAAAACGTTAAAGCCTCTAGGTGCGTGACTGTGTAGTCCGCTGGAAGGCAACACTCGACAGTGGTGCTTGTGTCTTGCAACTTTGTAGCAGCTGTTTCTTCGGCGATGTAATACGAAGCTAAATGCTCGATGTTGCAACACAATTGGTGAATAACCGATGTTACTATTCCCGTTAAAGAAGATCCCATGAATGGAAGACTCGACGTAACAAGAGTCGTCCAAAATTGATGCAAGTGTCTCATATGGTCCTTTAGAAGAGAAATAATCTCCCTCAATTGTAGCTCTTGATAGTAAAAATAATTCAAGGAGCAATAAAATTAAAATTTAATGCGTACCAATTGTAAAGCGCTAAGTATACTAGCAAGGAACATCGGTTGTTGTGGAATCGGCGCACCGGGTATATATTTTAAGCTACTTCCCATGATATTGGGAATAGATTTTGTCGGAGTATTCGAGGTTATCACGGTTGGTGGGCATATTTCTTCACCTTTCTGATTACCGCATTGATGTTCCAACATGATCAAAGCCAACAGTAATCTTGAATAATAATAATAATAATAATAATAATAATAAAATTTTCTGAACGTAACACACGACTATTAAACATATTTGTTATTTGTAAATTATTCGTCACCTCAGTAATTGTATTTGGAAAGCCTCCGTGTGGTCGCTCGCCCTATATTTGCATTTATTTAGATCGGTGTCTGTGATTGGATCGTTAAACGAAATTATTTCCTCGGTAAACGTAACCACTTCCTCGTTTTCCTTATGCGCATTTTTCATGTTCATCACGCTAGACACAAGACAGTGGAGCGCAACTTTTTGTACTTTACATTTTGTAAGTAGATCAACTATGTAACAACTGAAACCCTTTCCAGAGTCGCGAACGATAGGAATTAACTCGGAGAATATTAACGTTAATAATTCTGCACTCGCTAGTTGCACCTATTTAAAAAAGAAACGATTTCGACAACAGTTTGTAAATGAATAAAGCATGCGTTTAAACTACAATCACCTGTCGGTTCCCTGAAATTTCTTCGTGCGTGAGTCTCATCTGTCCCAAATTGGGATAGTAACTTCTCGCAAAATAAAGGCACACGCTAATTAAAACTTCTAAATACATGCTGCTTCTATAAGCAGCTATGAATTCCGTGTTCACTATATCCCCATGAAAGTTTCTTCCAAATACACTCTTTCGGTGTCTGGCTAACAAATTTAACAATGTTGTGTTTTTGGTCGCATTGGTTACACCGGTTGTTGCAGCACAAAACAAGTACATTCTGGTGTTGGTCAAGAGCTCGTTGCGAAGAGTCCGCAACGCGTACAATGTTCTGGTTGAGTCGTAAACTCCGCAATAAAGTAGCATATGCGAATGAAGATTATGTACGCCAACTCCATAGTTACGATTCGTTTTTGAGTTCTGATACGCGGACTCGTCGGTGTTTTTAGACGTTTCAGGGACATCGCACAATTGCATCACTTGATCGAGCACTTCGTTTAGAATTTCCTCAACCATGGTGCTGCTGCTCGAATTACTGAAGTATTCTTCCGCGGTTGTGCTGGTGTCCAAGTCACCTTCTTCGTCGTTCATCGTCCAGCTAGGTACTTCGACGTTTGCCTCGAAGCTTCCAACCTCATGAACATCGTAATTTGTCGTGAACTCGTTTGTACTATGATATTTACCCTTTATGATAGTGCCTGCTATTTCTCTAGAACTGCCTGGCATTATAACAGAGTCTTTCTTCGGTTTCGCTTGTTTATTAGTGATCTCGGGACTGCTAGAATCAAAGCTGTTGGTGATAGAGTCCAACGATGAATTAACTTCACCGTTCAACTTTTTAAATCCGTTCTTGTCCTTGGCTTTCAAGCTGGAGTTGGTAGATTCGAAGAGGCTCTCGTCCAAGCTAGCGGTCGAACCTTTGTCGAAATCTATCTTCTTGAATCTGGTCGCGTTTTTCAATAACTCTGTCGTTAGGTTTGCCTTCTTCGTGCTGGGCAACAACAACTCGTCTTCCGTCAACGAATCGTTGGAATTTTCGTTGGAATTTAACGATAAGGGATTAACGAACACGGATATCTTCCGGTTACCGGATATGCTGGCCGGAACTTCAAGTTCCTTCATGAACTGATTCCTTTCGGTCACGTACTGATTGCAATTCTCACCGGCAGCTAGCGTAGTCACGGCAAATATTCTCTTCACTTTTACGGGGTTTATGGCTTTTTTCTTTTTTTTACCCTTCCTCCATTTTTTATCTTCATCCACGCTATCGCTGACGTGATATATCACATTCCCATCGACCGAGCTGATCGCATAAATTTTTGCCGCGCCTTCCGTATCATCTTGTATCTCAGATTTCTCCTCGATAGGGTCGTTCTTCGTCAGAACAGTATTACTGTGTTGTATACTGACATGAAGCACGCTCATACGACAAGTAGATGGATCTAAAAGTATTATCAGTAACGGATCCACTATCCGCGAAATGTCTCCCCGCATTAAAGAATGCAGAAGCCACGATTGGGCGTGAAGCTTCAAAGGAGAATTATCTGCGAGTTGTAGATTATCTAGTATCTTTAACAATGACCTGTAAAATAATCCGTATTAGTATTAAACGGTCGATAAGAATATACAGAGAGATACTGCGGAGGGAATTTGTATAAGAAGACCGGTATTGTGCCAATGAAACTGTGTGAGAACTTACTGATCGAACGATCTCATACAGCCACGTAGTCTGGGATTTGTCTCAATTTCTCGACCAAGGTGCCACAAAGTGGCGAATCTGTTGAACGCTTCTATCCTCTTTTCTATGTTTTCTGCCGTCAGCGCTGCCCCTACCACATCCTCGACCGCGTCGCAAGAATTGTACAACGCGTGATGCAATTCGTGTAACAGTTCAACGCATCGCATTCTATATTTGTGAACGGGCAATTCACCGAGGTGGTGCCACAGGGAATGTGCCAGTACCTTCGAGAAGTAGATTTTAAGCCCTTGTCTTACGGTTAAAGGAGAATGATTTAAAGATCAATTGAATACCTGAAACACGTTGGTATATTGCATCAAGTAAGTAATATGCCATTGCTTCAGTAGAGGTACCATGATTACAGCCGTAACTCCTTCCCCGCTCTTTGGCTGAGTTTCGATATCGTTGTGAGCTTTCAGTAATGCTATTAAATCCAGCAACGTGGCAATACTGGTCAATTGCAGAGCTGGTTGCTTTCCCAACCAGCAACTACAGACCACCAATACTTTCAACCAATCCGGCAAAACAATGTTTCCTTTCGGTTCTTCTTCTACTAGCAATCCATCACCAAAATGAAAATACTTGGGGAAAGTGGATAGTTCGACGAATAAACTTGATGCGATTCGTACGGGTTCCTCCCATTCTGTTTGCGAGACAGAATCAACGTACAGATGAAGAATATCTAAACGCTTCGAGTCTTCTATCACAGACACGTCTTGACCGAAGAACCCGGAATCTTCCATAGATAATCTAGAGTTTAATAGAAGCTCTAAATAACGCATTCTTTCGTCAACGCTCTCCCTTGGTAGTAGTATCAGTAAATTATCATACATATCCTGTAACGTTCTTTCTTTACTCAGCACTCTATTACTAATTAGTTTAACGTAAAAAGTCTCGTACTGTCTTAAACATTTTTCTAACATTGTGTGTTGTGCTTGAAACGCCGGGGACGGACCCCTGCCTAAGGACCCTGTGGAACCCATAGTGCTATTTTTACTCGACTGCTTTAACGTAGTCAACTGATCCTTGGTTGGAGAAGTAATATTATTCGCCTCTATGTATCCGGTCTTTATGTCGTCCATACTTTTATTTCGCGGTAAGCTTTTAGATTCTTGGCTCACTACTACCGAAGTATTAACGCTGTTATCTTGAACAGATTCGGTCAATTTTGAGGTACTCTTGCTAGATTTCTTTTTCGATTTTTTCTCCGATCTTTTAGCGGCACCTCCCGAGTTTGCTCTTCTCCTTGGACTAGGACTTTTCTCGGAAAACGAACCACTAGATGTGTCCGGTTTATTTAGTTTACTATCCGACTGACTCTTTTCTAAAGGTATTGCGGTTAAGGAATTGTCACAGAGCGATGTAGCGGTATTAACGTTCGGGGTTACGTCTAATTTCGTTTCTAACTCGTTTTTCTCCGTATGAGTTGATACCACCGTCGGTTGAACTTTCGATAAAATTTTTGCGCACAATCTAAGACTCCTTGAAATCTCCATAGGAGACAAAAGATCAATGTGATACATGAGCTTACTGATGATTTCATAAAAAAGACCAGGCAAGTGCTCTGAGGGGGTATCTATAAATGCATCCAACGACACTGTTTCGAGTAGGAATTCCGTTAATATACATATTTCCATAAAATTTGGCATTCCAGTACCCACAGGCTTTACTGCAACGTCTTCTGGCTCGCATTTAGAGTTTGTCCTAGCTCGGCAAGCTTGTTCAAACAAATATCCACAATGTATCCAAACGTAAGACGGTTCCAATGTTGAAAACAACAAGTTTGCTGATTTCACTACTTCGTTCGTTTTTGGTACTCTATTCGACTGTCCGCAAGCATTATAAAATGTCCTGTTGGAAGAAAATTAATTTACATACAACTATACCTCCAAGTACGCGGACAGTGGAAGGGAGTGTAAAAATTACAAAAAATTTTCCCGCGTATTTCAAGGGACAACTATACTATAGTAGTTTGAATGGTCGCGCGTCTTACCTAAAAACTTCAAACAAAATATCATCCAGAATTACTGGGCCGATATCTGCTTTCTCTAATAACGAGACTAATATTCTGTATGGTTTCAAATCCTGTGGACTCTCCTCGCAGACAGATTTTAATAATGATTTTATGGCCTCGACTAACATTTCTTTCGAGTACATGTCAAAATAGGTGGGTGTATTTTCTGCAGTTTCCGTAGAGACCGTAGTAACAGTCTTTCTCTTTAAAATAGATGTGCTTACTTCAGTGCCCAAAAGCCAAGCAAACAATCGCCTATGATATATGTAAATTTAATGCATAAAATATCGAATGCGATCTTTCCGTATGTTTCTATTCTCTTTATTTTACCTATTTAAACTCATGTCTCTTCTTAATATAGTAACAAGAGCAGCTGTGACTAGCGATACCATACGTTCATGCGTTAATTGACTATTATGCACGGGAAAACCAATCAACAGCAAATCCAGAGCACTTCTTTGTACCAACACAGAATTGTCTTGTACTCCGGCACACAGAGCAGTAACCTAGTTAATAATTTCAACGATAATACGTGTCAAAGTACCGAGTACGATCGAAATTTTGCGTTACTTACCATAATATTGGTGTTTGTGCCCATGATGTACTTTTGTTCTTCCATTGGCAGCTTTTTATTGAAATGTACCAACACAAATGATATAGCAGGTAGTCGAATTCCAGAATTTGAAGCTAAACAATCCCACAAACAAGCATAAAAATGTTCCGGACCTACTCCTTCGCATACCTTTTCAAGCAAGGAATTGGTTCTAAAAAGAAAATTCTTATTAACTCTCTCTCCATCTCTCGCTTGTTGTTTTTATCACCAATACCTATCAAAGTGGTCGGAACCATCCTCTAGACCAAGGAGAACGCCGCTTAAAAATCCACTCAGACCAGGCCGTAATCTCTCTCCAAGAGGCACAAAGTGCGTTTCGTACACTGTCAGCAAAGATGGTCTTACATTCATAGCGGCATGACCCAACAGTGGAAATAAACCTGAGAGAATGTACGTTAATAACAAGTATGAAATGTCGTGTATCGTGTTACGTTTATCGTCTTACCGGCGCTATATATGAACAGTTCATGACTTAATCTGTTGGTGCCCATACATTTGAAAATAATGTCGTAAGTTTCTAGAGCTTTTAAATGAACACCCGAGGGCAAAGCAGGATGCATACATTGCGCCAATCTTTTAGATATTTTAATTCTTCTAGGAATAACTGGAAACTTCATATGACTTAGCAATACTTTGTTCAATTTTCCAAGCGCAGAAATTAAATCTGCCCATTCGCTGGTATATTCAAAGCTCTTCAGAGCTTTGTCAACGGCGGACACATAACTGCATAAAATAGACAAAGTTCATATATATTAAAATTTAATAGTTCCTTGAAAGAATTTATTCGACGAGCAATAATTTTAAAATAGATAACACAGCTTATAAGCTCCAAGTAATTATTCGTTCGACGGTAGTTTTCTATGATGACGGAAAACATACATAAACGGATGTAGTAATCTACTTACACTCTATATTTAGAGTCCTTCATAAGTTCATACTCTTCCAAGGCAATAGATCCCATTGTTGCTGTTTGGTGTTGCAATTTACAATAAAAATAGATTATTTATCACTCTTGCACAATCCGCTTTACATTTTCCCAGTAATGGTCAATATTACAAATGATTCATACAAAGCAAGTTCTATAGAGGGATTTTCTTATCACACAGCACATTGTGTTTAGATAACAATGGATTCCTTTATCTGAAAAGAGAAATTCGTTAACCTCTAGATACAGTGAATTTCGATCGTACACAATCTTTATCGCGCGCGTTTCCTCTATACGAAAACTTTGCACAAAATCGTTTTTTATGGATAAAAATAATCGTCGTGGTTCGAACATTGACTTGTTCGACAATTTTGTCGCATTAATAGTACATAGTTGGTTTTATCGTGTTATTAAAAGTAACCATATCACCATTTGTAAGTACCATATGATCGACGAGTGTTAGATTTTTAAAAACCAACGAACGAAAAAACTACACCAAACGAGATAACTTCTTTCACGACCACCAGCAAAAAAATAATGTCCGAGCAGAGTTTCGGAATAAATTGTAAGGAGAAATTTATAACGCGCACGGTATAATGCATTTATTCTCTCCGTGTTTATAAGTTCACAGTTATCCGCACTGTATTAAAAAGATCGCTATATCGTCCTACATGATAAGTTAACGTCGCGACGTCTAAATATCTCGGTTCCGAAGGGTGAGCGTGTTGTTGGAAGGTGGGAATCTTTAGGGTACCGTTCCGTTCAGAGTACAAACAAAACAAATAGCAACAAAAATAGAACGAGATCCGTGGTCGCATATCGGTCGAAGAAAAAGCTCACCTCCTGATGTTGACATTTCGGATGTACATATGTGTTGTCAAGGGTGAAGGTGAAAAGCATTGGCCAGACGCACATTTTTTTAATTGTGCATGCACACGGTCATCGAGAAGCAAACGGTGGCCGTAACGAATCCGCGAGAACAGGTTCGATAATCCTTCGAACGGATCGCCACAGGCAGATTCGCAAAACTCTCCCGTCAAATCAGCTTTTCCATCGCCTTTCGCACGTATTATTTACACGCCTACGAATGTCTGAAGTTGGCCGCGCTCGAACGGAAACGCAGATCGCAGATTCGACCGCTAGTCGTTAACCGTTTGCATATGTAAGCACGTAAGTACTTACTTACCTACACAGTGATTGCAAAAGTTATATTCAAACACTTGCTGTTGCAAACCGTAAATCATTACCTGTAGATTTCAAGATATCCTTACCTATGACGAAGCTCATGAATGGGCTAACTTTAAAAATAATAAATTTAATAACGTTTGGTTAATAATTTGCTGCGTTACGAGAACAAAAGTATCGCGTAAAGCAGTGGTTCTTTACGCTGTTTTCAAGTTCGCGAACTTGTAGATATTCTATCCGCTTTATCTTTTTTTTGATGTTTTGACATCACGGTAAATATTAAACTGAAATAAATCTTTTGATTCGATTTTTATCCCGATTCACGATCATTTCTTATCTAATATAAATTCTATGGAAGATGCGGACTTGGCCAGAATTGAAATTGGAAAAGTCCCAGAGAATCCTCTTGGTACACTACATTTAAGTAAGTCAGAGTTCCTTAACATTGATTCAACTAACATTTAAGAACGTTATTCCAAGAAACATTGTATAAAAAGGGTGAGTAAGTACCGTTAGACTGGCAAAAGGGGTTCGTGGACAAAAAAAAAAAGGTTAAGAACCACTGGCATAAAATATCGCGCGTGACGTAATTCAAAAAGGGGAAACTCGTTTATCATTTTTGATCGATGCTATCGTACGTATGAAATGTAGTTTTCTATGAAACTTTTAAGTATGTAACCTTCTGAATATTTTAATGCTATATCTAAATGGATTTTGCCACGCTTTTCCAACGAATTAACTTTTTTATTTCAGTCTAGTACGATTCGAAAGTTCTGTCTTTCTCGTCGTTGAACAATTCATTTTGAGAAAAATAATTGAAACGCTAAAAACCAGAATGTGACAGAGAACATTATAGAAGGGCAGTACCGTCAACACAATGCTAAACACCAAGATCATTAGAATGATTAGAAAAAAGGCATGGTCGCTCAATAATAAGAGAAAGAAAGAAAGAAAGAAAGAAAGAAAGGATTGAATGTTTATAAAAAGTAATACAAGATGCAAAATAAAATTATGCCATGAATCTCTGCAGACTAGAAGAAATTACTAATCAAATATATTAACAATATATGTATCGAGATTATGGTATTTTTATTAAACAATAATTTACAATTACATCTGTTTAATCAAAAATAATTTATGATACATAAATTATACTTTTTTGCTTTTAGATTTTATAACTAAAATGGGCCTCGAGAACCAGGGCATTGGCGCAAAACTAGTTAGTCCACGGAAAACCTTAAATTATAACGCAGATTTAATCAGTTAAATAACTGTAGGATAAAAGACATTAGAACCGCTCAGCTTAACGAACACGATAGAATTCAAGAATATAATGTTAGTAAACTAATTTGTAACTCATGTTTTAATACTCACATTATTATTAAAATTAACGACGTAATGGCTACATTTTTATCAAGTCATATATTTATTGTTAATTGTTTATGGTGTTGCAGAATGCTTATCAATTACAAGAAGATAACGGACATCTGTGGAAAAGACTGCTCGATGGAAGCGAGACAATATCATCTGAATAGGAGTCGGACATGCAACTATATGTACATAAAAATAACCCAAATAATGTTGCGTATATATGTTTTAGAATAATGTTTAATTTATTTATAAAACATGCCATCAAGATTTCGACGCATATTTTTATTTAACAAAGTTAGAAATGTGTAAAACATTCCTTATATTTATATCGATGAAAAATGAAAATCACAGTACATACATATATTCCACGCTTTTTATTTAAATTATCCCCTACCTATCCCAGTAAGTAATTCCTTAATTTTTATAAATTCTAAAGTTAAAAATATTATTCGAATTTAATTAAGTCCTTCAACCACTTCTCTATACGTTATTTCATGTAATTAATAAGTTATAAACAATTTATTTCAATATTGCGCAAAAATGTGCAAAGAAACAGTGTCGCCATCTAATATCAGGGTTTCGAAGTCAAAAAATCGTCCCAGGATCACAGAATGTTAGTGGAGGTATCCGGAGTACAGCTTCCCCCACTCCTCCTACTCTAGATACACACTACCTTGATTATTCGTTAATTACTCCTTTCCTGGGATTAAAATATGAACTTTTAGAATCGAAGAATGTAGTATAGACCCTTGGCTAGATTCAAGGATAGTTTTTGGAACCATTCCGCCAGTAATTAAGACGTTATTAACGAATATCGGAAGTCGGAACATTTACGGCTGTATCACCGTCTGCTTTAATCGATGAATTATCCATTTTTCAATTATAATACCCATATTTTGGCTAGTAGAGAACCAAGTAGAGATCCCTGGCAACATTCAAGGACCGATTTCGTAGCGCTCCATGCTCTAGTTAATTAGTTATTAGCGATAGATCCCCAAGGTGTCCCGTTAAAATGTGAAAAACAGTGTCCCGACTTCCGATATTCGTTAATAACTATTTAATGAGTCGTAGCGTGGTTCTAAAAACTATCCTTGAATCAAGCCAAGGGTCTATACTATATTCTTAAACTCTAAAAGTTCATAATTTGTTCCCAGGAAAGGCGTAATTAGTAAATTAACGAGCAGTAATTCATGACAAGCGGAGAATTATCGATTGTTGGATAGTGGCGCCAACTAGTGGCGAAAACAGCGTACTATGGGCTTCTCGGCTTCGAAATGAATTGTTGCTCGTTAATTTACTAATTACGCCTTTCCTGGGAACAAATTATGAACTTTTAGAGTTTAGGAATATAGTCTAGACCCTTGGCAACATTCAAGAATAGTTTTTAGAACCATGCAATGCTCCATTAAACAGTTATTAACGAATATCGGAGGTCGACCCACGGTTTCTAACCTTTTCACGTGACACCTTAGGGATCTATCGTTAATAACTAATTAATTAGAGCATGGAGCGTTGCAAAATCGGTCCTTGAATGTTGCCAGGGATCTCTACTTGGTTCTCTAATAGCCAAAAATATGGGTATTATAGCTGAAAAATGGATAATTCATCGATTAAAGCAGACGGTGATACAGCCGTAAATGTTCCGACTTACGATATTCGTTAATAACGTCTTAATTACTAGCGGAATGGTTCCAAAAACTATCCTTGAATCTAGCCAAGGGTCTATACTACATTCTTCGATTCTAAAAGTTCATATTTTAATCCCAGGAAAGGAGTAATTAACGAATAATCAAGGTAGTGTGTATCTAGAGTAGGAGGAGTGGGGGAAGCTGTACTCCGGATACCTCCACTAACATTCTGTGATCCTGGGACGATTTTTTGACTTCGAAACCCTGATAGTAGATGGCGATACTGTTTCTTTGCAGATTTTAACACAACTATAGGTCGTTCACATAAGTAAGTACGTGAGCTCGTATATATATATGCATTTTAGCAGTTAGAATTCCTGATATTAGATGGCGATACTGTTTGTTTGCAGATTTTTGCGCAATATTGAAATAAATTGTTTATAACTTATTAATTACATGAAATAACGTATAGAGAAATGGTTGAAGGACTTAATTAAATTCAAATAATATTTTTAACTTTAGAATTTATAAAAATTAAGGAATTACTTACTGGGATAGGTAGGGGATAATTTAAATAAAAAGCGTGGAATATATGTACTGTGATTTTTATTTTTCATCGATATAAATACATATAAGGAATGTTTTACACGTTTCTAACTTTGTTAAATAAAAATACGCGTCGAAATCTTGATAGCATGTTTTATAAATAAATTAAATCGATGAGTAATATATAATAATTTTAACAACATTATTCTAAAACATACATATATACAATGTACATATTTATGTTTTTCAGTGACATCAGTTTTATCAACAAATGTAAAATGTAAAAAGTCGAATACTCTCGGTTTTGTAAGACTATTCCTTAAGGATTAATTACGTAAAGAAATGTGAGGAAAGGTACTTAGAGGAGAGTCTAAATAAATAAAAAGTATGGGAAACTAGGAAATAGTTAATTAGGAAATATGTATACATAATAAGTATGTATAATCGAGGGAAGAGTGGAACGTCGTGTGCCACTGTATGTACTTACGTGATTGATCTAAGCGTAGTGTGGAAGAAAAGAAAAAATAGTGGCAGTCTATTTTCGAATAGAATTATTTTCTACCATTGTCATCGAATAATTCACTATTTGTAAAACAGTTAAATGTACTAGGTTAATAATTTATACGATCCGAGAGATTTCTATTTAAGCAAAGCGTGGATTTGAGAAGCGTTAAAATGCTGGAGGAGGTTACAAATAGTTGGGCCATTGGCTTGCACTCGTTTCTCGATGTTTCGCATTTCACACCGATGGTATCAAATCTGTGGGATAAAGAAGCATTTAACGTGCAACATTTAAATGACCCGAAAATAAAAAAGTCTGACGTACTTCTTGGTTATCTGATTCTGTTCTGGGTGATTTTGTACCTTATGTACGAAAAGTGCCTTAATGTAAGTTCTCATATTTGGTACTCTGAGCTTACACGTTATCCTGTTATGTTAATTAATGAACTTATCGATTGTGTGTTTTGTTTAATTTCATTTATTAACAGTCTCTGCTTCGACGTATGCGTGTTTCGTTGATGCAAAGGAGTAGACTAATCGAGGCTGTGTGGAATTGTGGATTTTGTTTTGGTAGCATTTGTTATCTGAAATCATCTGCGATCAAGAATACAAATTTCTTCTCGGAAGGGCGAGAAGCAATGTACGAGGAACTGGGTGTAATTTTACACAAAAGCTTTTATTTTCATCGAGCCGGGTTAGAGATTTTCTGTCACGGAGCTTGGAGAAAAGGCTGGGCAAATTTGCTGTTTGCATCGTTTGTCATGAATCCTTACCAAGAAAAGTAAAGGACCATCCATCTTAATAAAACAAACGGATATTTTCTCATTTGACGGCGCATCTTTTAACATTTTGCTTTATCGTTCGAATCGTTTCTTACTTTATATGTTTTTTACAGATGGTGTACGATAGTAAGCACTTTCTTATTTTACAAAGCAACCGACACCATCGTAGTTAACGTTTGTCGAATTTTATTATGCGTATCTCACTTTAACGGAAGGAAGTTGCCCAAATTATTATTCTCCGTTCACTGTTTTGACTGGTTAGTGCGTTCTCAAGTACAATTCTTAAGTAGAACGTTTGAATAAAATATTTTTCTAATAAATCTTATTTTTAGGATATATTTGTATGTACTATTTGTGCCTAAATTCATGTTACGATTGGAAAAGACTAGTTACGCACGGGCAGAGCTTGGCTTGTACCTGTGGTTTATCGCAGAATGTATAGATTCGGTAATACGATCGTACAGATCATTTCAAAATCACGATACTTTTTTATTTAGTTTGAAACTATTTTCGCTCGACGTAATGTTTTGTGTATAGGTGTGGCTGAGACTTTTAGGATATGCCAAAGCTACTCATTGGCTAGAAATTTGCTTATTTCCTCCTCCGACGCAGGAAGCAATCGAGCTGGCAGGAATCCAAAAACGGCATAGAGATTCTTTAAAGAAATCGGTTAACAGGGGATCAAAAAAGACCGAACTGTGGCAAACTATGCTCTGTAAGTATGCCGCGACACAAAGGTTGCACTTTGAGACTCTGTGAACGTTGGTAACAACTTTGAAATCAAATTTAGGTGCAGTTGCGATTAAAAAAAAATTAAAAGAATTAAACAAGCAAAGCAAAATAATTCTGAATCGACGAGCGAATCGTCTGCCGAAATACAATCACCCGAAACAGAAACAATGGAAGAAAGGAGCGAGGAACTGATGAATCAATAGCATAATAAGTATTAATAAAGCAAGAATATTGGTAAGAAAAGCAGTAAAAGAGATTTAATTTGTTTCTATAGTTCCTATAACGTACTCGAATGAATTTTTCTCGTTACTAAAAGTTACGATTTTTATTTCAAATTTATACGATTTATTATATACATATGTATATTCTGTATTTACACTTTGCATTAGTAATTAAAAGACAAAAAAAAAAAAAAAATGAGAAAAAACAAGCGCAAACGATTAAAGAATATAAAAGGGAAGAATTTAATTGAAACATGCATAAAATCGTATCTTCTTTTTAATACAAAAATCAAATTTATTTGAGAATTTTATAGATATACCTGTGTATGTAGAAAGTTCCACCACATACATGCTTATGATCTAATGGTACATGTCACGAACAATATGTATCTGACGCCCTTTACAGAAACCTTTTTCAAGAATCTCGCGATTGGCACAACGTCTCGGTAACATTATAATCGAGTTTACGAAACGTGCATTCGTATCCGAGTAAGTTGACGAAAACAGTATTTTACACGATTGACACGTTAATGATTAATTTAACTTTGAATGGTTAACGATTATTCACACAACATGAATTTCTTTATAAAATTCTCGCTCGGGAAATGACTTGCGGTGGTAATGCAGGATAAATGTAGTACAGTTTGCACACGCATATGGTTCATTCTCTTATCGTTTAAATGTTAAGCTAGAGGCACGATATGTATATCTACATAGCGAATAGATAATATGTCGATACTATTTCGCTCTTGGTATCGGTATTATTTATGAATCGAGGCTCCAAGGAATAATGTGACTGACTGCGAGGTATAGCGTAAAATGACATGGGCTGTTAAATAAATATCTTGCTTGCGACAGCAAATTAAGGATATTTAGAAGCGTGTCTCTTAAGGAAGATTGAAACGACGATGCTAATTGCGCGTTAAATCGTATCCGAAGTATTGCGTATTTGCTTTATGTCAAAGACGGGGAAATTTTTAATTACTCTGCTTGTGGATGTAAACGCAACGATTCTGACCTTTACGTTATTTAGTCCTTAAATTGTAAATAGAATATTAACTTTTTAACCCTTTGTGATTTAAAATAAGCTTCAAGTTACTCTTCCGAAACAAGAAACTTTTCCATTTCTATATTTATTATGTCTGTACTGATAAACCAATGCGACGAAAGAATGCTATAAGACGAATGGGAAGTTAAGTTAGCAGACTTGAAACGAATAGAAAATACTATCGATCAATGGTCCTTTATTTATTTATGGATTTGTGTGTAAATGGTTTTTATTATTATTTTTTATATGGATCGTAAGAAATTGAAATCTATTACACGAGACAAGCAGATTGCGAGGGATTCAAAATTGGGAATCTAAGCTAAAATGTCTCTAAGAAATCCAAGCACGACTCGCATCCATTATAATAAAAAAAACGTGATTCAAGTGACACGTTATTCCTAGATATATAAAGTTTTATTTCCGATCATTCTGGACTGTGTCAATAAAATATAGTACATGTATTTAGGCTGAATTGTTCCACGATGTTATACAGTTTAATGAAAAATATTATAAATGAATATGGTTCGAATAAAGTTGTATTCAATACGCTTCCAGCGTGTACGCCTCGATAATATCGTATTTCTAAAAATTGTTAGAACATTTGGTTTAGAAACTTATATGTAAAATGTTTGTATTATACAAATGTATAATACAATTTTCTGATTCGATAATAAGTAAGATTAAAATTATTCAAGCGACCTTACTTTTACGACGCATGTCGTTCCCTTGTATTTAAATAGTTACATATCATTCTTTTCTTTTTCTTTTTGCAAGAGGAAATTGTACCTCCTACAGCACAGAGTTTCTCAAGGGAAGTGTCGTACGAAATATTGTAGTTCCTAAATATAAACAGGACTGTTGTTGGGGCCTCGTAATTTTTCATTTAACAGGCGACATTAACAAACGATACAAATGTTTCTTCTTTTTCTTTAGCTAATTCAAGGTCACTTTTGATCATTTTGAAAATTTTTGGAAAAGAATATACGTACAACGAAGCTATACATATACAATGACCTTGAAATGACGAAACGATCGAAAACGAAGGCAGAAGAAGCTACGAGAACCAAGATATTTCTTACTCTGTCTGTACCGTATTAAATTAAATTTATCTTCCTTGATACTTAAAAGTGAAAATATAGAATTTTATTCAAAAGGCACAAAGTGACCTTGAAATATCTATTAACATTGGACTTTGAACAAAAAATGGTAAAGTCCTATTGCAGTCCCTTGTGTCTCCTACCTTTTAGCAGTTGTTTAATTTAACACTCGTCTTGAGACAATCTGCATAATAAAATCAACGCATTTTTAGTCACATTTTTGGCTGAAAGTATCTTGAAAAGAGTATACATGTAGGTACGTATACGTATACTGAAACGATTACGAAGAAACGAAACTGTGTAAAAATTGATGGTAAATATAGAATCGAATCGATGGTAAAACATTTAATCATAATGTTGATCGATTGTGCGCTACACAGAACCCGGTTACTTGCTGCGATGATTAAAGACTACGTTTAATACAGCAACACTTCCTCTCCCTGAATGCGTTGTGAATTCGAGTGCTGAATAAGGCCTTTTCATGTGAATGACGACCGTTAAAAGTTCAACACCATTTATAAAATTCCAACTTCTATGTGAACAATGTTTATCGATGGTCTCTCGCGAACGATAGACACTTTGTCTGTTTTATTATGTTAGTTTTATAATCGAGCTTATAGACACACTCACAAAATATCTTGCCATATTGTTTTATCGTGTGTAATGGTTATTTATAATATTTATATATGTTTATCGTTAAATTGTTTTAACTTACGTTGAATAACTATCACTGCGTTTACTTCCGTAATAACGTGTAATCGGTTTTCTTTTTTTTTTTTTTTTTCTTTCTTTTTTCGTTTCTTTAATGACTTGACACATTCACGCTCTCTCAAACGATAAAATAAAGGGAGGTCAAAAAATGGAAGGAAACACAACGTCCACGTGTGTAAAATTCGTACCGATTCGATGACCACCACAAGTTGATTTCTTTACGTACAAACTGAAATACATATGTATTTTTGTGACTTGTCGGGTGTACACGAAGCCTGCTTCTCAATTTTCTTGTTCCAAGCAAAATGCTTTTTTGGATTTTACAAACGTTAATAACAATAAGGCTCTGATAATGTATACCATGCGTTAATTCATCAACTTGTCAGAGTGACGCGTAAAAAATGTTTAAAACGTTTCTATTTGTGGTAGGCATTCGTGGTTCGTTACGCACAGAGAATTGAACCGAATCAAGTTTCCAAGGCTGCAATCGGAAAAGTCGATCGAAAAGCTCTGCGATCTGTAGCCGAAGAATACCAATCGAACAAGTAACGGATCATTGCTTTGCCTGTTTTAAGACATATCGTGACTACTCACATATACTTTGCTAGCAACTTACCAATCGGACTCTAATTCTTTTTTTCTTTTTTTCTCTTTTTTTTTCCCTTTTTTTTTTTTGAATGTCCATTTTGCTATTTTTCGTTTGGCGAGGGCAGCAGCGAATCGAAAGAAAACACGTGATTTATCTGCCCGCCGAAAGTAAATCGTAATTTCGTACCATAGGAAGACAATAAATTATTGGTAACGCGATCGTACAACAAACTATTACATGTTTCTTTTTTTTTTTTATTTTTACCTCTTCCTTTCTCGTGCACGCTGTGTAAAATGTCTAATAAACGTCCACGGTTCGTCAGTGGTGCTAGAACGAATACGATTACGAAAGTTACCTTATTACAAACATATACGTATATATATGAGCAATAAAATTTGAGTCGGTTAATCTTTCTTAGGCCCAACCCGTCTCTTCATTTTTTTTTTTTTTTTCTTTTTTTTTTTCTTTTCTTTTTTACTTAGTTGACGCACTCTGCGCCTCGCGCGGATGTAAGATATTTAGAATTTGTAATTTCGATAGGAGACAACGCGCGCCTTTGTTCCTTTCCCATTTTTTTTGTTTCTATTTATTTTTGTGAAAATATGGCCCCATTGTTACAGGCTCGATGTAGGTTTCGGAAACGGTTCGATATTCTCTTTATTTCTCCCATCCTGAGTCTGCAACAGGCTTCGTTTAATTCCATGCCATCTACATTTATGATCGTTGATCCTTTCGCGTGACGCGTCTTATAATATAGTTTTCGCATCGTCACGTTTCGCTCACGGTTCGTCGATCGATCGTTCTCTCTTTAAAATCCCGTTTCGATCGATACTACGAATGTAAAATATAACGTTTCGGTCCCATGTTTGCGATTTTTCCTCTCTGTACAACGAGACGCGAAATTTCCCCGGCGCGATTCCATCGGAAAATTCGTTTTTCTCGTGGCAGTGGTCACGGTCGATCGATTATCAGTTCCACCGCGCGCGAACCACGTTTCGATAATAAATTAATAAATATAATATTATACAATATTACAGTTCAATTTTCGTTTAAACGGCCGTTTTCCTCTATGCCTAATATGTATAATCAATCATCCCTGACAACAACCACGAGCGCAATTCGTTTCACGGATTACTCCTCACAAAGAATCACAATTGTACTGGCATAAAATTGAACCTCTTTTTAGATCTTTTCGTATTAATTCTACAATGTGTAGGTACGTGTTTCGACAACCTGTTCTTTCCTATACTCGTAATACCTTGTGTTTAATCTTTGTATCTCTTATTTCATCTGCGTTATTAACAATAAAATCACGAGCAGGAATGCAGTTGCTTCCAACGTTTGCGGAGGAACGTATTTCTTGTTCTCTGTAACTATCATCCGATCAAACTTTTTATTTAGGATATAAAATTAGCGGAGAACCACGCGGGGAGAAACGATAGGAATATAATATTTATACACAGAGCCTTACAAAGCTATAACAAGGCCATAAACGAACAATGTAAAGAAACTGTCAGCGCAAATCAGAGATCAAGAAATCAGTTCAATTTCGTTCTCTGAAAAATTCTATCGTTTTCGCTGTTTACACTTTATTCAATTTCTCTCCACGTTTACCGCAGAGATACATACGTACGTAGTAAACTCTCCGAGTGTTATCAAAATTAAAAATTATGTAGTTTGAATATAAAATACACGTAAGTAGGTAGGTATGCAACGAAAATAAATATTTTAAATTGCTGATCACGGTTAGTCGTCAATCAAAACCACTGACTTACAAGGGGAAAAAATCAAGATTTTTCTAAAACGAACCAAATATATTGTAGAGGGGATTGAAAGCAGAAGCCGGCCTATCATCGTTTTGTTAACACTCCGAGAGAATCGAAATTCTTTTCTATTTTCTATTTTTTTAATTTTCTTATAGTTCCGTGTTCTGGCCGCCCGCCACCCGCCACCCGTGTGCGTATGCTGTGAGAATCGTTGCCGAACAGGCAAACAACCACGATTAATTGGCCGTTAATCGCTTAATTCACGCGAAAAGTCACAGACTCGTCGATTCTCGAGTCTTTCAGTCGTTAACACCAGGGACGAGAAACCTCTGTTTCGTTCGATAATACTTAAACTGCACCGTAAGAAAAAAAAAAAAAAAAAAAAAAAATTGTACGATACAAGATTTTGCAAGAGGACGCGATGGATGCAAGGATACGTTTGTCGAGATATCAGACTTGACCGGTTACGCATTAGAAAATAAAAATATTTAGCGTCTCGTTGAAAAATATAAACGATTCTTAAGAGAATGAAATGAGCAGATCGACACTCGTAACCGAATCCGATCGGAATAATCTTTGAATAATCCTACTCGAGGCAAGAACAAAGCTAGCCCGTTAAGGTCACTTTCTCTATCGGTGAATCGTGTTGTACACCGTCGGTTTGCTTCTTCGAGAGACAGAGAGCACGAGAATCCGTAGATGTGCGTTTTCGATCTTAAAAAATCAGAGTCGAGTGGAGCGAGTAGCAGATTTTCTACAGATCGGTACAAGGTAAACGAAATAGTGACGCGTAATTTTGTTCTGCCTCGAGTATGGTACCTTGGAACCAAGTTTTCCATCAGTTACCGCTGTTGACACAGTTTGTAGAAGGTATAATATCGACGGTACGAGTACACCAAAACGATGGACGGTACACGTCCGGGTATTACCTATTGGTAAAAGTTCCTGGTCAACGTGAACGCATTTTATATTCGTTCCTTGCGCGTTTGCGTACATACATGTTGTGTATGTATGTGTTTTTTTCTGTATGTACGTGAGCATGCGTTGTACGTGTAAATAACGAAAATTAACAATTGTCTCTCAGAGGCTCGTGACGATGTGTGGCTTGGCAGTGGTGGAAGCGATCTCGGAGAGTCGCACGTCGATGGGAATGCGATCGTCGTAGAGCGTTGGCGCCTGGAGTATGATACCCGCCGTACCGACAACCACGGCTAGTGTAAAAATCCACAGGAACAGCCTGTCGAGAACCATCGCGACGTACTTCCAATCTTCTTTCACCTACCATAAGAAACGATCGTACGATCTAGTTGGCCGATTTGCCCTTGAAATTGATGCAGGGAATCTTGAGGAAACGTGTCTTTCTAGCCGAAACTTAACGACGAAGAGTAAAGGCTTGAAACTTTGATGCGGTGTAACTTATTTGTTTGCTAAGAAGAAGAAGAAGAAGAAGAAGAAGGAGGAATTTATTTTTTTTGTTACGTACTCTGGTGGAGTCTTCTTCCCTCTTGGTATGGTCGGCAATGAAACGAATGCCTTCGATGGCCTTGTACAGTTCTGGGCAGTGATGCCAATGATGAAGGGTGTTGCAGAGAGCGTCGACGCTCTCCTCGGTGGGGAGTTGCGGCGGAGGGGCTGCTGTGGCCGCTGGTGATCCATGAATGCGACACGCGCTCCCCAAATTCACCGCTTCCAGTTCCCTGGTGAACAAACTTCTTTAATTTCATTCGCGCAACATTATTATTCGCGAGTATCGGTGCGCAAGTGGGGTTACCGAGGGTGTAATTCGTCCCGCGAATCGAGACTCGGGAACAGAACGGACGATTCCACCAACTCCGACGCCGAGGTCTCCACGAACAAGGATGGATCCCGCAATTCGAGACCATTGCACGTTCTGACCATCACGCGTTGACCGTGATGACCGGCCATGCTACGTTTGTCTATCTGATACTGCGGCCTGTTGGCGAATTAAAGAAAATGTACGATTACAACTGATGGCTAAACTGGGTAAGTGTAATTGTTTTGCGGTAATAACCAAAAGCGGTTATCGTCAAAGCTTCTAAATATCAAAGTCGAATAGTTTATGTACATGTTTCGGAGCGTGAAGATATTGCACCGACGTTGATAACGAGGATCAAGCGATCGCGGGTGAAATGGGTGAATTAATAAAGCGAAACAATTTACTAATTATTTGAAAAGGTATCCAATTACCTTTTAACAAACTACGATGATCTACGTGATGTTTAAAGATAGATGCCGATTAAAATTATGCATTTTCCATGCAATATCCGATAAAATGGAAACGGCGTTAAAAGGCGTATATGTTTTTTTTACTTTTTCGTTGTTATTTTGTCTGGAGGAAAGAAATACGGACTGAAATACCAATGAAAGAATAATAGTCGCGTTGGCACGAGGTTGAAAGTAAAACACGGCACGCGGCCGGCGAGCACATTTACATACGTTAGATCGAAGGCTGACTTTGAAACGAGGTCTGCGTAGCTGGCTGGATCTTGTCTCGTCGCGTATTGTAAAATTTGACCGCTTGTTAATTACCAAAGAGTAAATAATTCACCGTTAGCCAATAAAAACCAGCAGCAGTTTCAAAGCATTCGCATTCGATGCGTCGAGGTGATGAAACGATCGTAAACAATGAAGAATGATAGCGAAGCGGTGTAAGTAACAACGAGTGTAGCAGGTACATATACACACGTAAATATGTATAATCGCATACGGTAAAGTGAATAGAAAGATGGAGCAAAGTGTACTGGTGTACTGTGCAGAACGTTTCTATGGAGTTGTCGAACAACCGGCGTTGGCGTTTAGGTACACGATCAAACGTTTTAAATGTTTCGCGATTCTCTTTCCCTTTTTTCTGTCGGTTCGAGTAAAATTAGGAGCTGGTGTTTGCCGGTGGTTCGCAACCCGGCCGTAAACTGTAGTTTAGTGAATTAAAGTTGAATTCGGTGTGTGGGTAGATGGTTGTGCTAATGGTTGGAGACGCGACGTGACGGTGGTAACAACGTGACGCGCGAGGCCACTAATGAACGTGTTCTAATGCTGGTTGGCAGAGAGCCAACGGCTGGTCCAAATGCTCGTAAAATCATATCTTGCCTGGAATCGTAATCGGTTCTCTTCGAAGACGTATTATACCTGCGCATCGCCAGTAGTCTTGGCAGAACATGGATAAAAACACGACGGACCCACGGTGCCATCACGTGCGTCTGTGGCGACCGGAAGTGAACATTGAGGACTACCACGGTTACGCATATACTGAAACGTTACATCAGACGTGTTAATCGCATCTAAAACTGTTTCGAAAGCAATTGTCTTTGGTTGTACAGTTTAACCGATTGTTTGGATCCTTTTTAACTTTTCGGGATACGTATATTCTATCGGTACGAACGAGTTTAAAGGTTGTAGGAAAGCCGTGGTCGGTCGGTCGGTCGGTCGGTAGGTCGGTAGGTCGGTAGGTCGGTTTGTTTCCGTAGTTGGTAAAATTCGTTTATTCGTTTTGTTTTAGATATTGATCGATGGTTATACCTGAAGGTGTCTAGGATCATGGTGAAAAGGACGAATTTACCGAGAAGCGGCACCACGAGCGATGTGGGCGGGATGATTTCGGCCAGCAGAAGGAAGAACACAGTCAGCGACAATAAAATCGAAATTGATAGGCTGACCTGCAATTGGAGAAAATCGATCGTCTTAATCTGCTGTTGACGGGGGGGGGGGGTCGAGTCTGAAAATAAAGGAACAATAAACATAACAATAAAAAGAGAGGAAATAAATAAGCGAAACTGATCGAAGACGACGTGTTTGGATCCGATTGCGAATTTGAAGAGCATGCTCGAGAAAAGCTAGCCGGCTACAAAGAGACAAAGAAGAACCCTCGAGGTTAAGTGCGACGAACAAAACGTTCCTTTCATTCCCTCGTGACACAGTGTATTGTATCTCGAAACGTGTTAAGGTCGTGCCGTGCCATTGCTTTTTCTAATGTCAGCCAAATGATTTACACGGAGAACGCGGGAGGGAGAACGGGTTAATGAAATTTCTTCTTATCGACGATACACGATGCAACGTTTACTTTTAACAAGTACGTACACGCGTACAGCGGTAAAATTGATTCGGTCTGTACGGTACGGTATGTATACATGGCATACAGTATGTGTCTCGCGATACAGACGCTTAACAAGCCACGATTCAGTCAATAGTAGAACGTCTTGGGGGAGGGAGAGTTTGTATCAAGATACCCGGGGGCGTGTTGCAGGTACGCGATACGCGAATATGGATCCACACAAATGCAATATGTACTCGTAAAGGATAGACACGTAACACGAGATGAAAGTCGGTACTCGCGATAGCTGGCTGTAGGTTTCGAATCGGTAAGCAAACGAGAAACGGAGGACAAAGGCCGATTCGAGAGGGCATTGTTTCGACTGCATTGATCTACAGTAGCTACCGGAATTGGATTCAAAGGCTGATTCATACCCTGTCCGCGGCTACATTTTTCGGATCTGATATTTGCGGGCTCGTACCGTCACCTCTACCATGTGTAGGTACTTGTTGGCGATACGTTATCGGAAAATACCGATAATTTGCACGGGAGAGAAAAAAAAAAGCCAACGTTTTAGTAGCGTGTATCAAACAGTTTCGATACACGCTGACGCAACACACAACCAGCTGTTATTTAATGACAAGCAAGGTTCTGAACGACAAAAAAAGGTGTCTATTTTTTATAAAAAAAATACAAGTATACACGAGAATCCCCCTTTAACACGTTGATCGCCACGTCGCACACACGCACACGCACACGCACACGCACATACAGCGTTTCGTCGAACATCGTCAGCCGACTATAGACTATCAACCTAGAAGCGTATAATAAATCATCAATGTATCTATCTATATGTATGTATAACCAAGTACTTATGTATATCGAGGTCGTAGAATCAGCGTATGAATTTCGGCCGGAAGTGAACACGTGTTTGTAAGGGTCGGTTAGAAGGTGCGGATGATGGGACGGTGACATCCGACCTTCTCCCTCCATCGGATATTTTTTTTTCTTCAGCCTGTTTGCCCTTTGCTTGGCTTTTTCGAGCCAGAACAATACGACTGAATTATAGAGGCGTGCACTGCGTCGAGTGGGTATCGGCTTGAGGTCAAGAGTCCACGAGGAATGGAGGCCGAGCGGCATTTAGAGGTTTGCATTCCGACGGTGGATTTTGATATTTGACCCTCTCCAGCTGGAATCCGTTCCGATCGAACGAATCGGCTTCCCGCGAAATACCCCCGCGATCCGATCTTTACCCGGCATTCTTAATCGGATATTTTCCCACCCGAACCATTTCATTTACTCGTTTATTCGTTACTCGCAGATTCAGAATACGTTCTGGACAAGTTCTCCTCCGGAGCACCGACAAACCCTTAACCCTGTTTCTTCCATGTACCGTATGTTTGGTAATCTGACAGAGCCTGATGGACCCACGTTACACGTACGATCAAAATTTTTCATCGATAACGAAACAATGACGTGGTCCAACTTGGTACGGTTATTTTTTGTCGGTATTTTTAATACAACGCACACGGTTTACGAGTAAATGGGTCCTTTGTCCCGTCTATGCAAATGGCGCGGCCCTTGACGCGTTTAAATAACAAAAATGCTGCTAGATTGGCATTCTTTTCTAGATTAACGGTAGAGCAAACTCACCTTCTCGCCACTGTCGCTTGGCAGATAGAAGACCAACACCGTAAGGAAGGAGATACCCATGCATGGTATTATAAGGTTCACGGTGTAAAATAGAGTCTTCCGTCTCATGGTGATGTTGAAGGTGATGTCGAGGTAAGGCTCGTCGCAGCACGTGTAAAACTTTTCATTTCTGAAAATGAAAGGCAATTAACGCAAACAACATTTATTTATGGACGTAGACAGCCAGGAGGAACGAATTGGTTCGCTTACCTCACGGCTGGGACTTCGAGGATGTCCCACTCGACGGAAGTATAAAATTCCGACAAATCTACGCCGATATCGACGACGTTGCTGCCTTGGATTTCGTCGGTATGTCGAAGATCGACCTGCGAACGATCGCGCGTACAATGAGAAACCATCTTTGATTAAATGTATGAGCACATGATCGAGGAATTCCCACTCAAGGAGGTCGATTTTTTACAACGGAGAATAGATCGTAGTATAGAAAATGTAACTTTTGCCCGATCATATTCTACTTTATTCTACTGTTTTCATATTATCGATACAGTCGACGAAACCTTATCGTATCGGGTTTTACGATCAGCTTTATGGCTTTACGGGAGAAAAAAAAATCGAGTATTTATCGCAACGGACGCACTGTTTCGATTACCGGTTGTGAATTTGTAAATGCATGGCCGTTTCCAAGATAAAGATCGCTGGGAAATTGACATAGCCGTGTCAATTAGTTAATCGAGGAAACTTGTGGCATTACGGGTGCGATTATCTCTGATACACTCGTGGGACGGAATGCAACTCGATCATGTTCCTGATATTCGTGTCCATTTCTGCCCGTCAAGTCCGAGTTAACGAGATTCCCGGCAAACTGCGCCGGAATTCGAGACACACACACACACACACACACACACACAGAGAGAGAGTCAGAAATATGTATTATTGTTTAAATGAAATTTGATCTACAAGAAACTTGACGATCATAATTCAAGCTTTAATTAACCGTATCTATACGTTCCGAAATTTTATAACCATATCACAATTTAATAACCTATTATCGTTATTATAATCGGATATCTTTAATTACGATTCACGGTACGGAACGGTTTTACGTTCACGGATGTCGTACGGTGTGTGTATCCTGGCTCGTTGTTAAAACCATTCGGCGTAATCATCGTATTTCGTACAGCTGATCGATCGATCGATCGATCGATCGATCGGTATGTGTGCTTCTTATTAAACGCACTTGATGGATATCCTGTTCTCGTACGCGTACGATGACGCATGGACAACATTGCCCATAACCCTCCCACCCACACACCCACACACCCACACACAGAGACAGACAGACAATGCATTATTCATTCTCGCGTCTAGATATTTTGCGCGACACTACGGAGCAGATCGTAGCACATCGAGGAGCAGGAGAATCGTCGGGGAATAATAATGCGAAACGATCGTTTGCGTGCCACTTGTAGCTTCTTTACAGCAGCTGGTGCATTCCTTCGTCGGTGAATGAGCCATATTCTGCGAGTTTCCCGGAGATCGATTCTACGTGGCATATTATCCATGATCGACATTGTCGCCCGTATTGTTGCGCGACAAGGTATTCCTGCACCCAACGAGCTTTTACCGATTTTCCGACTGGAATTTTAGCTTTAAAGATAACTAGTCTTCGCATACACTCCTTCAAACTGGAACAAAATGATAAAAAGATCGTACATCGTATTGTAAGGGGATCCTTGTAAGCAGGCTTTGATCTTCGACTTCCTGATGCTTTTAACGAGTCACTGGAGTCAACAATGGTTGGTAAACAACGAGGTTAACACCAAGATCACCGATTCAGTCAACACCAACAAATGTACGACCAACGAAATACATTCACTATTGTACGAGTTGTTGTTCTTGTTCTTCTTATTATTATTATACTATTATGGTCGCATGAAAATTGGACCATTTTAAGGAACAACTTTTCGAATATTTTACTAAAAAGAATGTAATACTGTACGAAAGATTGCACCGTCATCTACGGCAGATCATCCAAGTTTGTTGAGAAATAAGTAGTTTCTTGTCTTCGAGGCTAGATGGCGCCTCAAGTATGTGTCATCGAAAATTATTTTCAATTATTATTAATCATTTATTTAATTTATTTATTAAAGCTTCGTCATTGATGTCAAAATGCCCACGGTGATAATAATAATTAAAAATGTTCGAGGTGCGATCCAAGTTATTATTCTTTATATATATTATACTATACATATATGTACATATGCATGAAATTCCGAGAAAACAAACAAATAAAATAAAATAAAATAAAATAAAATAAAATAAATTTCAACATCTACCCCCTGTTGATCGCAAGACTGATACGAGGTAGATCTGTGAGGAAAGAAGACGTGTTACCGATCGGTCGAGCGGCGTTAGGCGAAAAAGTAAGTGCAGCGGCCGCGTACGATAAATTACTGCGTGTATCAGGGGGACGAGGTATGTACATATTAATCATTGGAAATTTATGCGCGTTTCGTTGAGCGTACATCCGATCCGTGGCCGCGGCTCAAGAGTTTCATGAACAGCGATAAGCCGAGCGTACTCTATTCGTATAACGCGCGCAATAACATGCAAATAAAGAAAAATGTCCGTTGATTAAGGAGTAAAAGTTTTAAAGCAGAATATGATCGGTAGACATCGAATCAATGATTACGTCTGGCGATTCATCCTTTGACCGGTAGAACAAGGTAAAGGTGCCCAAGGGGTCGAAGAGTAGAAGGAAATAGGGACGAAAACGTTACCTGGAAGCCATCGTAAGTCCACGAGCCGAACTTCATCACGCACGTCTGCTCGTCGAACGGAAAATATTCTACGTCGATCTCGCAGGAAGACTTGTATATCGCCGGTGGCTTCCACTCGACCTTCCCCGTGTAATTTAAGGTCGCCTTTGTCGCCAGGGTGACTTCGAAATTACCGTCGGCACTGTCGGATCGAGAAAAGAAGAAAATCGGTGCCAGCGGAAACGAAATTTGTTCTTTCCAGAAGGAAAGAATGTTGAGAAATGTCATCGAAGAAAGAAAAGTGAACTGCATAAGAATAAGGGATGATCTTACTTGTTGTACAAAACTATATCGGGTCTCCATATATGATCGGATGGCACGTGCAGCATCTCCACCCCACCATATTCTTTTGGATCCCATTTTAACTTGTAATCGTACCATGACTGTAAGTAAAATATTAAAACAGAATTATTTGCTATTGGGTTCGGGCTGTTGGACGTCCCCGGGAGAACGGCTGGGAGAAATTTAAGTTTGTTACGACGAGGGGAGTCGTCGCAAAGTTTACTGATATTTGCTGGAAAGAGAAAATAATGACGACGACGGTCAGAGATAAGAATAACAGAATGTGAATGTGATAAAGTCCACGAGTCGAAATAGGAATCGTTTTCGAAAATAGCAAGTAATTAGGATTCTTCCAAGACGGTGGAGGAAAATGGGCGTAGTAGCGTGGTAAAGGTTGAAAGAAATGAAATCTGCGAGGAAAGCGATCGAAATTGACGAGAAGAGATCCTCCTCTTGATCGCGGTCGAACAACTCGTAGAGTGTTTTAAAGGAGAAACTATGAGTGAAAAGAGAACGATTCGTGTAATTGTATGCCGTGTGCCCGTGACTCGCGCTCTGATTATCGTGCAGCGATTCGCTCTTTCAGCGTTTTCCGCGACGAATTGTTTCTGTCGAGCGTCGGCTGCCATCGGTATAAAGCCTACTTTGTTCGCTTTGTGCCGAGCAGTTTTGACGTCTCTCAGAATCCGCGTGGATCAGATTTCCAGTGAAATTAATTAACGGGAAAGGAACGACGAATCGTGCCACCGATAGGATAAACGTAAACTGTAACGTATCAGTTTCTACACGGTGTAACGTATTATTCCTCGTGGTGTTATTCCGCGACACACATTTTTCTAGCAAAGCTGCTCGTAGACGCGACGCGGATCAAGTGTTTGCGCAAAGAGGCAATGCCTGCTGCTGCTGCTCGGGGATAATTATCGAGAGATTAACGCTCGAAAAATGTATAAAAATGTGTGAAACGGGAGAAACGGGAGAAACGGGAGAAACGGGAATCCCTGTTACGTAATATGTATCTAGCGTTCGAAGGTAGGTTGCGTGGTTCAGGGAACTTATTTCGCGACTGTCCAAGTTTCTGGCCGATTTTTGTTTCACCGGCTGCGGTTCCCCGCGTCCGTTTACAAGGAGCAAACATTTAACCGAGGCTAAGAAAAGGAAGCGAAGAGGGAGAGGAGGGAGAGGAGGAGTGTGAGGGGACGAAGAAGCAGGGAGAAAGCAAGCTGGATAAAAGCAGAAAAGGCTGTCGCTGTTAAATCCACGTACATACCTGTTCGACCCACAGGTTCGTCGTCATGATCTGATTCTTCAGGTTCTGCAAATAAATGGAAGAATTACGGACGTACTGTGTTTCGCCTTTATTCGTGGGACTGTTTAATCTCACGGCGACTTAGGTATATGTGTCCGTAATTTCTCGAGTCTCGTCTGCCATCGTCGGATAATTTTGAAACTCACTACGTCGATCAACTGCGAGAGTTTGAGCTTGATTTTAACGGTGAGGGCGTCTGTGACGTTGACCACTGGACGAACCAGCTTGTTGTAGTTGGACAGGAGGTCGTCGTACAGTCGCTTCGCGTCCGGATTTCCTGAGCATCCTGAAACAATCGCGTTAAACCACGATGAACCGTGTTGAACGGATCGGGCAAAATACGGAAAGGTATGCAATGCGTTCGTCCATTATCACAGTTGCGACGCGTTATCCCGAACACAAGTAACCCAACGCGCTATTCATGGAATAAATAAATCCAGGTTGCAGGGTTCGAGCCAATGTTCGATCCCAGCATTCGGCAACGCTGCTGCTGCCGCTGCTCTTGTTCTTGTTGCTGTGTCTTACTGTTTACACGCATCGATTACTATCAGCCATTAGCCGGACCGGGCGTAGTTTCAGGTCGACTCGAAACCACTGATTCTCATTAACGCACATACCCTTGACAATATTATTGTCCTGGTATCGTTGCTCCACGGACTCGGAGAGAACTGTGAATACGATAGCTATTGGATGAAAGTAAATCTTTGTATTCGATCGTGTCTTGTACAGAGAAATTACAATATTTATTGGCCAAGCTGCCGATATGGAAGAGATTAGATCTTTCGAAAGTTTCAAATGCTGGCACAAGCGACGTGGGTGCTGTTGACGCGAAAAAAGTGTAGCGTTGTACAAGCCTCGACACGCGAACCAAACAATTTACATTTGAATAGTACCGAAGCGAGTACGGTGATGCATATGCAGCACCCGTTATGTATATCTTATACGATAGTTATTCGTTCTGCGATTAAATTTGCTGGTTATTGTCCGGCGCTGATAGGCTTCGGTATACGAGATCAGCCCCCGACAGCTCCGCGTATTACAAAATCTAGAATAGAATCTGTAATCGAAAATGTAAATTGGATAGAAACAAGGTGGAACGCGATGGACGAATTTAACAGTTTTCCCGGTAACGATCGAGGGGCCGAATATGCTCGGTAAATAAAACTTATCTTATTCGCTTAAGCGAACGCGTGCGCGCGCGCGCACGCGGTTTCATTTTACTTATCTAGCCAGAAACGATCCTATCCTCTTTGCCCGAGTAGCTACGATCGCAATCTACTTGCCGGAACGGAGTTTCCCGTTTCGTCCTTCCTCCCAGCTACGTACAAAGCTACTTTGCTCGGGCAAATGATACGCTTACTTCATCACCAACATCCACTATACCCCTCGAACCACCTCCTATTTCTCAAATAACAATAATAATAGAAACAATGTAGATTCGTTTCACACGGACAAAGCGTTAACGTACCTCCAACTTGTTCAGTTTGCTCGTTTTTTCCCTTCGATCCTGCATCCACGGTACGAAAGAGCACAAAGCATTCCAAGCACGAATCACGATAGTTCCGGGTCGAGAGTTTGAAATTATTATTCCGAACGGATCTCGAAATATTTCGAGCGCGAAAACGCGACCACGATGGTTAAGAAATTCAGTTTGGAAATTTAGCGCGTTGGTTACTTGATTTTACGCGTCTAGGAAAGACTAGTGATTTCAAAGCATCGTTTATTACCATCGAGTTTGGATAACCTTCCGATTCGATGGGTGAACTCATCAATTTTGCGCCAACGTAAACGTCGATATAATAGAGGCGAACAAACAGTTCACGTGGCCCTTATTGTTCGATAGATTTATCAAACTTACCTGATATGAGCACCAACACTATCCACATGATCCCCACCAGGCTCTTCATCATGTCATTGTGTCACGTCCAACTCATTTCTTCTCGCCTCCGTGCTCTCCAGACCCTTCAGTTCTAGCACTGGAACAGGGAAAATGTTGTTCGATGGAGTATACCGGCCGATGCGCCTTGAATAACAACTTAAACATTTAAGCGGGCACGTTTTTCCTGATTAATGGACAACGACGACGACGACGACGACGACGACGACGACGACGACGACGACGATCCATCCCGCGGCAGCAATGAAACTTTTATTTTCATTTACTAGGCTGCGAACGCAAACTCCCACGGGTTCCTCAAAGATCGAATAAAAGGCTATTTATAGAAATATTCGGCACCGAGTGATACGGTAAATACAAAGTGGCACGGCACGTTCGCGGTTGCGAGCAATGATTTATCAAACGACTGATTACTATAGTTTGCACCGAGACTATTTTTGCGCCTACGATACGATGGTTATCGGTGATTAATTCACTTTGCTGGACATTGGTAACGGTTTTTCGCTCGAGCAGATAAGGAATTCAATTTTCTTTTACGGCGGGGTCAGATTAATTTTATCGAGCGAGCAAGCACGGAAGCGCAATTCCCTAAATAAACGCGTCCTGATCGTCGAACCGAAATTTTTAATTAATCTCCCTGCTCGATCGTGAAATCGTTTTTCCCACGGTGCGCTCGAGAGACTCGCGTTTTTACGCGACCGTCCGCGCTTATCTCTGCCAACTTTCGTCCCGCGGATTTATGGCAGCTCGTAAGGCTCCTGATCACGTGATTTCGGATCTCCGGCTAAAATTTTCATGTCGAGTCTCGTAAATCTTCGGGCACTATACCTCTCGGTATAGCTCTCCGAGCTAAGAGAGAAGAAACATACATACAATGTATCTCTTGAAATATCGTCGAATCTACAACCCGAGATACATTACCAGCTTTGCGCCCGCGGACGCGTGCTTTCCTTTTCAAACTTTAATCCGAATTTTGTTTAAAGTCGATACCGTAATTAATACCGGAGAAAACGATTATTTACGAAAAAATGCTGGCTAGTAATTACGCAAACATCTTGTATAAAAATTTAAAATCTTTTTCAATTAAATAAACAATTAGTGATCAGTAATAATTGTTGCGTGCAACGGATAGAGGATGACATGCCCTTTAAATTGAGTGGTCGAACAAGCCGATAGCTTAATTAGTTCCGGAGATATAGCGATTTTAATTTCGCGTCGATACGGTGGCTAGTTCCGGAGATAGGGTTTGTTTACGTTTCGTTGTGCGCTCGCGAGTTCATTGATCCCGCGCGCGCGTCAATAGTAAACAGTGCGTAGTAAATTCTTGGAAATACTACGCCCGAAACTAGGTCACGACAGTCACGTACGTATGGTAGGTCAGTGCGACGCACGTGCGACCGAGAGGTCCGACGCGACGCGTCACACGGAGACAGAGATAGTCCAATTAGAAAAATTACCTTTTACAGAAATTGCGATATCTCGAAAACGGAAAGTCGGATCGTCAAAAACAAAAAGCCATTTTAAAGGGGAGGCTTTGCCGCTTCTAACAGCATCTCAAAAATTAATATAGCACTAGTAGTTTCGGAACTACGCGCGTCTAAAGTTTTAGTATTTTTAGTACGATTTATTTGTAAGTGTACACGATCAAATACATATTTTCTAATCATTTTAATAGATATGATGAGTGTCGATCGGAAAAACTATAGAGTTTCTCCGATCGCGTGGCCGTTTCAAGTAAAATTTCGGAAGAAAGGGGCGCGGAGGTTCCATAATCGGTTCGTTCGATCGGTTTCAAGCAACCGTTGCACCGTTGCACCGTTGCACCGATGCACCGCACTGTTCCGTTTCATTCCGTGGCATGTAGTGCCACGTGGACCGCAGAACTGTGGCTACAGTTGGTGCGTTCTGCACGCCTACAGCGTCCTATATCGCGAAAACGGCACACCAAGGTAGAATTCGTATTCGTGCAACGATCTCGTTGATTTGTTGCCAACTGCAGTTACAATTTTTTTCACTTATCCGTTTACATAACGTCGCCGCCGACTCCGCCGCCGCTGCCGCCGCAGTGGCTGGTTGGGCGCACAATACCGTTCATAATCTCTTCAACGATAACGCATTCTACCGTTACAACGTTCTCGCGATCGTCGCTCTTTTGATTAAAATTAACGACGAAATGGCGCAACAAAATTAAAAGACACGCTCGTAGTCCGGCGTTCGAACGGTATCCTCGAAGGGAGGCGAAAGAACGCGAGAACGATTCACGGCGTTGCTAAGCAACGCATTTTACGCGATGAATAAAATATCGCGATCAATAGATTTCTGTAAATAAACTCCCATCCGCCGATAGAGTATCTTTATCGAGATAGTCGTGGACGCGAAAATATTTCCTCGCCTCGCGCCTCTCCGTTTAGACGGCGAACGTACCCGTCTATTATTTGCGATCAAACAGCGACCAGATAATTGTAAATATCCGTTAACAATACGTCGAGCCTTGGTTTCATCGCGTTGTCCGAGGGATTTTTCCGTAATTGACGTGTGTTGGCCGCTCGATAACGCGTCTACGGATGCCGGACACGCGTTAAAATGCGAGCCAACTAAATAATGGAGCGATAAAACGAGACGGCACGACACGGTGTAAATATTATTTCGAGGCGGTTGTTTGATGGATCGGTTGTGCATCGTCGTGCTGGCAAAGTTTAATTACCCGCAGCCCTCGATAGATTTGAAATATTTAAGGAATCGTTCGGTTTCACGGTCTTTCCTTTTTCTTCCATTATCGTCGATAGGAATTTCCCAGACGAAAAGGACTAAGGGGAATGGAAGCGCTTCGATGACGGACCTTCTTTCGTTCGCTATCTCAATTTATTCTTTTGAAACGACCTGCCTCGGAGCGTCGCGTTGCGTCGCGTTGAGACGCCGCGCCGCGCCGCGCCGCGCCGGGGCTTTAATCCGCTTCAACGACGCTTCTCGCCTTTTATTCCCGGCCGAAAAAGTTATTTCTGCGACGTGACACGCGATCGATAAGCGCCAAACTCGTGTCTCTGTCCCGCTCGCGCCTCGAGCCTGCTTAATTATTCGCTGTGTTCGCTCGAGTCTCGTCGTCCACGCGCGATCGGAGCTTTGACCCTTTAGCCAAGCTGCACACATTCATTTATTTCTCTCGTTTCGAGTTTCTCTTACGAACAAAACGACCGTCGATAAATGCAATCGATGCGACCTAGACGTACCAATTAATAAATACGTTTACTGGCAAGCCTGTTTGGCTGACGAAAAGTAATTGAAAACCGAGAAATAATCAGCACCGGATGGGGTGGCGTTCGGTTGGTTCGAGTGCTCGAGATTCCGACAAAGTTAACGTAACGAGTTCCCTAGAATTCCAGAATGCACGGAATGATGGTGTGTTTGCAAAGTTCGAAGGTCACGAGAGTCCCAAACTCTAAAATACTTGCAATTCTCGGGACCGAGCTGGTACGATCCATGAAATATAATTTTCTAGCCTCGGCCCTCCCTCCCCTCGACGAAAAAGCGAAATTACTTGTACGTAAATTCTGAAACGATTTCGAAAGGAGGAAATTTCTTCTATTAACTCTGATTGGCCGAGTTTCTAGGGGCCGTCCCCGTTAAATCCAACGAGGGACTTTTGTTTGGAGGAGCTTCGAGAGAGCTTAACGAGTACAGAGAGCAGGTATTAGAGAGCTTAGAGTATCAAATAGCGATCAAGAGAGCCCAGAAAGATGAAGTTGGAGTTTCGAAGAGAATCTAAGAGTATCAGGGTATAATGACGTCAAATCGTGACGTTATTAAATACATTTTTCATCGTTTGCTCGAATTTATTCCTTGGAAAGAGCAACGCGAAGCTTTAAATCTACAACAACGTGTCTTTAAAACGTTTCTTTTATTAGAAATCGATAAGTAGCTTTGAAGGGTTAGGTCGATACAAATTCACGTTTTCAGCCGCTTCGTCGACGAAAACCGGGTGTTCCTCGTTCTTATTATTAACTCGTCGAAGCTGTTAGCGGCTCACGAATCTGATTCAAAGCTATCGTCGCATCTTTGTATCTCGCCGATGAATACGCTTCGACGTTAAAATCGCGGGCAACTTGTTGCTGAATAAATTCACCGGGCAGCTTCATTAATTTTTCTTGGTTGGGGATGTTTCGACGATTCGAGGTAGTCGGATATACGGTTTATCTTCACCCGGAATATGCTCACCTTAACGATCGTTTAAATACCGATGAAAAAGGAAAGGGGATACGTGTCAAAGGATCTACAAAAAAAGAAAATAAACAATGAATAAAATCGTAGAAAAAGATATTTGAAATAAATAAATGAACGTTTAGAATCGATTCTATCGCGAGCACGAGCGAAAATCCTTTCGAGAGAGCGATCGAATAAAAGTAAATGGCAGAAAAATTGGGACAAAAGAGAACGAAACGAATCGGATTGATCAAGTAACGCCGATTACCCGCACGTTTCCGGTCGAAATTGGACGATACGCGTGCAATTGAATCGCAAACGATACTCGAAATGCCAGCAGGTACTCGTTACTCACTGCCGAAATAAAATTTATGAATTGAATAATAGCGCCGGCACATCGTCGCACCGTCGCGGGAACAATTAAATGCGGCGCGATTCTAGGGCCGCAGTGCGGTTAAATATCGCGTTTAGTGGACGTTTAAATCTGGAGGAGAAAAACCGGCACGAGAAACGAGAACTACTGTTGGCTAAATTATGGACTTTGCGGAGAATTCCGCGTTGCAAATCAACGAGAGCTGGATTCGAATTTTCTTGGAACCTTTCCGCGACTTTCACGACCGGCTATTTCAAATAATTACTTTTTCCATTCGTTAACTCTATAAAACCACTATTCGTAGAGAGAATCGGAGAATAAAATGTAACTTTATTAAACGGTTCGATAGAAGAAGGTACAAGAAGTTGGTCGTCGATTCGCTCGATACTTGATTCCCACAGCGTCTTCCTCTCGTTCTTGTCTAATTCTCTTTGATCTGGTAATTGCTTGGCAGCTTGGGCTAAACGAGGAGATCGATGGAGCTCGTTTCCATCTAGCTTCTTTGTTTA